CCGGGGACTCGGGGCCCAGCCTATTTTCAATGCGCAGCAGGGTTGTGTCATGGATACGCATCATGGGCGCCGGCCACAGATCTAAAACTGGCTGGAACAAACATGCAGTCGACTCAGGTGTGGGCACGCAAATCCCCAAACTTGCAATCGGGCTGCTCACTTGTTGTGAGCCAAACAAATTTTGTTTACAACTCCTTGTTGCCGTGTCACCATTTAAGACCATAAGCCGCTGAAAAGTCGCGGATGAGAAATCTGCTGGATACCCAAACAATATTTAAGATCTTGTGAGAATCCGCAGGTTTTGGATCAGTGTCCTCATAAACGGCTGCAGGCCGATGAAATGAAGGTGAAAGCGGCCTCGCCATTACATAGCACTTGAACTCCTTTCAGGACCCATGGTACCAGTGATGTTGATGCGATCTTTGAATGGGCATTGAGCCACTCAGTAAGCAAGGAAAGCCACTCAGTGACGCTCTGTGCCAATGAACACCAAACCTAAGTCCCCAATAATCCCCATAGAGAGATAGTCCCAATCTATAGCCTAGCCCAGGATTCCCAAGTTCATTCCAAGGTTTGACTGTGAGATCTGTGAGATGTCCTGAATGCACCTTTTCTTTGCGTACCTTTTCTTGCTGAGTCTTTCCTTCTGTTAGATGATTTTGATGCCGCTTTTAGGGGCTCAAAATTAAGGGCTGAATGTCGTAGCTGACAGCTTTTTTCGCTTGGGGGTTTCACCCAAAAAATGGGAATCTAAACTACATGAACCAAAAGCATATGGCCTAAAATGGCTGAACTTCCCAACCCACTGCCGCTGCTCACCATTTGCAAGGAAGGATTATCGACAGTTGGATATACACAGTTAGTAGGTAATTGAGATCATCGCCAGAGTTATACTGCGCAGCAGTCGCAAATACATGCATACACATGCATACACATGCATTATTGCATTGAATACGTGGAATTGTTGCTGGAACTAGGTTTGTGAGTCTATCCACAAATGTTATCATGGCCAAAAAGGCGTACTTGACAGAAGAGCATATTCTCGGATTATAGCAGCAACCATGGTTGGGATGCACATTCCTGAAATTTCATGGTCGAAGCTGAGAGCATTTCGAATTTCACGCTGCAAACCACAGATTTTGTTCAAGGTCAACTACAGCTACTCACCGACAGCCCAGACAGCCCATGCCTCCGTTGTCTTTTCAGCAGGTCGCGCTGATGCAATGCATCGCTCAACGACGCTCAGAAGGTGGAAAGTAGAAGAAGATGGCCAGAATCACCAGGAGGAATTGAAAGCCCAAATATCCTGTGGGCCACTGGATGTACCCAACGGGTACCCCTCTTGCCCCATGAACTGCAGTGAACCCCGTGTGTATAAATCTATTTGAAGAAAGAGTAAGGATAGCTGTTTTTGAAGTGTCACAAATCAATCATCTACACTGGATATAAATATGGCAGAAAAGGAGCATTTCCGAATCCTGAAGCCATGGCCACTCTGCGATGAAATGGGGGCTGGTCGGTGAAATGGTTCACAGCTTTGAAGTGTGGAGTATATAAGTACCCTCTGGTACACGTTTACGTAACGAACTGGAAAATCACCATGCTATTCATGGCTAAATCCACTAAATCCGCGAACTTTCTATGGCCATTTTCAATAGCTATGCCAACTATCAGCCAGTGGAAAACGGGTCCACCAGTTGCTCCCCCAAAATGGATGGAGGATAAGAGCAACATATGGGAATGCTAAGCATGCTACCGAGGGCTCGAAAAGTGGTAGAACCAAAAAAATGGGGATGATTTTTACGTATTTTCACTATCTATGACATTTTATGACTAAAACTACTATGACTATTGACTGTTATCATTCATATTCTGTGTCTGAATTTTGCTACCCTGATTTGCTCATGTAACCTATGCAGACATAGCTGGATGACAAGAAATCCATCCAACAATTTCCTGGTTGGTGGTGCAATAACCATCTTGAAAAATATGAAAGTCAATGGGAAGGATGACATCCCATGTATGAAATGGAAAATAAAAGTCATGTTCCAAACCACCAACTAGTGATTTATTATGATATAACATAGACCCGGGCAAGCCGGCGGCGGAAGTTTCCCAAAAATAAATGACCTCTAGTTCAAAGACACCCTGTCCCGACCGTGTCCTTCCCTCGACAACCGTTTGATTTTTTCAGCGAGAGACGAAGCAAAGTCTTCACACTCCACACTCCACACTTCACACTGCACTCTTCGCACTCCAAACTTCAAACTTCACACTTCACACTTCACACTTCTCACTCCAACTTCCTTCACACTCCAAACCTCACACTTCACACTTCACACTTCACACTGCGCTCTTCGCACTCCAAACTGAAACTTCACACTCCACACTTCACACTCCACACTTCACACTTCAGACTTCACACTTTTCACTTCTCACTGCTTCCTTCACACTCCAAACCTCACACTTCACACTTCACACTGCGCGCTTCGCACTCCAAACTTAAACTTCACACTCCACACTTCACACTTCTCACTTCCCACTGCTTCCTTCACACTGCACACTTCACACTGCACTCTTCACGCCCCACACTTCACACTGCTCTAAACCTACGTGCAACCAAAAAACACTAGCGCCAAAATGGAGCAAATCTGCTAACAAATCCATTTCGTAACCTTCATGCAGCCACTCCAAGACGATGTACGAGATCCAGCTGCAAAAGACATTACGCATGCAGCCAAAGCAAGAAGCAACCTTGACGCAGCCATTCCAATGCGATCTGCGGAGACTGAGTTGCAAAACACAAGAGAACTACGCGCAATGGCATCGGAAATTGTAGCTCAAAAACCGGATCTCGACGCCTGAGCGAAAAAAAGACGATTTTGAAGCACTTTTTAAAAGGACTTTTAGAAGGAAAGTCACTAGCGCCAAAATGGAGAAAATCTGCTAACAAATCACTGTCGCAGCCTTCATGCAGCCACTCCAATAGGATTTACGAGATCCAGCTGCAAAAGACAATAGTATTACCAATGCAGCCACAGCACGAAGCAACCTTGACGCAGCCATTACAATGCGATCTGAGTTGCAAAACACAATAGAACTACGCACAACGGCGTCGGAAATTGTAGCTCCAAAACCGGATGGATCTCGACGCCAGAGCGAAAAAAAGACGATTTTGAAGCACTTTTTAAAAGGATTTTTAGAAGGAAATTCACTAGCGCCAAAATGAAGAAAATCTGCTGACAAATCACTGTGGCAGCCTTCATGCAGCCACTCCAATACGATTTACGAAGTCCAGCTGCAAAAGACAATAGTATTACCAATGCAGCCACGGCACGAAGCAACCTTGACGCAACCATTTACACTGCGGGAACGATCCTACAGTTGCAAAGCACAATGGAATTCCATCGGCAACTCATCCACCAGCACCACTTGCAATCCCATTTACATTGCGGGAACGATCCTACAGTTGCAAATCACAATGGAATTCTGTCGACCACAAATGCACGAAACACAGGTGACACCCCATTTACAATGCGGAACCGATCCGAGAATGATCCGACCATGATCCGAGACCGATCCGACCACACACGAGACCGTCTCGCAACCGTCGCACCGCAGAGGTAGATCATCGAGGTTCGGGGACGGACTTTGTATGGAAAAACATAGGCTTTCGTGCATCTGCTATCTCTCAAAAACGCATTTCGTGCGAGACTTCCTCCAAAACTCCATCGGCAACTCCTCCACTAGCACCACTTGCAATCCCATTTACAGTGAGGGAACGATCCTAGAGTTGCAAATCACAATGGAATTCCATCGGCAACTCATCCACCAGCACCACTTGCAATCCCATTTACATTGCGGGAACGATCCTACAGTTGCAAATCACAATGGAATTCTGTCGACCACAAATGCACGAAAAACAGGTGACACCCCATTTACAATGCGGAACCGATCCGAGAATGATCCGCCCATGATCCGAGCATGATCCGACCACACACGAGACCGTCTCGCAACCGTCGCACCGCAGAGGTAGATCATCGAAGTTCGAAACGGACTTTGTATGGAAAAACATAGGCTTTCGTGCATCTGCTATCTCTCAAAAACGCATTTCGTGCGAGACTTCCTCCAAAACTCCATCGGCAACTCCTCCACCAGCACCACTTGCAATCCCATTTACAGTGAGGGAACGATCTAGAGTTGCAAATCACAATGGAATTCCATCGGCAACTCATCCACCAGCACCAGGTGCAATCCCATTTACATTGCGGGAACGATCCTACAGTTGCAAATCACAATGGAATTCTGTCGACCACACATGCACGAAACACAGGTGACACCCCATTTACAATGCGGAACCGATCCGAGCATGATCCGACCATGATCCGAGACCGATCCGACCATGATCCGACCACACACGAGACCGTCTCGCAACCGTCGCACCGCAGAGGTAGATCATCGACGTTCGGGGACGGACTTTGTATGGAAAAACATAGGCTTTCGTGCATCTGCTATCTCTCAAAAACGCATTTCGTGCGAGACTTTCTGCAAAACTCCATCGGCAACTCCTCCACCAGCGCCACTTGCAATCCCATTTACAGTGAGGGAACGATCCTAGAGTTGCAAATCACAATGGAATTCCATCAGCAACTCATCCACCAGCACCACTTGCAACCCCATTTGCAATGCGGGAACGATCCTACAGTTGCAAATCACAATGGAATTCTGTCGACCGCACATGCACGAAAAACAGGTGACACCCCATTTACAATGTGGAACCGATCCGAGAATGATCCGCCCATGATCCGAGCATGATCCGACCACACACGAGACCGTCTCGCAACCGTCGCACCGCAGAGGTAGATCATCGAGGTTCGGGGACGGACTTTGTATGGAAAAAACATAGGGTTTCGTGCATCTGCTATCTCTCAAAAACGCATTTCGTGCGAGACTTCCTTCAAAACTCCATCGGCAACTCATCCACCAGCACCACTTGCAATCCCATTTACATTGCGGGAACAATTTCTTTGACTAACTCGTTCCCTAACGAACTCTTTTTCTTTGCTAACTCTTTACTCTCCTTGCTCTTTCTTTGACTAACTCTTTCTTTGCTAACTCTTTCTTTGACTAACCTCTTTCCCTCACTAACTCTTTCTTTGACTAACTTTTCTTTGACTACCTCCCTGACTAACTCTTTCTTTGACTACCTCATATATCCTGACTAACTCTTTCTTTGACTAACTCTTTCCCTCACTAACTCTTTCTTTGACTAACTCTTTCCCTCACTAACTCTTTCTTTGACTAACTCTTTCCCTGACTAACTGTTTCTTTGCTAACTCTTTCTTTGACTAACTCTTTCCCGCACTAACTCTTTCTTTGACTAACTCTTCTTTGACTAACTCTTTCTTTGACGAACTCTTTCCCTGACGAACTCTTTCTTTGCTAACTCTTTCTTTGACTAACTCTTTCCCTGACATTCTAAAAGTCCGTAACACGGAAGTTTCTCCCCCTAAACTTCCTTTGATCATGATTAGTCCATAGTTTACCAAGTTTCCATGGCTTCTTTATGTTTTTTTAATATGGGATCTAGTACCCTCTGGTTATTTAACAGTTCGCCATGGAAAATGGCCAATTTATAGATGTTTTTCCCAGCTATAAACCTCCATTTATGGTTGGGATTTTCCATGGCTATGTTAGTCATAACCAGAGGGCAAATGTTCCAACCAAACCACCAAGAAGATTTCAAGCCCAGCAAGGCCCTCCCAGCCTAAGAAATAGTGCTGTAAGGCTTGTTGCGCTTGGTTCACCAGCTCTTCAGGGACCTGCATCAAGGCATCTTTCATGGCTTTCTACGGGGAAAATCTACGGGAAACCATGGTTTTTGTCATCAAAAATTCATATGACAGTCTGGGTTTTCGGTGAATTCTCCCTAGAATCCAACGATTTGTTTCACATTTGGGATATGCAAAACCCATTCAAAACCCATTCGCATCCTGGTCGCCAACTTCACCTGTGCTAAGTTATTTCACCAACAACCCAACAGTTAACCTAGGAAAATATCAGTTGTATGATGTCTGAATATGGATCAACACCTAGCATCCCTTCCCCTAATTGTAAGCACCAGAAACCATGGGTTAGTAGGCGATTTACATACACATTTTTGGACCGCACTTTCTGGGCGTGTTACACATAGGGGATGGGATTAGTGTTGGAGAAATGGTTTAATATATTGGAGACATGGAACATGCAGAGCTGAATTGTAATATTTCACCATATTTTACCAACCTGAAAATAGCTGAAACTTGCTGCTATATGGTGATGATTCCCCATCTGTAATTCCCATCATTCCAGTGACGTCACCATGTCAAGCATTATAATTCAGCCAAATATCATGTGTCTATATATAATATGTATACGTCGGCTTTATATACCCAGTATATCCAGTTATATTACCTATCAAATTCCCATTATGTTGATATTATTATATCCCAATAATATATATATAATCTATAAGAATATATATATATAAATAAAATTATATTTAATAATACAAAACACATCCCATCAAATAGTTGGTTTCCCCAAACAATGAATTGTAGCAGTGGCACAATTCACTATAGATCCAACATTTTCATATCATTTATTCTCAAATTCATACTATGAACATATCCCTATGATCTCCCCATTGTAATCCCTTTTTTGGGGGGGCTAATGATGGCTAATGTCCCCATTGTCATCTCTATATTTCATGGTTAAACAAAGGCTGGGGATGTAGATCCCAGCTATCTATCTCTGTTGAAACGGGGATCTGCCAGCACCATCTGCCAGCCTCATCGACCTTGGCTTGTTCGAAGAACAAGGGATGCGCTGCCATGATGCCATAGGCAGCTTCAGCCTGGTGGAACATCGTTGGATACTACTGATTGTATTGGAGATATTGATAAGCATGTATAATTACCTATCTATCTATCTATCTATCCATCCATCCATCTATCTAACGAGCAATATTGCTGTCCTGATCAACAATATGATATGGCTTTCTTCAAAAAAAGCTAAACTTTTGCATTAAATTTTGGGTACCAAAATTCACTGGGAAGCCCAAAAAATAACGGCCTGTCGGCGACGGGATGCAAAAACATTATCATATCATGTCATATCATCATTTTCCATTTCACCAACAATGTCATGCGTCTTGGAGGTTGCGCCAACATTTCCTGTGAAAAACAACAGAAGAATTTCGGAAGAATAGCCCAGATTTTGGAAGTTGCCGTGGCAAAACGTCGAGAATCCATCGCCTGTTGTACAGCCAACTTGTAGTAGTCCAAATCATCAGCCAAGACCCTGGCCAGGTCTTCCACCCTTCGAGTTGGGTCTCTTTCAAAATCCCATAGCTGCCATAGCGGCTATTGAAATGGGTTTGTCTGAAAATAGGGTATATTCCCAATTATAGCCATTTAATAGGGATAATGATCAGCAAAACCATTGGGTTTAGGGGTACACTATTTTCAGACACACCCAAATGAAGGAGGATCAGCTAAAAAAAAAGTGCTGAGATGGTACAAGACATCTTTCTGACTCCACTGGATCCGGCCCGGGGCGCCTGCGTGCGATCATGCCACTGGAATGAAGATGCTTGGCAGATCCACAGGAGAAGCCACGTTTACTGGCCTGCGTGCGATGGGAAGCCATCTTAAGGATGTTGAAAGGTGGATATCATCTGGGTAATCCCATCATCCAACAAAAACATACAAAAACCATAGTTTCTAGAGGGTATTTGATATATTTAGAATGGGAGATGGGATTATCTCGGATTATCCAATTTCCATCCATTTCTAGTACGAAATCTATGAAGCATTTTCGAGGGACTTGGGAACATGCCCATCTTTGGACAAAGCTAACAAGTCCTGACAGCAGAATAACATGATTTGAGGAGGAAAACTTGTGGGAGACTAGCAACAACACTGGGAATGAAACCATCTCAATGTGAGAAGATCTTCAACAAAGTAACCTGAAGTAACCTGACAGCAACAAGACCAAAACTGGATTGTGGTCTCAACTCAGCACTTAGCCACAAAGGCCCGCCTGACAGCAGTCTTTTCCAATCAGCCAAAAGTCGTAGGTCACTAAAGGCAGAGGTCCAAGTTGCAGTGGGGCGACGCAGTAAAGCCTCTGCTCCAGCCATCCCAGGTCCATCGCAGGTAGCGCCATAACATGACCATCATTTCAATGGGAATTACCATGAATTACTGGTTGGTGGTATGCCAACACCCCTCTGAAAAATGATGGAGTGAGTTCGTCACTTGGGATGATTATTCCATTCCCGATGGGAAGTCATTCAAAATTCCATGGTTCCAGTCACCACCAACCAGATATTCACCATTATTCACCATTATATCATCATTAGATTAAGTGGATGGGATCCCATCGACGACCCGCGATTTGATCCTTTTTGTACCAAGCATTTCGGATCCACAAAACGCTGTACGCCACGATCACAATTTGGCCGATCTTTATTACCATGCAACAAAAATGTGATGTTTGGGGTATTGTTTTTAAATAAACACTTGCCATGATATATATATATAAATTTACCAACAAAAAGATCTGTAAAGACTAAAACTGTCACAGATTTCAAGTCTTTTGTACCCATCCCAGGTTGACATATATATACACCTCTGAAAAATATTAGTCAGTTGGGATGATGACATTCCCAATATGATGGGAAATTCATTCAAAATTCCATGGTTCCAGTCACCAACCAGATTAATTATATCTTTTCCAGGTCCCTAACGGTTAAGCCAGGTTACCCTCTGGTAAACGTTTACATAACTATGGAAAATCACCATTTTTGATGGGAAATTCCACTATTTCTATGGCCATTTTCAATAGCTATTTTGACATAACCAGAGGGTACCCAGGTTGGCCATCTGAGTCATCTGAGGCCACGACGATTCATCCTTGTAACCCATCGAGATGTTGACCTCGACATGGGTTCCTGGGAGGAAGTTGATGAATCCCGCATCCATCAGCTGCGCGCCCCTGGCAATGGAAGAAGTTGTGGGATGATACTTGAGATAATGGTGTGTATACAATCATAACATATCATAACTATAATCATCTGTGCCCCTTAAAAAGTTTGACCTGCGATCAAGGTTGATATGATATAGAATAGGGGATGCATGGGGATAAATACGTGTCTTGTCCGGACAAACAAGCAATGATCCAGCAAACTTGCACCACTGCTTCAGTGTCATGTGAATGTTCCACAAAGTCGAATGGATCCATACGTGTACCGTATGTGCATAAACAAACGGAAGGAGAATATATTCATGTCGTAGGCCATTGTAGGCATACAACATCATAGACTAGTCAACCCTGCACATACATCATAATACATCTATATAAGATCATCCAAACATTGATCTAATATATCATCTAATTATATGCGTTTCCCATGGTTTGTCCAAGAGACCCAGTGGTTTCTTTTTGCAAACACCGCACCTCGACACGTCGGGGTCCACACCTGGAACCGCTTGCGGTTTCTGAAAAAAGCTGGTGGTGAAACCCCATCAATCACTGAACTTAAGAACTCCATGAGTGAGAAATGTCCTCCCATTATCAGCCAAATGATCAAATGAAAAACCTTAAGGAACTATGAAAAAACATGAAAAAACGCCGTTGTTCTTGGAAACTGACCTTGGAAACTGCACTACTTCAGTGTCAAGCCCCAGTTCTCGCCTTTGTAGGTGTTGAGCCTCGTAAGCCTTAGCTTAGCACCAATCCGCCAGGAGGAACTTCACAACTGACAGGGATTTGTTGGGATGACCCATGACGGATCCGTCATATAGATGGTACATTGATGGTAAATTGATGGTAAATGATGGTATATATGGTATATATGTTTAACATGACTGGGGTATATTGATGGGATCCATGTGATGGGATCCATGGCACACCATATATAGCAGCACCATGGATCCGTCATGGGTTAGGAAACTTCCCTTTGCTGCAGGCCCTTCTCCTTTTGCTTCTGAAATTTCTGTCTCGTTGGATAGGCGCGGGACCTTTCAACCAAGGCACTCAAACCACTTCAACGTATACCTCGGGTGACCAGTCAACACAGCAGGGTGCTGGATGTTCAAACGCGGCGGGAACGCTGAACAAACCCCTATGGAATGAAGGATATTTTTCAAGTTAATGGGCCTGACCTGCCACATTCAAAATGAAGTAGTCCGAATAAACAAATACTTTGACTTATGAAGATAAAGAGATCTGGACGAAGATTTTCATGTTGAACATCGACATTTTCAGGTTCCGTCTGATCTTTTTCAGGTTTCATTGTACTCAATTTTGGAGGAAAGTGCAGAATTAGGTTAATTAATTTGACACCCGACATTCAAAAAGTATCAACATCTATTTTTTTTTGATCCATAGGCACAGTGAAGCCTCCCCTAAAAGACACCAGGTTGCGTTTGGTAGCTCATAGTTCCCAGGAGAATGCCTCAGATGACTGTCCACTGGCCAGAGACTGGTAAGCCCTGGCATCACCATTATAATCATCATTAATCATTAACAAAGTGCAAAGTGGAATGATAATCATTATTATTAAATATGGTTATTTAATAATATTATTTAACAATAATGGATAATAATAATATATAATAATCAATATTAATGATAGTAATGGTTAATAATAATGATTAAAGGATATTAAAGGTTAATAATGATTACAGAAATTACAGTCTGTTAAAGGTTAACAATGATTACAATGGTGATTATAATGGTAATGATCCAAAGTGGATATTTTACAGCAGATATCAGCAGATGCATCCCAAATTAATTGGGATCCAGCCAGCATCCTTGGGTAATCCCAACAAAATCAGCAAGATGCATAGTGTCCCATTTTCCTCGAGATTCTCTAATTGTCTTGGTCAAATCCAAGTTTGGATGGCACCAAGTCCCGGGATTTCTCTTGGTCTTTCATGGTCTTCATGCAATTTCATGAGGGCGATTTCAAAGCTTCGGTTCGGTGGTCCCAAATTGTCATTGACATATTTGTCGCTTGTATGAACTTATATGATATACGATATATGGTTGTTGCTGCGTTTATCTCCCAAATTCATTGGCTATATTCAAGCTCCAACGAGCTAACCTATCCCCATACGACTGTTGGATTCCTAATCGGCGATCCGGATTCATTCAAACATTGAGACATTAATTGAGGCATTAAAATACCAATCTGGGCACAGCATAATTGGGCAGGACAATCTTTGCAATTGGGAATGACAATATATCACAATCTCTCCATGACATTCTCCGTTGAATACTCCAGCGAGCTACTGTCAGTGGATGGTTGCGAAATGTTGCGAAATCCGAATCACCAGTAGATGGTCATCCCATTATAATCCCAGTGTACAGGATGGGGCCCCCCCAGTTATAAGTTGGTTACATAACAAAACTCCCATGAATACTAGTTCGTCATATCATGTGATATCCACCATAAACCATACCCTCTGGTTATGTCAAAATAGCTATTGAAAATGGCCATTGAAATAGTTGATTTACCCATTGAAAATGGTGATTTTCCATTGCTATGTTAGTTCACCAGAGGGTAAACCATAATTCATTCAGCCACCAAAATAAGGCAACTGAACGCAACATTGACCGGGGGCCCCCCATCCTGGCCGTATAGCTCTGGCCGTGCCTGCGATCCAAGCCAACAGGAAGGAAAATCCGAAGAATCCCAACGTTGACCTTGCGATGCTAAGGGAGGTGAGCACGTTCGACTCACTAGACGAAGTCACAAAATCATACAAAATCATAGATATTCTGTGGATTTCAAGATATTTCAAGACATTTCAAGACATTTCAAGACATTTCAAGATATTTCAAGACATTTCAAGATATTTCAAGATATTTCAAGATATTTCAAGATATTTCAAGATATTTCAAGATATTTCAAGACATTTCAAGATATTTCAAGATATTTCAAGACATTTCAAGATATTTCAAGATATTTCAAGATATTTCAAGATATTTCAAGATATATAAGCATTTTACCAATGATTGACCCACAGCTCTATCATGGTGCGGCAGTCTATCTCTATTTGGAACCCACATTGGCGCTGACAAAACCTGGCAAACGCATAGAATATGAAGATGGGCCAACAAAAAACTCCCAAAGGGTTCGTGGATAAATGATAAATTAAAGTGTATGTGTTTTTCTTAGTAACTAGTATCCACAATTCCAATGTATTTCTATGCAAACAGCGCAGTTCCATCACCGAAACAACACGTGACGTGTGCAGTTCCATCAATCTTTACAACCCAGAGCTTCTGGGGCAAATAGTTGGATGTCATGTAATTACTTATACATCTTATACCATAGTTGGAAATCACCAGGGATCCAATAACAGTGATGTGTCTCGTCCTTCATTTTGGCGTTTGAACCACAGTAACGCGGTTCACCTCCTAATCTTTGGTCTATCATAGACCCAGTTCTGCTGTAATGAACAACCAACTGGTGGTGTAGACGACTCATATCCGAAACAACATTTACCATCATTTACCGGATTCTTCCCCTTTCAATCAGAAATAAATCATCCCATCTCATTAAGATGCGAGTCCCCGATATTTTTCATAGTTGAACTGTTCTCATTCTTGACAGGACAGGAATTCCAACCCTGGTTAATTTCACATAACACCAAACAAGCAGCCAGTGCCTCACCCAAAAACCACCTGGTGATCCAAGAAGCGGTTCCGGTGATCGCCAGCGCAGCAGTCGATCCAGCCATGCGAAGAACATGCCTCGGTGAGCCCGGAGTTCAGCTCCCGGTGACCCCAACAAAGATAGACAAATCAGTGCTGGTGCTGGTTTTTGAAGGGGTTTTGTAAGAACAGCCCTGAAAACGTCTAACATTATACTCGTTTCAGTTTTGGATTTATTGATCAAAAAATTCCTACAAATGGATATATGAATGGAAATCGTAAAGGGAAAATCCACTATAAATGGAACACTTTCCTGTTCAACGTTTGAATACCGGAGGGTATAATCATTGATTTGGGGGTGCCTTTCAGGGACATGTCCCGACAAGCTGTACGCTCACCACGGCGTGACCCCGTGGCGACTCTTCTTTTGGATGATTATTGGGATATCTGGGCATCCCCATCTTTTGGTGAAACCATATCCCATATGCTCCATGTATGGTATATCTATCAACATTTGGGTGATTTGTTGGCAAATGTTGGTAAATATTCCGTGCATTCCATGCATGGAGCGATGGGTATCATACCAAATCCGTCATCCACGACCCTTTGCGGGAATATTGATCGTGGTTTTTCGTTCATACCATGGGCATACGGTATCATACCATCATTGTACATCCAGGTGTCATCATGTTCGTTGCCATCAATGGTCCCATCCTCTTGCTTTGGACAACAAAAACGGTACCCCAGAATCCGATGATCACAAAATGTCAAAATGGGGTGTATATCAAATGTTCCACCACACCCAAATATCGTATTGTTGGTGATATTTCCATATTCCACAAAATATGTCTAGGTTTAATCTGGTTATATCCCCATCATGCTAGTTATATATTCCCATTGAAATTTCATGAAATCTGCATGATTAACATATAGAATGCCCCATCCACTGATATCCCAATGTTACAGAACATCCCGATTTTACTCCCGTGATATCTCTTTTTTAAATGCCTGCAAGGTCGTGCCCCCCCAGTGAAATGTTTGTTGGTCTATGAACCCCAATAACTAGTTCAATATATCCTCCATAAAGCATAGAATTTGGAATTCTTTTGAACAACTTGGCTATCATCAATCAACTATAAAATCAATAAATCCCCGTTTTTTTCTAAGTTTCATCGCCATTTTCTATCATGTTCTCCATGTTTTCCTTTCTTTCTCTATATGTTGCCCATTTCACCATGCTTTTGTCCAATGATCTGGGTAAATTAGAACATAAATCACTAACCTGAATTGTTGGGCCATTTGGGGATGATTTCCCTAAAATAAACCATGATTCCAGGGCTCGGAAGAACAGGCTTCGGTCGTGATGAAATTTACCCAGAATGATCCACCAAGAAACAGATCAATAGCAGGGCGCCGCAGGCCAGTGCCACCATGGTCTCTGCAGGATTCGTCAAATGCATCGAGGAGGCCACCGACAAATAGGTGAAGGCCTCGGACTGGGAATGATGTTTTTGATGATACTAAGTGGATATAACTATTGGTGGATATAACTATGATAACTATGATAAGTGATCATCAAAAACATATGGGTGGATATAACTAGATATCATCTTATTGGGAAAATAAAGTGATGATAAGTGGATAGAACTATGATACCGTGGATGGTTGCGAAATCCTGCACCAGTTGGTAACCACTGGTAACTATAGAACACTGTAAATAATGAGATTATAATGGCATACACCATCTACCAACTGGTGCAGGATGTCTTCCATCCACAAAATAACTATGGGAATATAACTAGTAACTATAGGGGATAGCCAGTTATATCTAAATGGGAATATAAGTGGATGATATAACTATGATATAATTGATCAATGATGGTTGGTTGATGACTGGTGACCAAAAATATATGACAATCAATCCATGAATGGGGATCGGGGATTATACCAAGCCCAGTGGCTGCTAAAGGCAGCCCATGAATGCAGCCCGCTTGGTTGATGTTTCCTTCGGGGATTATACTAACAAATATGTTGGGGAATATCACCATGAACTGGGAATCCGTGTCAACCAAGATTGGGATATTGATCACCTCCCATTCATGGCCAACCATGGGTAATTTATGTTAACCATTGACTATAGATATTGCTATAAAATACATTAACATCAGATTTCCCTCTGGAAAAAATAACCATTATTAATAAACCATTATTAACCATTGACTCATAGTTAATTATACATTCGTAGCAAGTCGCCTATGGCATTTCAGTACATATTTTTTGTACCAAAACCCCCTGTGAGAATCACCCCCTGGACTTGCAACTCGTGGCAGGGTCGCTATGTTAGTTGGGATGGTATATTCATAGCAATTCTAGCGGTGTTTTTATAGCTTCGCAGAAGGATTTGCCAGTTACGAGTACATGACCAGTGATTGTTTGCAGGTTGAAGTTCATAACCATCGTGATTGAATCCAACAATAAATGGGGACTAAAGTCCCGCATGAGGGGCCATCGATTGCTGCCAAAATGTTGCATGACCCTGATGTTTTTTTGAAGGGCTAAAAAGAAAGGTGAAATACGATGCAACATCTATACATCAATAGAAGTGCATGTGCAATTCACCCGAAATGAGCCATTTGTAATCCATTTGTATTGTGGGATGCGGTCCTCGCTTCTTCACCCAAATATAGCTGGGATAATGCCAGAAAATGTGGTCTTCTTCACTGACACCGAAGCCAAAATGGAAAAGCCAATGCCAATGTCAAGCGTGCTTCCCAGGGCCGGAAAAGCCACGAAAAGGTCTTCTTTTGTTTGGCATGGTCTCAGGTAAGACTTGAGAAGCTTTTGCACGGGAAGAACAGAACAACCACCGTGCTGTTGAAGTGGACAAGGATGGCAGAACAGAACATCCAAGCCAGGCCAGACATCAGAAAACTGCAACAACTGCAGGCTGCTCAGGTTTTTGTGTCCTTTCGGAGTTCAAGAGGACACAATACCAGTGGTTGCTGGGTGTGGCCAGGGAAAGATTCCTATGTGGGTCCACCAGCATACCCCCAGGTAGCAACCCTGTAACTTTAGGCTTCATTCCAGTGATACAACTGAGCCGATACGGCCAGTACAAAAATGGGAACAATGCTTGCACTGACCTGTCATGGCTGTAACATCTTGTAAATCTCTTTATGCTGGCGGAATAGGGGTGAATAAGCAGCAAAATTCTCACTGGTACTGGTAGCGCTCACTGGTACTGGTAGCGACCGACAATGACAGAGTATGATGAATCACAGGTGAACTGCTCACTGAGTGAAAGCAGCTCCCAATTTCTCGTGGCTGTTGATGAATGCAAAGCAAGTGCCTATTTAGAGCTGCTGATTGTAGGGACTTGGAAAGGTTCTTTTTGAATTTGATCAAACATCCTGGGTACATCAAAATTGGGCTGCGAACAACTTGCTGGGAAGAACGCAAACACATCTCTCGAATATAGAGCACCATTTCCCTGTCACTACCCAAGAAAAGAGATGGCGTTTTTACATGGTTTAAATACGGCTGAACCACTCAACATGTGGATGGACAAACATGTCCCTATGCAGTGCAAAACATTTTTTGTTTTTAGACTGGTTTGTCCGATTCGTAACCACCAAATTATCAAATTTCACTGGCTAATCATCATTTTTCTCAATGAAAATGGTGATTTGGGCGCCCCATTTACAAATACCAAGGCCAAGCGCTTGGCCTCCTGAAATTTCCTGAAATGGAACTCTGGGACCCCAACAAAAAGGCACCAGGGCAGCACAATGGAGAAGAAGATCGGGACCAAACTAGCCCTGGCCGGTGAACCTAAAGGAAAAAATCTGGTTGGTGGTTGACCTACCCCTCTGAGAAATATTAGTCAGTTGGGATGATGACATCCCCAATATGTGGAAAAAAACTGTTCCAAACCACCACCCAGAAATCTACTTTTCTAATCAACAAGGATCAAAATCCTAGCTACTTGGATGGCTTAGAGGGTATGGCGAATCCAAACAGCAATTGATCATCATTTTTTTGGTTGTTAAATGTCGAATAAATCCATGTTTTCCGCCTGGTAGGTACTCACGAAAAAAAAATCACCTGATTGTTGGTCACGACCCAATCTATCCATATCTGTGTTTCTTTAGATCCAATCTTTGGTGGTCAATGTCTCAATTTGCTATAAAATCATGGGATCTAGTCCAATTTCACATCCGCAATGAGATTGAACATTCGCAACGTTGCCGGAATCATCAAATAAATGTCTGGGACAATCCTAGTGTTTTACAACCAAAATAGTTTCTTCCAATAGTGTAGCCCATTTAGCCTGGGGTTTATCCCATTGAATACTGGGGCACGACCATGATTGTCAATCACATACCAAGCGAAGTTTGAACCAACCAGCAGCAGTAGGGTAGCAGGAGTGTACCACGTATAACACGTAGCATGTGGGGCAACTGGGACGCTCCTCCAAATAGGTAAGTCGGGTAAGTGGTTCGCATCCATGGTGATAAAATCTACACAAAAAGATACAAAACAAATAGTTTCATATTGCTCTGTCATCAAACATCCCCATAAGCAATTGTCCACAAAAACCCTTTCAGATTTTCCGGATTTTAGTAACCCAGATATAGAAAAGTACCTTCACAAATCAGAATTCACCAGCCATTCACCAGCCCAAAATGGGCGATTTTACCCAGAAATCGGCAGCGCCTGAGCTTTGGCCGACCCTTCAGCAAGTCCAGTTCCATGGATCCATAGCCGCCCCATGGTCGGAACTGCCTCGATGTTACGAAAGGATCTAAAAAAAAGTACCTTAAAATGTTGTGAAACATCAAAATCAAACAGAACGCAAATCATATATATATATATGTATAATATTAATATATATATATATGTATATATATATATATTCAAATATGCCATACATCCACGGTTGAGCCAGTAATGTGGTTTACACGTACCATTGGACCAGGCTCCAACCTGTTCCCAGTCAGTGATATGGCTGACTGTTAATACGAATACACCACCTTTTCTTGTTGGTTTCCTAAAATTGTCAAGGAAATGGTGAAGATAGGTATGAACTATCACTGGATTGATCACAACGATTTATACTTAGATATGGATGCACATGATTGGAGGAAGTTCTGAAGTGGAGCTAAGGATCATAACGATCATAATATGTCAATACTTGACCAAGTTGAATTGAAGGCAGCCACAAACAAAACAACATGTGCTGCTGAGTGGCTTGATTTGGGGATCTTATCAAGCAACAAGGATGGACCGGACCCACCATCTTGGAATCCACCCCGCTGACGTGTGAACTTCTTAGCCGGGCATGATCTTCAACCATTAATATCATTATAAAATCATTATACAATAATAAAAAAATATCCTTATGATTATCAGTGTAATGGTTAAAACATGTTAGAACATATTAAACTTAACTGTTAAACCATGTCAAAAACGGCTATCTCCCCCCCAAAAAAGGTTCTTGGGATCTTCGACTCCTCGGATGGTTCTGGGCAGCCCCGACTCCTCCTTGTAGGGTATATGCAAAGGCAGCGGCATCACTGGAAGGGACCAACACACGGAAATCAACACACTGAGTTTCAACATGTTTCAACCTCTTTTTTGACAGTCCAGAGTTTCGCGGATGCACATAGACGATCATTTTGAAGCCAAATGTTTTGAACATCGTTGATACACGAAGTCGACCAACGAAAAAATGCCGAACCGCCCAGTGCGGTTCGGCTCTCACAGTGCAACAGTTCGGTAGACTGATCCTGAAGCCGCGGCAAGAGCTGCCACAGAAAGCGACGCGCGTCGTGTCCGTGTCCGACAGACCGCTTTGGATGTTGAAACATATTGAATCTATAAGTCTATAACAGCTATTAACAGCTGGTAACTGCATTACACAAAATCAAGTGATCACTTGATTTTTGTTTGCTAACTTCAAGAAAAACTCTGTGCTTTTGGGTATTCTCAAACATGGTTCCGATGACAATGAAACAAAAGGATGGTTTAGTTTCAAGGAACCTTTTGCAGAGAAACTACCACCCAATGGGGCCTTCATTTAGCCATTCAAATGCCATCATAGCTTTCGCTGGTTGAATCCCTAGTCTTGTTCATGAATTCCCAATTTTGGTGGCTTGATTCGAAATTTTATTTTGGCTGTCTCTTGGTTGAGTGAAATTCGATTGTGAGCAAATTCATGCAAATTCCATATTTTCTCAAGTCCATTCTCCTTATGTGGCTCGAAATCCAGCTCTTGTTTACTGAAGTTCCTGAAGTAAATTAAGAAGCTCAACAGCCATTTTTTTCTGTACGCGACAGGCCTTTTTTGAGTGACCTGACCTGGGTAAGGCCTTGAATCGCTTGAATCGGGGGAATGGGCCAGGGGCCCAATGATATGGTCCCATTCTGGTCTCAACTGCACTGCTGACTCGATGGGATTCGATGAGCGGCAGCCACGACCGGTGGTAGAGTTTCTCATTGCACATGGTTAACGTTTTTTCATCTACCGATAACCGGTGCAGAATTTCTGCGATTGACTTCCAGTCATTTGGGTTTTAGAATCAGGCATATTCAGGCTGTCCGTCTATTTCTAAAGCTGTTCCTCTAAGTGTGGAGCTTAAAGAACCCTTTTGGGAAAGTTTGCGGACGCGATTCAATGGACTTGCCCGTCAAGAGAATCACAGTAAGCAAAATCTAATGCTATACAAGTCAGCTGAAAATCAGCCGAAAGGTCACTGGGTGCGAAGTCCAGTTTTCAATCGATCTTAAGTGGCAAAAAACACAGCTCATTATGTCATCATGTATGCAGCTAGACCCAGGTATCGAGGGTCAAAAACAATGCTTCTTCACCTGTGCTGGCACAAGTTTGTCTTCATTCCCAGCAGAAATCAGCAGAACAAAAAACACGATCCAGTCGCACGGTCCCGGTCGCAGTGATGGTCCGCCAGATGTTGGGTGAACTCCACTGAAAGCCAATGAAAAACCCCAGTTTTGGATAAATATAACCTAAGTTCTAAGCAGTTCAATGCTTTTCTGAGGCCGAGTTCTCACTTACCTCTTTCCAGTTCTAACTTCTAGCTCCAACCACAAGTCCATCAAAGCATCATGGTCATTCTTAGAGACCCTGCAAACAACCCAAATGTTCAGTTCGTTAATTAATTAATGCATATCTCCATCACTAACAGCAAAAAAACAGCGAATTAATAGCAACAATAGTAACAACGAAACACACTGGTATAGTCCATCACAATAAAAAAAAACACCCAAAAAAGCTGCTCAACAAGCCGACCGACCCAAATGGTAAAGGACAGCGGGGCCTATCTCTGCAGGAGACGGATCCGATATGTTGACACAGGAGTGCCGAAGCGCCGTTCAGGGCAGGGCCTGTCCGTTGGAACCATGGTGCCACCTCCCATATTTTGAGATGTTAAAACAATTTAAAACATATAAACAGCTCTCCACACCTCTCCACACCTCTCGGGGGATTAGCCTCTGGCAACCACTTAAGCTTTTCTTCTAGAAAATCCACCAGACAAGATGACATGTTCCTCTCAAACAGTAAGATCCTCCAGCGGCACCCTAGAAAATCCACTGATTTATCATCATTCATATATATATTCATATCATTCCCAAAAACTGTCAAGAAAAAAATGGTGTATCAATGTATAAACTGAGAGTTTTTGACAGTGGATTTCCCAAAACCACCGTAGTTCCCATGGACCAATTGATGTCCATCCCACCTGATTTAGACTTCACCCATCGCAAGATGTGGCAACACATATCCTGCGGATCAAGTTTTGGCCGACCCAAGGTTCCACTCACATCATCAATTACCATCTGGTTATGACATTGCCAGTTCGCCATGGAAAATCATCATTTTTAAGAGGTAATCATCTATTCCTATGGACCATCTATACCATGGCTATGTTAAATAACCAGAGGGTATTTAGCCCTGGTGAATTTTCCACCTCGCATTTTCACTTCTGCCAACAGAACGTATTTTGAGTGAACACGACGTGCAAAAGACATAAACTGAGGACTTCCATGGATTGAAGAATGGAGTGAAGACTTCGGCAGTTTCCAAATGATGCATCAAACTGTAGAAAAAAAAACCGAGGAATTCGGGCATTCGGGAGCTTTTACATGAGCTTTTACTGGTGATATCCTGTTGTCCAATTGGATTTGGAATGTCTTCCTATGGCATTCCAATGGGGGATCCTGATTTTTTCACTTCTAAAATGGCCTCGATGTTGGGGCCCATATGGGGAATATTTCATATCACATATTGATCTATTGGATGTAGTTGCGACTGGATTCTTGACCAACTGGGCCGAGTTGATGAAGGCGGTAGAATCCTGTTGTATTTACATGTATTTACCATCATTAGTGGCTCAAATCCCCATTTTGCGAGTGCGCCATCTTTTTTGGCTAAATCTCTATGCTTTTGATGGCGGTATTCTCTACGGCTTTATCCAAAGAAAGTGCCGCGGCCCAGCTGCTTTGGAAGACCTTTCGCGAAGAGAGCCTCGGAGAATGGCGAAACATCAAAATCACGGGAATGAACATGATATGAATCATATGAATCATATGAATCATATGAATCATATGAACATGTTTTTTTGTCAAAAAAACCATCTCTGAGATTCATCATTTCGGAAATGTTTGCCGGTGATCCCATCACATTTTGTGACCGCTGAGGTGCACATTTCTTTTGTTGCGGTGTCACTGAAACATCTTCGTGTTGCATAATTCGAGAGTATGCATTTAGAACCATAGATTCACTTCAGAGAATTCCAAATATAAGGTAGTGTTGGTTACATATCATATATTTTCCATTCATATGCCAAAGTAAATATCAATATCCGATTGAGAAACAATGAACATGGTCATTTTGGGGCAAAATCCCAGTTTTGTTGTATACTCATGTATACACCTCATTAAAAAATACTCCGTTCCAATTTATAGCCCGTTGAAATGACCATGCATATATATATATATATATGCAAATGTAGATGTATATATGGCTATCAGTCAAAACCCTGGTGCGTAACCTCAAAATAGATGGTAAATAGATGTTCATCCCACAAACATTGATAGATATTGATAGTAATAGGTTCTGACCCCCGTTAAAGCTGGGCACCATTCGCCATGCTCCACGTTGGGCACCGCTTCCACATGCAGTCTGCCACTGTCGTGCAAGGTGCGGAGGCCAAAGGCGTCCTGTATGTTGATGGGGGATAATAACTATAGTTAAATAGGTAAATACATTATTGATATATATATATATAATATAATATATATGGTTCATGATTATTTGATAAGAATCAACTCATTCTTATTTCTGGTTTCTGCGGGATAACTATAGTGGCCTCTTCAAGCCATCATTGGTGGCATTTTTTGCCAGAAACCATGCGAAGCTAACAAATTATGGAATTTGAATGCCTATAGGGGAATAGTGCGGAAACATGTTCATTTCCGAAACCCAATTTGCTGCAGAAATCTCTCAAATCCCTGCTTTCCAGGGTTGAACTGATCCATTTTTCCCATCTTCAGCAGAAGATGTGTCCTCACGGAAGAGCTTCTGCTTCTTCATCGGAAGAAGTTCGTCATCCGTGCCTGGATAAGATTGGGGAGATGACAAAATGTCCATCATAGCTGAAATTAGATAATTTCAAAACAATGGGCCACTTTCTAGCTGGGAATTTCCCCGCTAACCCACTATAACCCATTAACCTGCCCAAAGGTCTTCTTAGATCAATCTTTTCAAACAGAAGCTTGGTCGTGTTTGAGACCAACATGGACAAACATCCAGGGCCACAAGAAAATCCAAGGGATCCAAGATCCAAGGGATCCAATTCTTCGGGCTGTTGGTTTCCGAGGCACCTGGTTTGTAGAAGCCAAAGATTCCAGATTGCCATGGTTCCAAGCCCAGTTTTGAGTCGTAGTCGCGATCTTGGAAACTGCCAACCAGAAACCTCGGGAAGGAAGGAGTTCGGGGGCCAGATCTGCAACCCCAGCCTCAAGATGCTAGCCAGTTCGTGTTTTTTTGTCCTAAATGGCGTTTCAAATATGGACAATTTTTTTTCCCACTCTAGCAGCAACAATTCCATACAATTCCTTTGTACCATCATTTTCTCGTGATTGGATGTTCATTTCAATGTGTGAAACTTGTACTGTATATTTACTATGGTGAATCGTCTTCAATCTTTTGAAACAAATCGCCCATGACAACAAGCCTACCATCTGGATGTTCAAAGGCCGGTCAAGTAGTCGTCTGGAAAAGGCACGACGTATTTGAGATCCCAGCACGAATTCAATGGGATAAAAATGATCAAATAAAATTGAGACTCCATTTGAGTTTTCTCTTCCGTAACCCATAGGATCCATGTATGGTATATATGCTAACATTGGGGATATATTGATGGTAAATGTTATCATATATACCATACATGGATCCTATGGGTAATGATCTGATCATCGAGGGACACGGCTTTCCTCAACTTCACAAAGTTGCCTTTGCCGACACTGCCGCGGCCCACTTCGCCGTTGGCACGAGGCAGAAAGGCCTTAGAAAGGCCCAGCGGCCCAGCAGATCCATATGGATCGTGGATCCGACAAGCCACAAGTCATCGCAGATCCTTCAAATTTCACGGAACATATTTTAGTCACCATATTTTTTGTTGGAAAAACTTCAGACAAGGGAACCATATGGGAACCTGTATGAAGCTATAAAACCATCAACTACCCGTCAACGACCCTGGTTCCGCTTGAGATGAACCAGTTCTACGCGCCTGGTCAAAGTGGGGCCACAGCCCACCCCAGGTGAAACTAAAGCAGTCAAACGTGGCAACAAAAAATCACTCAGATTTCCCAGTGATGTTAGCTTCGCAGGGCTAGTGACATTTCCTTTCAGGTAGTCTTCCTCATGCAAGGGGTCGTGCCACAAATTGGCTAACCTTAGCTGTGACAAGTCGTGTTGAAATCGGGAGCTGTGGTTGGTTGGAGAATCGAGTTACCGTTTCTACAGGAGGAGTTGTGAGCGGAGTATCCTCTGTCGGTTTGCGGTTAGGATTGGAAACCCGCAATTCACCACCTACATCAGGGATCATCAGCTTTCAATGTGCGTCCGCGAGAACGATGGTCATCACTGCCAAACGCAAAACTCCTTGACTGGCTGAGCATGCTGACAAAATATCAAATGATGAACACACGAGACAAGACCTTTTTAGGACAGTTTTCAATTATGTTTCATCACTTGGGACGTTTCGCTTTAGCATGGACAGTAGTCCCCACACCACTTGGGAAATGTTATCCAAAATCATCAACCATTATCATCATGCAGTCAGTATTTACATCTAATGTCAGTACGTCTGTATATGCAGAACATATGAATATGTATGAATATGTGTTGTATAGTTGTATATCAATATGTATGTATATACATACATATATATATATGGGTAAATTGTAGAATTTCGCTAATTTGGAACTTGCGGTCATGGTTGGGGATAGTTACCCATATATATATATAACAACCATGATTCCAGGGTTCGGTCGCGGTGAGGTCACTATAATTTACCCAGATCAAATTGGAGATTTCCGTCTGAGTAATTAGTCCCAGTCCGTTTGGTGAAGTTACTATGAAACATATGACACGAAGTGCAATGGCGCAACGACATGTCTTGCGCAGCAAACCGACGGTCCGGCTAGTGCTACTCCATGATTCATTGATTTCATAGATCATGGTTTCAGGTTCTGATATTCCAGGTATGGATATCCTCCAGAAATCAAACACGCGAAATCGGGAATGGCCCCATTAGTTCGACCATTTTTCCATTTTTTTAGCCTCCAGGGCTAGCTCGGGGATTCTTCAGCCACGTTTGATGGCGCCAGAGGGTATATCACTAAGGACTTCTTGGGATACATTGAATAATTACAGATATTCCAGGTTACGGATCGAAATTCAATATCTACAGATTTCTGAAAACACTATCTCGAATTTCAATCGAACATAATTATATTGTATTCCAGGCGCTATTATGTGTGTATATATATATAACAATATGAGATACCTGCCAACGCGACTGCAAATCACAGTTGCACCATCCTTTCTCCAGCTCAGAAACAAGCTTTGAATTCAGTTTGTTGGAAGAAGCCCGGATGAGCTCTCACAGCGACATGCTCCATGCCTTGCATTCACTCGCCAGCGTCTGCGTAGCAAACCATCGACATGGTCCAACGCCTTTGCCTTGGCTATCTTCATCTAGGATAAAGATCGTCAAACCGGACCTGCAGGTGCAGGTGTGCCCGGGATGAACCGGGATTGACTAAAGCAACGGAACGCTGCAAAAGAATATGCATAGCAGCGAAAAGATCGCAATAAGCAAGTGATAATATTCATCGGCAAAGAAACATCTCAAGAATCTTTTAGCACCGGGGCCATCCATCAGCGAAGGACAGTTTGTCAAGAAATGCTTATCGTTTCGTTATCGTTACTGTTTTCGTTGTCGTTCAAAGAGGGAAATATTTTTGGGAAAATGGCATGAACCAAGGAAAGTTGGAAAGCAAACCTGTTGTCATCGTCATTGCTTGCATGAAAGCGCGAAAATACAAAACGCCCATCCTGAAGGCTTGAACAATGGCGAGACAAAAAGAGCATCCAAATCCAGCTAGTTACCACATAACAATACGTGATTGGATACAAAACCGTTTGCAAGAATCAGAAATAAAGAAATTTGCCGGGATCAACAGTGTCAGCATACTTTTGCACATCTTCCGTTGTGTGAGCTGGGCATGACGTATACCCCACAACTGAGAGCCTAGATGATCTAGATGCTTCTAGAACAGGTATCGACCATCATGTCATGTACACCACTCCTTCACTTCCCACAACGATTTCGCATATGATATGATTCCCACGTTATCGTTTTTGGGGCTTCACTATATCGTTTTACATATCAAGATGAATATTTTTACATGATAAATCGCTCGAATACATACCTCCTACACGGAGAGTTTAGCCTCTTTCTCATATGGAGGTTTCCTGAAATGGGGGTACCCCAAATCATCTATTTTGATCGGATTTTCCATGAAATTCACCATCCATTTCAGGGGTACCCCAATTTATGGAAACCTCCATATTGTTATATTATACTGGGTAAATTATAATATTTCACTAACCTGAAATAAGGCAATTTTGGGATGATTCCCTTATTAACCATGATTCCAGTGAGGTTGCAGTGAGGTCGTTATAATTTACCCATATAAATAAATATATATGTATATATATATATTATAATTAATACAATATCTAATGACTCCAGGCGACGAGCTGGAGTTTTGGAGCGATCCGTAGGCGAAGGTGTGAAAGTTGCTGGCCAGGATGTCGGCCTTGGAAAATTCAGGGGTCTTCGTTTTTTTTTTTGTTTTCTTTCCATCTTTTTACCATGGATTTTTGAGGAAATCTACGATACATCCATGGGAAATCCATGGATCACTTTGGATCAACGGATTGGTAGAAAAAACACCACTTGGTCCCCCCCGTTTGGTACCCTAAAATATCTGGTGAATGGATGCTTGTTCCCCTAAATATGGTGATCATAGATTTTAACCCATCCCCATATGTGTATATATATATATGTATACACATCCAGTTGTATCCCCATAATATCCCTACGTGGTGTACGGCATTGTATAACCATAATATCATCGATATGATATAATGGACACGGTGATATTATGGGTGTATATATATATATATATATGTATATATATATACTGGTTGGTGGTTTCAATCCCTCTGAAAAAATATGTCAATGGGAAGGATTATTCCCAATATATGGAAAAATGTTCCAAACCACCAACCAGTATATGTTGATGATATTCTGGTGACATTAGGGGTATCGTATCCCCATCGTATCACCATAATATTTGGCTAGCGGCTAAACACAGTTGAAACTTGCTGCCTTCTGGGGATACTTCCCCCAAAGCTAAAAAAAAACATTCCAGTGACATCACGACGTGAGGTCACTATAATTCAGCCACATGTTTACCCTCTGGTAATAGCTGACATAGCTATGGAAAATAACCATTTATAGTGGATTTACCCATTGAAAATTGTGATTTTCCATAGGTATGTTAAATTACCAGAGGGTATGTATATATATATATATATAATGTGTTGTCTTTATATCCCCATTATATCCAGCTAAATGCCTATCAACCTCCCATTATGCTGGTGATATCCTAAATATCCCTATATTATATGTACTTATATGTATGCACCCCATGAAAAGGTTGTTTTGTATCATATGCCCATAACATCACCAAATATCCCACAGAAATATCCGAGTGGCGCCCATCGACATGATGGAGGTTGGGATGAACTGTGGCAACCTCGGTGATGTAGTGTTTCCCCCATGCACCACCACCAAGTGGGATTGTGAAATTGGAATTACTCTTATTTGGGATATAAAATGCAACACAAATGGTGAGTTTCTACAGGGATGGTTTCTTCCAATGGCTTGTTTACTTGACTTGAGGTCTAATGGCTTGTTGAAACCAATCTTCCACAGCTCGATATAATGGTTTCACACCCAATAGTTCAGTTCTGTTCAAGGCCAAGGGAATCTTCCCCATATATGTGAATTACTCACCCCCCACAAAAAACGTCATATTCCATGGTGTTTATCCACATTATACGTAGGTGAATTGCCACCAAAAACATACATGGAGGTTTCCTAAAATACGGGGGACCCCCAAATCATCCATTTTAGAGGGATTGTCCATTATAAACCATCCATTTGGGCATACCCTCCAGGCCCCCCCCACATTTTCCAAGGATTTTCCCAGAATTTTCCTCCAAGTCGCGGAGGGATTGGCAGATTTTTCTCCAAGAAGGGCTGAGCAGATTCCAGCCAGGTCGTGCCATAGACGCCCATCCTCTGACTTCAACCAGGGTGGTTTGATGGATTTTTTTATGGGGTTAAAATGGGGATTTCATGGTGGTTTGATGGATTTTTAAGGGGATATATATATATACACATACATACAGATTTTTAAGGGGATATACCCTCTGGTTATTAAACATAGCCATGGTATAGATGGCCCATTTATAGATGGTTTACCTATTAATAGCAGGGTGATTTTCCATGGCGAACTGTTAAATAACCAGAGGGTATATATACTGAGATTTGATGGTGGTCAAAAATGATGGTTTTTCCTTCGAGATTTCATGGTGATTTCATCCTGGGGATCTACAGGAATGGTGATTTCATGGGATGTGAAAATGGTATTTGTCTATAATGATTGGATATATGATCAGGAATCTGATATTTAGTTGTCTGAAATTGGATAAATTGGTTAGTGTACCCCCAAATAGCTATTCAAAAATAAGGAAACTGATGAACAATGGATTTAGGGGTACACTATTTTCAGACAAAGCCATTTGTATGTAGAGATTCTTTATTTTCAGATCAAAGATTGAAAACAACACAATAAATTATAAATGGTCCATGAATCAATAATTTGTATTTCATCAACCATCCAACTTTGTTAACAAACTCATGATGTATTTTTGGATCCAGTAGTGGTTTAGTGATTCTCCATGAATCACTCGATTGGTGCTGCGTGAAACCATTGTCAAAGCCACACTATCCACCTTGTTTTATCAACCATTTTATGGTTTAAAACATGTGAATATGGTTATATGCCATAAATGGTTGATATGCCATAAATGGGTTCATGTTATCAACCATTTACGCTTCATTTTTGGCATATCACAACGGGAATCACCGGAAACCCTGGGTGTTTTTGCTGGCTAAAAAATCCAAAATCAAATTTTTGGATTCACCGAAGCGTTTCATCCTCTACTGATATACCATCTGGTTATTAAACAGTTCGCCATAGATGGCCCATTTATAGATGGTTTACCTATTAAAAAGGGTGATTTTCCATGGCGAACTGTTAAATAACCAGATGGTAGGTGGTGGTTGGATGCATTGTATTTTTTTGATTCTGGGCGTGTATTTGATAATTGGACAGGTTGTATCTCCTACATTTTGTACGTGGTTTTTGTCGTGCCAAACTGCGACCCAAATTTTCAAATCAAAGAACAGAGCATGGTTTGGGCATGAGTTCAAATTAAACCGAGGGAAACCATCGGTTTTCCATATTTTTTTTGGTATGTTTACTAAGGTAAATATCAATAATCTATGAATCTACCAATGTTATTCCATGATTTTCCATTATTAATCATTACTAACCCATATTAGCCATGGGTTTGTCATCAATTTTCTCAGCTTTTTTCCAAACGCGCAGCATTTTCACCAAGGAACTGAGGTCCAGCCAGGGAGATAAAATTCACCACCCGGTGATGATCCATGACCTGCCGTGGAGAACTATGAAAAAACCCGGGACGATCATCAGAATCTATACATGAGCCGTTTTCCATAGCTATGTGGGTATGGATCAATACCTATACATACCATTTTTAGGGGGATGAACATCCAGCTAAACCTGATGTGAACTACAGGGGTACTATTGGTTTTGACACACTGCCATGTGAAATAACCAAAGGGTATATATAGAAATACTGTGGATGGTTGCGAAATCCTGAACCACTTGCCATGAAATACTAAACAATGGGATTATAAGGGGATTTTGCCCATCTACCAACTGGTGATTCGGCATCCACAGTCCATGATGATACAATGAGCAGGTAAATAATCTTTAACATTTGTTTTCCCACACATCTTATAGCATACACCACCATAAACCAATATCAATTTGGGACATGATAAGCTGGCAGAGGATATATAGGCGCAATTAAGCGAGGAGATGCATGTAAGCAGTATTTTGATCCATAGGAAGGAAACCATGGGCATACGACTGAGAGGACGATACAAAAAACACAACTGAACAGAATCATGCCCTTGGAGGAGCTACACATGGGGATAGAAGCCATCAACGTGGCAGGATGGCGTCTGTCCAAGTTTAGTGATTGAATTCGAAGCCTGACAATCAGTAGCTGGTCATGTGGCATGAACCAGCAAAAGGTAGTATCCGGTTGTTCCTTTCAATCTCTGGAATTTAGGGTGGTCTGAAATCATTCCAAATCATTCCAGATACCAGTAGAGATCGAAGAGCACGGAGTTTGTTAAACAGTTCCAACTTCCAACCACAATGTTCCACTTTTTCTTTCCAATCAAATTGTGGTTTTTTTTCTGGAAACCTCATTTTCCATACATCAAACCACTCAGGTTTCCACACCATTTTCCATACCTCAATGGCCATGGTCCTGCCATTCGGTGATTCCAACCCACCAACCCAGAGTCGTCCCAACCTGCACGGCCACGCGGCACACCAGCGCGCCCTGGGAATGGCAAAGCAGGTTGTAGCCATGATGAAACCTGAGCGATTTTTGTATGGGTGAAACATATGTGAAACATATGGGGGTGAACGCCCTAGTCATGGGGCTATCCCAATTTTTCCAACAATTTTCCTGATTATCCCAATTTCCCCAATTTTCCAACAATAGTCATGGGGGTATCCCAATGATTCAATAGCTGGTTTACTATGGAAAATTGTTGGAAAGGATGATTTAGGGGCCCCATTTCAGGAAAAAAACCACCATTTTGAACCAGCGCACCACATCCAACGACTGAGGAAAAACCAAGAGATGTAACAATTGAGAATAAAACAGCAATTTCTAACAGCAAGATCTGGTTCCCGAATCCTGCATACCCAGAACAATCAGATGGGCGAAGCACGAGGGGATGGATAGTGCTGAGCAAAGTTCAGCAAAGTGAGCAATATTTATCTGGTTGGTGGTTTCAACCCCTCTGAAAAATATTAGTCAATTGGGATGATGACATTCCCAGTATATGGAAAAATAAATTTCATGTTCCAAACCACCAACCAGGTATCGTGACGTCTTACCAAATGAATCCAAATGATTCCAATGGTCGCCGTTGCGTTGACAAAAAATCGCTGAAACACTTGGGTTTTTAGCAATGTGTTGCGACGGTTCCGCCCATGTTGTTCACCATGGTTTCAAACATTCCAAAAAATGATCCCACATGCAGACACCATGAAATCATATTAAATTCCATGGATTTACCATGGTTTTTTTCAACATTCAATTTCTTTACGGTGCGACACGGCGCTACGCACAGTTCGGAAACTGGTCCGAAGAAGATGACGCGAGTTGAACTCCAAGTGACAGCGTGACAGCTGCTGTATCCCCAGCTTTCATCAAGGAGTTGCAGAAAATTGCTTGACATGTACAGGAATGTACAGGAATGGCTTGCAGGAAACAGTCCTGCATAACCCAACTTGAGAGATTTCATATGTTTCATGCTCATAGACTCCATAGATCTCCATAGACACATGAAATGGATTACCCTCCAGTAAATTAACATAGACCCTGGCAGTCATCGGGGTTGGAAGACTAGTTTCCATTAAAAATTGGTGATTTTCAGGGTCCAACTGTTAATTTACCAGGGTAGTAATATCCATTAACCATCACTATCCATGATTATCCATCATTAACCACCATTAAACATCATTAACCATGTTAATTTACCAGGGGGTATCATGTCTAGATCACTAAGTCGGTGACTGTTCAGGGAAGTCCTCCACCAGCCGACTGAGGTACCTGGAGATGAAGATGACATCTAATGCCACAGGATATAGTAGGATATTGATAGGAACATATGGAGTAATATATCGGATAATAGTCTTTTTGATAGTGGGATTTCCTTTATACTTTTTTTTCACGGTAGCTGACTATCATTTGCACACCATCCCCAAGTGATGGTAAGCTATTTCCTTCATGAGATCCCCCCAAAAAAAATGACAGCTGGATGGTTGAACTTTGCGACTCGACATCCTCTGGACATGTTTTTCTGGGGGACCCATAGAGCCCTCCAACTTGCTCCTGCGCAGTAGGGATTTCAGCAGCAAAAATGGTGAAATCCAAACTTTCAAAAACCCATCGGTTGGTGAGTCCTTTAAAAAAGGGCTTCTTTTCCATCATTTGACTGTGGCTTTGACTAAGATGGGGAGTTACAGATCTGATTGGCCATAACATCTTGGGGACAACATAATCGATGAATTGGGAATTTACTGGCACTGTTTGCAGTATAGAAAGCAAGCATTTAAGTGATTGAGGACTCATTTTCTTGATATAGATTCAATGAGATTTTGCCCATCTATCAACTGGTGATTCGGATTTCGCTGACCCATCCACAGGATTTTCCAGCTTGATCAGACCCCAGGCTCCCCAGGTTCACCAAAAAATGCCCCCCTGGAGACAATTCCACATTTTTTTGTTTATGAAACAAAATAAGTATGACACATATTACATGAATAGTCATATCTAATTCTATATATAATTCTATGTATATATATATACAATCATATAATTATATATGTAAATATATAGTTAAACATTACTATATAATATAATCAATCATCATGACATGACATGGAGAATGACCCAGTGGCTGGCTATAGTTCCTTTTCGCGAAAAACGCGCTCCTCCAGTGGACTGAAGCTGTTGGTGCCCGTGAAGAGGTTCACCAGCACAGTGAAGGTTCCTGGTGCAGCTTGAGCTTCTGCAGGCTTTTTTTTTGGATTGAACATCGTTTATGGGTGATATTTAATTATCAATCTTAATGATTAAAACCGCTTATATATATATCTTATATGAATAAGAAATAATCTAAGATTAGTCGAATTTTATGAATAGATTATATATATATGTATTTATGGCATCTTATGGGGATAATGGGGATTGCCCATTAACAATTCAGATCTATCAAATGAGCGCTGTGAAACCTGACGCTCGGACTCCAGCGTGTCATACCGTGTCAAATAAAAGTCATGTCTAATCTGAGATAACAACCGCAAAAGATAGCAAAGATAGCTTGTTCAGATTGCGTAGTATACGTATCCCAATACAAAGAGTAACAAAACGAGACGCTCAAAGTACCCTTTTCCCAAGTTTTTTTTACGCCCAGAAATGAATGCAGCAAAGTTCTGGGGTTATTTTAAACGTTAATTTATCAGCCGTGAAATATGACGTGACCGAAACCACGACACGTCTTCGACCAGTCGTCCTGGGTGTTCAGATCGAATCCAGTGATTCACCTGGATGAACTCCTTCTCAGACTCTGCTGCTCCATGAAACATCACCTGCCGGGCACAAATTGGTGACTAGTGACTTGACAGAAACATCACCTGCCAAATCTCAGCTGGTTGGTGGTTAAAGTTTTAACCATCGGCTGAAAAATGATGGAGTTCAATGGGGTTGGGATGATAACCCATATATGAAATGGAATTTCTAATCCATTCATGTTCCAAACCACCAGTCAGTGTGCCGTGGATAAACTTAGATACCCAACAGAAAAATTTACACATTCCGTGAATATCATCTAGGTAGATCCACTTATATATCGCCATATATGGCAACAATGGCAACACTTCAAGTCACGGTCCCAGTTCCCTGAAACTGCTGTGGCTTCCAAGGTGCGACTGGTAGAAGTTTGCTGGCATTCGAAGCCTGCGAGTTGGTCCATTTTGGGACATTTTGGGGACCTTTTGGGGACATTTTCAGGTAGATTCATGGAATGATCATGTTAAACCATGTCCCCAAAATCTCCAAAAATGTCCAAACATCTTTGGATCATTTCCAAAAACAATGTTTTCCAAAAACCGGCGAATCTTCGTGAATCTTCACCAATAATTCTTGGAGTCACCCTCGGGGCGTGGAACCAGGTGCAGGTGAAAAATCCAATTGTTTTTGAGACAACCTTGATATGATGTAATGTAACAAAAAAACATTACCTTACGGATACATATACACACATGCATGTATGAGTTATGTATGTATATGTATGATATGTTATGTCAATGATTGTCAATGCTATGTTGTGTTATGTCATGTTATGCTATGTTCTGTTATGCTGTGCTGTCTTGTGTTGTGTGATGTTATCTTGTTAAATCTATATATCACATGTCAAATACATGAACATACTATCCTGATTGCCGGTCTACTTCCATCCTGCAGCCATCAAAATCACCTCAGATCCAACTGAGAACCTGGATTCACCATGACAGATGCTTTCGATGTCGATTTTGGATACAAACTGCACAACCATAGCCATTTGCTTCGCCGTGGTACCCCCATCAAAATGGTGATTAACGTAGTAAGCCATGGCAAATCTGAAATACTGTGAAAACATACTGATTAATCTACTATAACTATGAAAATCATTACGTACTGTTATTCATATTCGAAAAAATCAAAGTACTCAACTATCCATCCAAGGTTTTTGCAGAAATGGCAACAAATGCACTGCAAGGGCCCCCTGGCAGAGCTCGGCAAACTCACCGTGGAACGAGAGTATGGTGCAGTTCCTCAAGACGAAAAAAATTGGAGAACTACATAGAACTACCAATTTGAACCAATTTGAACCATAGGTTTTCCATTGAATGGGGGATCGCTACTGTATCGATGGATCACGACTATTGGTATGATCCCCCATCAGTAGTGATCTGTATGGATACCCCACATGAATGGCTGCATACTACTCACATGGGATAGTTCCAGCCCTAATTTGATCGTTGTGTTTCTGGGGGCCACATCAAGAACGGACCAAAAGCAGCACTTGCCAAGGCGTATCTATATATCATCCAGTAAGGATGAGAAACATTACGTCACCAAACACTAAGATCGCCAGCAATGGGGCTAGTGCCAGTGATATTTACGGAGTCTTGTGATTGCACTACCTAATGATCGGTCAAATGCGAAATTGCATGATCACATGGCTAGTCAATGACCATAACATGAACCCGTTTTTTATGATCTTCTGCGACCGCAATTCTGCAGCAACTTGCAGACTGGATTGAAAGGAAGTGTGCCTTCTGATTTGATGTGTGCGATGCATCCTTGCATGTTCTCCCTAAATCTCCCCAACAACTGAGTAAAAAAAGTGTGTGCTTCAGGTCTTAACTCCACTGTCACATTACAAGTTCAGTTTGCTCGCTATTTTGACCACCGATCCTACTTGATATATATCTTGATATCATCATATCAATGGCCATTTCAGGAACCGATTGATTGGAGGTACCTACCATTTTTTTCAGGCCTATTTTTCAGGCCTAAATTTCAGGTAATATCCCCACAATTTTTCACTGCTGATCCCTGACCGTCCCTGACCTTCAGGCAACTGGGGAGCCTTCTTGGATTGCACAGAGGCCTAGGGGCTGACACATGGTCAGCCAATTTCCAGGGGACATCATGGGGATGCAGTGGGATATATGATATGATATATGTAAATAACTGGCATAAATTAGGTAACGGTATATATATATAAGTTTATATAATTATATAATATCCATATAAGCAACAATGAATGACATTTGGGTTTGACTGAAGATGGGGTATATCCCCAAGTTGTGATTATTGACAAGTGGATGGAACGGGGTACAGTCTCCGATTCAATATTTCATGGCAAAAATGATAGGATGCATGTACAACAACACCTATTCACACACGCACATATATATATATATATATACCTGGAACACCGTATGACCATTTTTTGCAGTTATTTGACCGAATACTGCCGAATTTGGAGAAATGACAATTTTTCTTGGTCATATGCCAATATTTGGCGGTATTTGGCGACAAGTGGCATGTTTGAAGAATATTGATAAATATTGGAAACATATTGAAAACATATTGAAAAGTTGCAAGATTGAACAATATTGAAACATATTGAAAAATTATTGAAAACATATTGGAAACATATTGGAAAAGTACTCGTGTCATGATTACCCCCGCATGCGTGCAACTTAGAATTCGAAATTTTGGCATATATGCCGTATGACCAAAAAATATGGTCATATGCGAATTGACCAAAAAATACAGTCGTTTGGGGGTCCAGGTATATATACATATTATTTAGATGATATTATATTGAAAATATTGTTTATATTGTTTATATTGTTTATATTGTTTATATTGTGTATATTGTGTATTGATGGTTTTATGGTGCGATGATGATGATGATAATGATAATGATAATGATGATGATGATGATGATGATGATGATGATGATAACGACGACGACGACGGCGACGGCAGCGACGGCAGCGACAATGAAGACGTTGACGATGATGATGCTGGTGATTGTTCCTATTATAATGGTGACGATGATGCAAACAAGGCAAGTACCTGTACACTAGATGTGTATGTCTTGACGTATGCGTGTTCATGATGAATGTGGCTGGTATGTGTATACATCCAGGTATACAACAATTAATCCATGTGTAGATATGTGTGTATAAACAAATCAAAATAGATAACATTAGATAACATATTATATAAAACACATACTTTACTTCGAGTGATTCCCACCGGGACCGTATGTTGTCACAGTTTCTGACATCTCATCTGGAAGTATATATGGTCCATTATATGGCATATATTTCCTGACATTATAGTCTGGCATTCTATCTGACATTATCTGACATTCTATTCTGACATTCTATTCTGGCATTATATCTGACATCTATTCAATCTATTCTGACATCCCTTCTGGCCTATTCTGACATTCTCTCTGACATGGGAACTGCCCAGTGAGATCCGGAGGTCGCGGTTAAGTAAGGAGGACGAGAAGGAGAAAGTACCTCTGACAAAACTAGAGACGCTCACCTGGCAGGTGGGGAAAAACAAACAGGGTTCCCGTCAAGAAAGCACATATAAAACTGGCCCGTCAATGGGGGAACTTGAAGTTTGATGTTGTTGCCACATGGGGACGTGGGTCAAAGCGTGTTCAACCCACTCGGTAGTTATTCCCATGGTACCAGGGTTTTCACATATCCCCACATGAGGCAGATTCAAGGGTTTTGTGGTCATAGTGAGACCATACTGGCATACTACATTGTTTGTTGATTGTTTAGCGCCCTTCAGGGTGGCAAACCTACAGTTTAGTTTAGCAAACTCCCACCAGAATCAACGATGTCTCAACTCTGTAGACTCCCCAAATGCTGGCTGAAAGTACAAGCACTCACATCCTCCAAACTGGATACACAATCTGCAAATGCCGATGGCCCAACATGGAAAATCCACTTTGCAAGCTGCAGCCGCTTGTTTTCAGCGGGATGGTCGTTGATTAGACCAACCAGGGATGGACGTGTCTGGACTGTTTGTGGGCAAAAGGAAACCAACCCCTTTAGCCAATGGCGGGTGTTATGCTCTGGTAAACATTTACATAACTATGGAAAATCATGGAAAATCAACATTTTTGATGGGTAAATCAACTATGTCTATGGCCATTTTCAAGTTCGCAAACTATGAATGTTTACCAGGCCGGGTATCCATTTTTGTTGGAAGGGTGAAGTCAGAAACGCCTGAAATCCAAGCCACATCCAGGTCGGTCACGTGCACGTGCGCGACTTGAGTGCCCGTTGAGCCCGTGGAACCCGTAGGCTCCGGCAGTTGCTGTCTTGAAACTGCCAGCGTCACCAAGGCAAACAGTCCTCAGCCACGGCAATGTTTGAAGTTAGATGGAAATTTGGTGCCAATATGTGCCAATTAACCTGTATACAAACAACATCTCCACTTGGTTCAAACTACTGATCATCCTCATGTTTCATCAGTTTTTTGAACATTTAGAATCCTCGTTGATTTATCGGATCGATCTGCGATGTCTTGAGTTTGTGCTAAAGCAGTATCTAAAATCTCCGAAATCTCCCAGCATTGATCAACGTTGCAAAGCTGTCCCTCCATGTGGCGAAGCATTATGAAATATGTACCGTTCCGAAAGGATGACTTCTCCCATGTGCTGTGAACTCTCGACCTGGTGACGCATCACCTGATCGTAGATGGCCTAAAAAACCGGCTATCCGACTATCCATTTCTGTTTTAGAATCTTCCGGTCAATGAGGATTATGATTAACCATTATCAGAGTCACCCAGTTCAAGTATGTTCAAGTAATTGATTCCAGTTCACCCAACTATTCTATACTATTCCCTCCAGTATCTTCCAGTGAATTTTCCATAATTTTCCCATGGCAAAAATTCGTGGGTTGATACCGAGCGACCGAGCACTGCTGGCAGCAGCGTGCGCCAACCGACGCGGCGAAGCCGAGCAGTTCCGAGCTGGTCACGGTCGTCGGTGAGGAGATCCTCATATGGGAAATCATGGGGGTATTGTGATGAGTAAGAGTGGGATTATGATTATCATGATTTTGATCCTTCTTCTATATGTTTATTTCTATTCTTATTGTTAAATAATACACAACCATTATGATGGTGGGATTATTATTATTTGGTATAATGATAACTAGTATGCGATAATATGATATATGGTTTCTCTATCCTTTTTATGATCATTATCATCATTGTGGCATTTATCGTTGTTGTTATATGATATCATTGTGGGATTTATAGTATGATTATGGATGATTATTATCCATTCTGATTTATGGGCTTATCATTCTAATGCGATTCATGTAAGGGATTCAACCAGGTTGAAAGATATACCAAGCTAATTTACACCATAGATATTTCGCGGTAAAATACTATCATGTTGTTTTTTGATTCAAGTGGGATGAGATAATTTCATGGTCAATGGCGATCTCCCGCATCTAATAATGGGACATCACTTCCGTTCCCAACGAGGCACCACAGTTGGCCATATCGCCAGAATCAAATCTACCATTTGTTGCTGAACCCAAAAATGGTGCTTAATCATGGTGATTTTTCCTCATGTTTGATTGATTGAATTGCTTCGAACCTTCAATTTCTAGAGAGGAATCCTAATTCTTCAGCAGTGCTCAATGAAAACTTTCGGTCAAGTCAGGCAATTCCCAGGGCACCACAGGGGTGTTTCAAGTACACCAAGTAGTACGTGACACAGATGTTTCAAAGAGAGGTTATGTGTAATTATATTTCAGTAGATTCCAATATATTTCATATATCAGCAGCCTGAGGTGTTCAGGTCCCCGAAGTACTGAAGAGTCTTGTCAGGAGGTAAAAAGACTCACAAGTAGCTATGGAAATGCTATGGCGAAACAAAAATCCACTTCTAGATGACGTTCCTATGACGTTCCTATGACGTTCCTATCACATATGTTTTTTTCTCCATTGGCAGGTTAGATTGCCAGAGGTCACCGTTTCAACAGTGGACCCCCAAGTCCCGGCTGCTTTTGCCATTAGCGATACGCAATTTGGGATAGGATTTCTTATTTTGAGGCAGATGGTGCTGGTGAAAATCCTAAAATTCATCCAGCTTTACAAGACAATCCTGTCGGCCTCAATGCTGAAGAGATGCATACTGTGCAGATTCCATGAATCTCAATGCAGCCGTATTTCTGTGAGAAATGACTTGCCTTGTCTGGCAAAGTTTCTGCATGCTTTCATAGTTTTTTTCCTCTATTGTCTCATGGTTGGCCGAGAAGGATCAATTATTGTCTGGTTGCTAATTCTATACTGGTTGGTGGTGCAATAACCATCTTGAAAAATATAAAAGTCAATGGGAAGGATGACATCCCATATGAAATGGAAAATAAAAGTCATGTTTGAAACCACCAACCAGTATAAACTATGGTTTTGTGGAACCTGTTCTGACTTGCGCTTGTGGACATTGTGGAGGGACATCATTGATAGTGACGGTCCAACAGCGACCAACCTCAGGGTTGCGCCAACATCTTCGGCTGATTTGAACATAAAGTGGCTCAAACACACAATAACCATCGCATGACCCAAACACCCAAGTTGGTTGGATTTGGTGTGCCAAAACCAGAACATGAGCTCTCCATTTCTCAGATATACATCCATTGGTATGTCCGAAACATTCATGGTCCAGTGGTCCAATGGCTTGTTTTCATCAACTGATCGGGCGCAGTTACTGTAACTTTTGACTGTGAATAACCATCGTTTCCCCCCATAAAATGACAAACCACCTACTATAACCGGCCAGCTTTACCATCAGCAACCTCTTGGTGATGTGGAATTTCCAGGCTGTTGAGAGGGGCTTAGTGGAGAATATCAACCAACATCTAAAACTCATAAAACTCACCGAGTAAAACCGGTTGTTTCATGATCTACCTGAGCACTTGCCAAACTCTGCGGCATGTTCTGAAAATGTAGCTTTATCATCCCTCCATTTGAGACCAGGCACCACATACGTGTTTAAGACTGGGGCCAGGATACCAAATGAACCTCCAACTGGACTTGAAACTGGTGGAGTTTATTTCTTTGTGCTAGGTCTTTAAGCCACCCCTAATCCCAAATCAGATCATTAAGTCCTCATCCCAAAGAATTATCTGGCAAAACTGGTGCTGTCGAAAGTTGGTGCACTTTATCACTTTCCAATACTTTCCAGGTTTCGTCGTTTCGTCCAAGTCCCTGTCCCAGCTCTGATTTTTCTCGCCGTCTTTGCAGATCTCAGATCTCAGAATCGATCGTGCACGCAGTGATTTCTGAGATGCTACGTGCTACGATGATCGGAACCCAGCATCATTCCAAATAACTTCAGATTCTTTTGCGTAGCAAAATACTGTTGGTTGCCGAATTCATTGTCCATATGCAGCTTATAACTACTTATAACTTGTATCTGATCGATAAAGTATTGCGGGTGAACGGCGCGGCAGTCTGGTGAATGTCCCGAAAACAAAGTAGTGGCGGGATGTTCATTCACATACACAATTTAGGGATTCAGGCGATATCCCAAATAATTAGTCAAAACCAACTTGCTCTACGATGTTGAAACGGGTCTCAAGTATCTCAAGTTGTATGATTCCCTTCCCCCCCTGCAAGTTCAGAGACCATATGGCTGGATTCTCCTCGAAGCTTTGGGTGCAAATCCAAGTTGCTCACAATCGAATCAACCCCTTGAAACTGAAGGAACCATTGCTTCGATGCACCTTGGGATGACCCAGAGACACTGCGGGCACATTCTTCCAAGCTCCTCAAGAGTCCTGAGAGCTTAATTTGTTCAGCTTCAGATCCTGCCGTTTCATTGTCGCTACTGCAACATAGGAATCAACACACAGATGTTTGATGTCATTTGAAAAAAACGATATGAAACAAATCTGGGATACCCCAAGTTACCCTCCCAGTCTCATCATTTTGCTGGGAAATCCTGGACCGCGCCATGGAGTTTTTAGCTCGCACATGCGTCGAACTGAGGGGATTTTCCAGCACGCCAGGTTTGATGATTGCCACGTGTATCAAATTTCAAATCCCAGTTTTGCTAGTCAATCTCATTCTAAAAGTTCTATGTTATATCCAATAATAATCCCATATATTCCCAATAGTTATTTCCAGGATTACCGGAGGCTATAATTTCTGAAAATTTCTGGCTATTTTGATGGGGTAATATATAATTATATAATTATATATATATATATATCCTCTTATCAAAATGGCAAATGGCAACATATGATGCCCATATATTGATTGATGACCTACACTCACCAGTAGGTTTACCCATATTCTTGGTTCAATCCATGTTTGTTGCTGCATTCTTATGTTCACCCCAACCATGAAAAAATCCTAATAGACTAGACATCATTATTTATGAGCCATAATCGAAATCCCTACGAAACTGGATTGATTACCATCCAATCTGAGTAATCTGAGCTACCACAATCCATCTTCTTTTCACTGTGGCATATGTATAATGAGGGTTTCTTAAAATGGATCCCCAGTCATCACCATGGGTTTCTTTATCCTAAATGCTCCTACATGACTTGGATGATTTAGGCTTGGGGTAGCCCCGAAAAGACTTTGGAAACCTCCATATATCTGGGCAAATTGTGATAAAATCACTACTGGTTTGTGGTTTCAACCCTCTGAAAAATATTAGTCAGTTGGGATGATTATTCCCAATATATGGAAAAATAAAAAATGTTCCAAACCACCAACCAGACTACTTGAAAAGTTCGGCTTTATTGGGATACTTCCCGAATCCTAACCATGATTCCAGCAAGGTCACTAAGTGAACAAATACTTGACCACAGTTTTGTTTTTTACCTCACATAAACATCCAATCTCAGTAAAAACGATGGGTTTTTCCTATGGTTTTGTTAATATATGGGATTCAATGGTTAAAACTATTGTTTTTCCTATGGTTAATATACCAAACTATATATGGTATACTATTAATATCCATTGAATCCCATATATCTGGGTAAATCATAATATTTCACTAACCTGAATTGTTGGGCCATTTGGGGATGATTTCCCTTACTAACCATGATTCCAGGGCTCGGGAGAACAGGGTTCGGTCGTGATGAAATTTACCCAAATATATTGAATCATAGTTGGTACACCAAGTTATATTGAATCATATATTGAACTATATATGGTATACCAAACTATTAAACTATAGTTGGGTTTGGTATACCATATACTATTAACTATTAAACTATGGTATACTAATGTATACTATACCAAACTATATATGGCTGACCAATCATATATGTTTTTTTTTCCCATATATTGAATCATAGTTGGGTCAGCCACAGCGATTTTCATCCCCAGGATCTGATCACTAAAAACCGCCATCCGCCATCCCTTTGGGACGCTTTGGGACGCTTGCACTGGCGCCCTGGAATCTGACACCTGAGGTATAGCAGTTATAGTTATAGTTATTATAATATATATATATATCTTATATAGTTATATATATATCTTATATATATATATCATTATATATATATTATATCATACTATGGATGGAAGAAATCCTGCACCCGTTCATAGGTGGTACACATCCCATTATTCCATTGACGGGTTTCAACCATCCGGTTGGTGGTGCAGGATTTCTTCCATTGACACTATGACTGAAATATGGAGCTAAAAATGGCATATACCATGTACCTTGGCCTTCTATGGAGGTATATTGAGATGAGGTAGAGAAAAGATGAGAAAAGTATAGAAAAGTAGGATTCGTATGGGTAAATAACCAAGAGCATCATATGGGCTTGCAATTTATGTTTTTTCCAATGGGGAATAATTGTGATGATCAGCTAGAAAACTTCGAGATACTCTATTTGCAGACAAACCCATACACGGTCATGGACCCTTGATGAAGGTTCTGTACCAACATGGCTATGGGTGAAAATGGCTGATACTCTGCCGAACATCGAAATAGCTGTACAGCTGGATGTTCTTCCCCCCACTCATATGCAATTCATGTGAATTATATAGGTTTTGATCCATCGCCATGCGTCAAACCGCTTATGGTTTTTCTATAAAGTACTTGGTGAATCCATGACGTCATAAGCTTGGACGTCGTTTCCCACACCTCTTACCACGTTTCGAACGTGCACTTCTGCTTCCAATGGAAGCCTCTTGAAAATCTTCACATTATGACTTTGTTTGAAAATGGGGTACCCCATTTCATCAATATTTCATCCCATGGTCAACAAAAACATATTTGCATGGTTTTAAATGAATTTATGGTTAAAGTTATAAGTCCTTGGCCATCAAGGATGAAAACCAATAAATGGCCAGGATTATCTGGCCACGTATCCCATTACATGGTCATTTTCCAGTTCGCGATGTTAGTTTACCAGAGGGTAAACCTCCATTTTCCCATGGGTTTTCCTATGGTTTCCCTATGGTTTTCCTATTTTCCCATGGGTTTTCCTATGGTTTCCCTATGGTTTTCCTATTTTCCCATGGGTTTTCCTATGGTTTTCCTATGGTATCCCATTACATGGTAAAAATAAGAGCCATAACTGCGCTATCGGCGCCGCTCCAGAATTGTCTCCAACAACCTGGATCTAATTGCGCCAAGTCCGTCCATCCTGGTGTCCCCCATGTGCCCAGTCGTTCTTGAGATCTTATAGCACCATCGGATGCAATTTAGATCATATAATTATAATTATATATATATTATATTATTATTATTTATATATATAGATATACAGTGTGTCACAGTCATATATATATATATATATCATTCTTTCCAGTTCATTACATTCCCGTCGTTTGGCTCTGAAAATAAGGGACGCTACAATCATCATTTTCCCCACGATGCCAGCATCTTCAGCTGTTTCCATCCCTCTGGAACATGTGTTGTTTTGTTGACATCGTCGCTTCGTTGGAAGAAGGACCAACAACATTTTTTTGAAGCAAGAATAACATGATAATGCAAAATAATGGTACTAATATTCCCGTTCATAGTGAATATGAACAACACAATGTAACTTTTCAAAAATAGAACAAGAGTAATTGCCAATTTAACAGTTTTTACTGCTGAGTCAGTTTTGGATGAAAACTGATGGCCAGTGATATTTCTCTGACAAGTCATAATTGAGCCGTTTCAAAACCTATCGCGCATAGTCCTGGTGTCTGCCAGTTTTTGGGATATTGAGTTTATGGCTAATAATTCTAGTAATATCTAAATTATCTAACAATTCCTATATAATAGCTCCATAATAGCTCCATATATCTCCATAATATCCACACATTTGATTTGATGTGGTATTTGGTTGATAGCGACCAGACAAAATAGGATTGACACCTCTTCACCTTTGAAGCGAATTGGCACTTGCTCAGCGCCACTGTTGAGGTACTTGGAAGTGCAGTTCCAGCTATCAGTTAGATTTCACCACAGCTATAGGGGTTATATCCCCACTGGGCTTTACCCTCTGGTAAACAAACATAGCTATTGAAAATGGCCATTTATAGTGGATGTTCCCATTAAAAATAGTGATTTTCCATAGTTATTTATAGTTATGTTAGTTTACCAGAGAGTAAATACGATGGTTGTATATGGTTACAGCATGTTATAGCCATAAATGTCACCTCCGGCCTGCACCCCAGCCATAAAGGTTAACAGCCAAGATCTGGAGGTCTTCCTAAGCTATCTCTCCCAGCTCCATCCTTGGCAGTTGAGAGATGGTGATCCCGTGAGTATGTGTCATGTGTAATCCTATTCCCCCAATATCATCTGGATTCACGAATATCATGAATTCACAATGTGTAATCCTATTCCCAATGTGAATATCATACATGTCATGTGTAATCCTATTCCCCCTATGTGTCATGTAATGATTCTAGATTTGTGAAGCTCATTTTTCATGAATTATGCGCATAGAAATTTAGGATGGGATGGGGAGTTGACCTCTGGAAAAACTCCCAGTCATTGGGGACGAAATGAGGAAACGCATTTTCGGTAAGTCATTGGGGATGGTGCTGTATGGATGCTTGTGCTTAAGGGACATCAATATTTTCTGGTTGGTGGTTTTAACCATCTTGAAAAATATGAGTTCGTCAGTTGGGATGATGATTCCCATAGATTATGGAAAGTCGTAAGATTCATGTTCCAAACCACCAAGCAGTTTTCTATAGCTTCCTGTTTTACCCTCTGGTAAACTAACATAACTATTGAATATGGCCATTTGTAGTGGATTTACCCAGCTAAAAAATGGTGATTTTCCAGTTCGTTATGTTAAATTACCAGAGGGTACCATCCTTTACAAGATGACACTCCTCCGACATTCCTAAATCATGCCATCAAAGTCTTGCACCGAGGAATCAAGAAGCAACAGATTCCAGTCACTATCCCTTGTTGGTGAAATTCCCGCAGGTTTCCTAAAAGGGGAGGCCATCCAGACATGACTGAAAAAATTGATGATTTTATGGTGCACCAGTCTGAGAAACCACAATTTATGCCACAACTGGAATCTCAATTCTCCCAGTTGAACAACCGAGTGGCCACAACTGGCACAGCATCTGGTGCCGGCACAGCATGCAGTGCGGCAGCGCGACTTGTTGTGGAGGGCCAGGCAAAGTGCAGCTCCTGGTGGGGTGACAAGGCTGGACCTAAGCACAATATTAGCACAGAAAATGGCAGAGATACATACTGTTGTACAATGTTGTAAATGTGTAGAGATATGAAGAAATATTAGACAAGATTCGATTAGACAAAACTCGATGATATTGGTTTGGATACTTCTTTTTTCTGCAATGATCATCTCATGAATCGTATCCAGCCCAACTCTTCCATGGTGCTCATGGATGTTCTTACTGTTGGTAAATATCCCAATTTGATCCCTTTTTTGTGACGTAAGCCTCATCACCGCGGCCTAAATCATGTCTTCAGTGGATGTACTCATATGAAATAAGCAAATCACCCAAGTTTGGTGGAATGAAATCCCAAATTTTTCCTTATAGTCCCAATAACATTAACGTTCAACGCTGTGAAATTTTGATAGTTTCAGCAAGGTCCCAATAACGCGGCCTCACTGATAGGCGAGCTTTTCAGCTTCTCCAATAGCATGTGACCTATGAGGTCCTGAGAGCTGCTTTTTGTGCATTTTTTGTTGGGATTCTGCAATAAGTTGGTTTATAAACCCCATTAACTATAGTTATAAGTACAATAAACCATAGTTATTGGAGTCATAAACCAACTTAGCTATCGACGGGGGCCCCACATTCTGTAGATTTGCCCAAAAGGAAGTTGCTGGAGATTGCTCTTGAGATTGCTGGATTTTAGGCACCAGCTTGCAGAGTTGGATCATTGTGGGAGAGTTTCCCAATGGTATACCAATGATGTGCGTTGTGATGTCGCTGAGAACGTCAAAACATCTATCCAGGATGGAGGTTTGATGATATTTATCCCATACTTGGTGCGGGCCCCACAGATGTAAGTGGCCCAAAAACACCCAGTTGGATTTAGGGCATAGCCCCCAATTATGTAATTATGTATGGGATGAACATGGATGAAATAGTGGTGTGACCATCCATTTACCAGCTATTTTGTGGTTCACTAGCTGCCAGGGTCAAATGACCCTCCAGGCCCAATTGCCCAGTTGCTGTGGAATCCTTTAGGGCCGACTCGGTGGCTTTCATTACCTCAACCACGTGTTGATCCAAAAGCCGAAACCCTTTGGGGTATCCCCGGCAATTTCTCGTGAAAACCATGGAAAAATCCATTATAGATCAATCTTGGTATATCCTCAGAATCTTGGGAATAACTGAATCACCAATTTTCATTCACCAACCATGGTGCCATGGTTTTGTTATAACATCGAATTGTGAATAACCATGAATTTGTGCATTGTTCACGACCCTGGGGCCACTCCATCCCCACTCCGAATAGCGAAGCATCGTCCCAGTGCCTGGAAATATTTCCCATGATGTTTTTCTCACTTCTACCAGTGTCAGGGAGGATCAGATATAGAATCATCAATCACAGGCTTATGCTGGTTGGTGGTGCAATAATTAACCATCTTGAAAAATATGAATGAGTTCGTCAATGGGAAGGATGACACCCCATATATGAAATGGACAATCAAATTCATGTTCCAAACCACCAACCAGTATATTCTTGCTTTCCTGGCATATTTACTTCGCCATTTTGAGGAACATATTTTCTCTTCGAAATCCAGGGTTGAGTCAAGTTGAGTGCAAAGAAACACCGCTGAAATTGCACCCTTCACCAGTTGTTTTACCCACATTTCTTTGGTGGCTAAATTCTAATTTATGGATCGAACAACATCGCTTACTACCCAAGGTCCCTAGAATCAGAAAATGGGACATGTTTTCAGGTTCCAAAATTCAAGGGGTTTACCTTCTGATCAAACCTGACAATGGACCCCCCTTATGGATGATCTTCACCTTAAAATCTCCATTTGCAGGTCATTTTCATAGATTTTCCAATTAACACGTCCATTTATAGTGGATTTCCATGGATTTTGAGCTGTTTTTACCTAGGATTTCCGCAGAATCCCTCCAAGCAATGACGAGCTGACCAGATCTTCCAAGCGATTTATGGACTCTTGGAGATTTGCCTCAATGGACACCATCGGTAAATTGGTGACTCATTGAGATGGTTGATTTATGTTGATTTACTGGGGAAAACCATGGTTTTAATCTGAGAAAATCATGGAATCAATGGGGGACATGTCTAAATTATTCTAAATTTGCCCAAGCCAAAGATTGACTCGAGTTCCCTGGGATGAAACGAGAAGGACAGCCATCGGTTTCTCACAGAAAATGGCGACTGGAAATTGTTCCCAACCCGATCAATTCATGGAAATTGCTACCCAACTATTCTCATCCAAACATGTTGAGCACCAACTGAGGTAATTCCATCTTTGGGTTTTAGAGTTCTCCGACATGATTGAATGGCATGAACATCTGCTGTTGTGATGTGAACAGGAAGGTACAAGGATTTTGAACCACAACTATTTCTGGTTGGTGCTTTCAATCCATCACAAAAGTATGAGTAAATGGAATATAATCACCCGAACTCAAAAAATGTTGAAACCATCAACTAAATTATTGTTGATATTTCAAATGTATTTGAAACCCTCAACCAAATGTTGCGTATATGTACAAACCATTAGAAAAACATTTCTGCAATCCCAGTGTAACGCAGTGTTATCTTACGTGTCACGTTGCGAATGTATCGTGTATGGGCCATCTGTTTCTCGTTTCGTCCCACCGTCCCAGCGAAATTCTGGGGATTCCAAGACCCCAGGGCTGGCCAAACTGTTCACTTTTCCCCTATTTTGATGCGTTTATATATATATATATATATATTCCAATTCTGATATATATCAAAATATAAAATATATTTCCTATTTTATTGTTTTGATGTATTCACCAATTTGTTCACTTTTCCCCTATTTTGATATATATATATATCAAAACAATAAAACAAATGAAAAAAATCCTTCAAATTCAGGCTTGTCTGAAAATAGGTCTAACTAAATCGCTTCATCACCATGTTATTCAAATTGCCACAACCTGGAGGGTACCCATCATAGCTGGTTGGTGGTTGACCTACCCCTCTGAAAAATGATGGAGTTCGTCAGTTGGGATGATGACATTCCCAATATATGGAAAAATCATGTTCCAAACCACCAACCAGATAGATATATGCTGTCCCCTCACGAAAAAACCATTGGGGCCGGTGTGGTCTTGTATTTCTTATCCTCTACCAAAACAGAGTTGTTTTTCATTGGGGGAAGGCTCTAATGTGGTGCGCCCAATACTTAATCATTCTATTTTCAAAACATTTGGGTGTCATGTTACATCACCCCAATAAAATACATAGGGGCATAGCATAACCCAATTTCAAAAGGTATGGTTTGTGGCATTGGGTGAATTTCGACCCAAAATTATTTTCGTTAGCAACCATGAATAACAACGAAAAATCATTAATGACCTTTAGCATGTTTACTGATTGACTGTTACCAGTAGTACCGCACAAGGCGGTGGCGGAAGTTTCAAAAATAGGAAACCTATAGGAGAAGTTGGTTGTTGTGAATCAAGGATGGCAGCGCGAAGCCGTTGATGGACCGAAAGGTGGTTGAGGTCTCCTCTCTTTCTCTTTCTTTCTCTGTTTCTCTCTCTTTCTCTGATTATCTACCCACCTACCTACCAATCTATCTATCTATCTCTCTCTCTCTTTCTCTCTGTCTGTCTATCTATTTATCTATCTATCTATCTATCTGTCTATCTGTCTATCTGTCTGTCTATCTGTCTAGCCATCTATCTATCTATCTCATCTACCCAGCTGGCCTCTCTCTCTCTCTCTCTCGCTCTCTCTCTTTCATCTAATTACCTATCTATCTATCTACCTACCTATCTATCTATCTATCTCTCCCTTTCATCTGTCTATCTGTCTAGCTGTCTACCTGTCTACCTGTGTTGCAGTGTCATTCAGTGTAATGTAGTGTGGTGTAGTGTAATTTAGTGTAGTGGATTGTACTGGAATGTAGTGTAATGTCCTGTAGTGTAGTGCATTGAAGCGAAGCGACATCTGAACCTCCAAAAGTGGTCCGAACCCCTAGTGTTTTTAACATTTTGACTTCGAAATGTGCTTCGCGCCACAATGGCGTGCACTTTTTCGACATCTCAACTTCCAAGAGTGGTCCGGACCTGGTCTTCAAAATGTGCTTAGCGCCACAACGGCGTGCACTTTTTCGACATCGCAACTTCCAAAAGTGGTCCGACCATGGTGTGTTTTGTGCATTTTCACTTCGACATGTGCTTCGCGCCACAGCAGCGTGCAATTTTTCATCTCTCATCTGGCCAGCTGGCTCCGCACCCGCCGCTTTAGCGAGCCTACTTTTCGACCCTCGGGGGCCTCGGCCTCAAATCATTGGAAAAACACAGTGTTTCGCGACTTTCCTACCTTTTCGCGCATCTGCATCTTCTTTCTTCTTACTCTTCCCTCTTCTAATCTTTCTCTTCTCTCTGCCTCTGCCCTGCTCTGCTTTTCATCGGTCCATATTGTCGGAAGTTTGACTTCTAAACTTCCTTCGATTAGTGAGTGCTAACAGTGGCTATATGTAAATACACCATTCCCAATAACCAGGCAGTGGACCCACCCAGTTCACGTACCCAATGCCATAAACATACCATTTGGGACTCGTTTTTACACACCAGTCTCATTCTGTTTGGGTGAGTTCTGCCCAATATATTCTCACCAGCCATTAACAATTAGCAACCCCTAAAAACCACGAATGATCGTTCGCATAGTTATAAATGGTTGCTATCATGGTTATTTCTCGTCACGAATGTTTATTAATGGCTACATAGTGGCTACTAATGGTTTTTTCATGGTTAGTGAATGTGAATCTTAACCGTTTTTTTCACCATCCCCACGCACCAGATGCACCAGGGCCTCAGATTCTTCCATCTTCTGCACCAAGGTGGTGACTTTTTTGGAGGGATGTGGTTGCTCCACACCTTCATCCCGCCGCGAGAGCCTGGGAACGTGGTTTTTTTTTGGGCACATGTTGACTCTTCATGATGTCTGGAAAAATCATGTTTGAATATTGACTTTCAAAGATTTTGACTTGATTTTGAATGTTGAAAGTTTCAAGAACATCATCAAGGGAAGTTTAGAAGTGAAACTCCCGACAAATTGTCCATAGATGGAAAGAGAGGTGGAAAGAGTCAGAGAAGAGAAAGGAAGAAGAAAGAAGATCAGAGAAGAGAAAAAAAGCTAGAAGAGAAAAGCTGCAGGTGCGCAAAAAGGTAGGAAAGTCACAAAACGCTGTGTTTTTCTATGCTTTTGTGGCCCCGGAGGATCGAAAAGTAGGCTCGCTAAAGCCGGGTGCGGAGCCATCAGGTCGTATCAAGGATCAAAAAGTGCACACCGTTGTGGTCACCTCATGGCCGGAGCACTTTTGGAAGTTGGCGGCTGTGGTGCGAAGGACATTTCGAAGTCAAAATGTGCAAAACTCCGCAGCTCCAGAACACTGCACACTCCACACTTTACACTCCACACTCCTTACTGTACACTCCACACTCCACACTCTACATTTTGGACGTTAAGCTGTGGAAAAGTGCGCCCGGCTGTGGTGCGAAGCATATATCGAGGTGAAACTGTTATCTCTTTTGGCAGTTGAGATGTCGAAAAATGCACGCTGCTGTGGCACGAAGCACATTTCGAACTCAAAATGTGAAAAGCACACCACGTTCGCACCACTTTTGGAAGTCCAGACATAGATGCACAGAAAGAAAGAAAGAAAGAAAGAAAGATAGATAGATCGACAGACAGATAGATCGATGGACAGGTAGATGGATAGATAGATAGATAGAAAGATAGACAGGTGGATGGATAGATGGATACATGGATAGATGGATAGACGGATAGATGAATAGACGGATAGACGCATAGATGCATAGATGGATAGAGGGATAGAAGGATAGAGGGATAGACGGATAGATGGATAGATGGATGGATAGATGGATAGATAGATGGATAGAGGGATAGAAGGATAGATACAGAGAGAGAGAGAGAGAGAAGAAAAAAAAAGAGAGAAACACAAAGGGAAGGGGACATAGAGAGGGAGAGAGAGGGAGAGTCAGAGCCTCAGCCACGTTTCGGTTCATCAGTAGGTTCGCTCTGCCATCCATGCATCACGACAACCGACAACGCACCTCTCCTATATAGGTTCCCTATCTTTGAAACTTCCGCCACCGCCTTATGCGGTACTCCATGATATTATGATGATGTTCATTGATTTAAAGTACGATTGGAATCTGATGTTTCCTGGTTTCCAGGTCAATCTGCAGTGGTTTCACAGGCCAAGTCACACCGCTTCCATGGGTTGCGTCTCCACGTGTTGCCACCGGTAACCGGGAGCGGAGAGATCTCGAGGAATGGCACTCCGGGTGATCAAGGGGCTGGACGGTTGGGAGATCAAATCCTGGGACGCCGCAGCACATCGTTTTAACACCAAATTAGGAGCTTGCGGAGATTTGTTATTTTTTTAAAGAAGGATTTCACCAGTGAAAATAGGATGGAGTTGACCTCCAACGTCATGTTTGCGCCTATGACCGTCAGTGTCCTATCACAGGCCACTTGGGCTTGTCAATCTGACAAAAATATTTCAACCAACATCAAGCACGAGATTTTGGGGGATCCTCATGGTGGATTGTAAGTGTCACCATTGCAAGCAGTTTTAAGCCACTAAGTAACCATCAACAAGTTGGGTCAAATGTTTATTACCAACATCTGCCAAGGCGGCCATTCGTTCGGAGATCGCGTTGAAGTTCTTCTCGATGCTCTCTTTCAAGGCTGACTGCGCAGCTTGAATCCTGAGCACCACATGCGCAGATTTTTTCGGGGCCATCCCAATAGAGAAGGACATGATTGGTGATCACCAGTGTGATTTGATACCACCAAGGTCACCAAACAGATACAAAATCATACAATCATGTGGCCCATAGGCAACATGACTGCTAAACTTTCTTGGTGGCATGAATCTCCTTGCTCTCATTTCCAGCATGGCACAAGAGACTGTCCAACTGGATTGCAAGGAATACTCCGAATCGCACAAATAGGCTGGTAAATGGGTAACAACATGGACCAACCAGCAGTTTCTCATGGTTTCACCGCATCCAAACATCCAGCACCATCCTCCCCGGCAAATCAGCCGAAGCCACTCTTCCTGTTGCTGCATGGTGCGCATCAAGTTGTATTTAATGAATCCTGAGTCTAAAAACATGGAAAATACATGTCCAACTGTGAAAAATCCTGACTCAATGGCAAAATTTGATGAGATTCCTGGTCCAAAAATCCGGCAAATTTTCTCACCTTTTCCATTGATATCTTTGACGAAGACCGTGACATCATCGTGACAAAAAACAATGCCCATGGCAGCCATGGATGGTGGTGCTCACCATCAACTTCCGGTCAAGAATCTATGCCTGCGTGTTCATTAATATGTTATAGACCTATGCATCATTATTCGATGACATTTCATAATATCATGATTTCAGAATTATATAGCCGACTTAAATATTATGAATGATAGACTCATGAACACCACTATTCAGTGATAAATGACTCAGATATAGTCAATGATAATAACAACAAACATGTAACACACATATATTTACTGTAGTACTTGTCAAAACCATTCTGCTTGACTTCCATCATCTACCCATTTGCATCTATGATTAAAAACCATTCGCAATCCAAATATCATCAAATATCCAATCTATGCTTAGTTTGCCATAGAGCGGAAGATGTGGCCACCTGCAATATGGCGGGTACCTGCTTTGGAAAACCCCATTTTGTTTACTGATTTTGACAGCAACCATTGAAATCATCTGAAAGTGTGTCATCCTCATGCGACAGCGAGGGTGTTTGCTGATGTTTGTAGGTAAGATGGCCAACATTTTCCCAATTGTTCGCTGTTTGGAGTCCCCAACATTGTCCCATTTTTTCTGGTGAATCCCAAATTCGTTGGTGCAAATTCCCATTCATCCTCATTTTGGTGCTGTAAAAATACTCGTTTGACCAATTTTTGCTGTTGTAAGCGTAACTCATTATTGGTTTGAAGTGAGGGGTACCCTTCTAGTAGCAGAGTAATATGATCCGTTGATTCTCAATCAACCAGGGTAAACGTCCATCCAGGTTGACATTATAGATTCTAGATTATGTTAGTGAATTAATGCAAGATTTTGGATTAGTTTCACTCCACCAAAGTCTATTTCATGTCAACCCCGGATGATACACCCTGACTATTAATTGGTGGCTTACCCCCAAAATACTCTTGAAATTGTTACCCCCTATGAACAAACTGGGGGTTTCATAAAATTCAAATCCTGGCTTAATCCCATACAAAATACAGTAATCCAACATATTCCCTATAGATTTTCAAGTGAGTTCGATACTCTCTGTCATCCCTTCAAAAGCTGGTCGGTAAACCAATGAATTCCCATGTTGGACGACGATATACGTACGATGATGATCCCTAATGTGTAAAGATTAGTAACACCCCCTAGAAGAACCGGGATTCTTGATGCTTTAAAACCCTACCAATCAAGTTTGAACTCCCTTTGTACCAATTAACCAGGACCATTACAAATTCTACACATTGTTTAAAACATTTTTTAAAAACTCCATTTAACATGATGATTAACTCCCATTTTTGTGGTGTTTTATGGTGTTTTATGGGAAATGATGAACTCTGTTTTTCAACATCCCGTTTTTATATGTTTTTGTCGTCCGCTGAGTCACGTGGCGCCGTCTTGCTGTCGTGCACCCAGCGTGACAGCGGACGGATGAATTCGTTGCTCTCGATGAAGCCGCTGCCGTCTGTGTCCTCGGGGGCTGCTGGATTTGGAGACGCCCTGCTGGTTATGGAAAAAAAGTACCATGATATACCATTTATGATTTAGGATGGTTATGGATGGTTATTGATGGTTATGGATGGTTAGCTTTTTTTAAAGGTTATAATACCTATTTTAGATTGATTTATATAAAGTGTATGTAAACACTCGCGGATGTCTCCTTCGCGACCTGAAGCCCACACAATGCTTGAATTGTTGGACATCCACTGCGTCCGTAAGCCGTCCAAGCGTCGATCATATCAAAGAGTTGGGCCAAATCCATCTGGGGCGAAGGGATGGATGTCTTCAGGGATTGGGGCACAGAAGGAAGATCCAAATTGGCATCAAAATTCGGCCAGAAATTCCAGAAACAGTGTTTTAACTGTTTTGTTCAGCCAAACATGTGATCAATTTTGGCTGATTTGAAAATATTTGAGGTTCCCTCACTTTAAAACTCCGCTTGCGCAGCAGTTTCTCCTCCGTGCAGAATGGGAATGTTACGAATGTAAGTATCCCAAACAAGGAAATGGAACCAAAAGGATAGCACGTAGAATAGGCCTTCTTATTGAAGTCAAAGCTATGGTTTTCCCAAGATTCTCCAACTTCTCACCCTCCAAGGCCAACAAATCCCATGGTGTCTCCTGTCTCCCAGCCGTGGCCTCATCGATGTCCATGACCCGCAAACGACTCTGGAACTCCGCATCTTTCCGGGCACCCTGAGGCGACGTAATGTTTGAACATGGAAACATTCTGAACCCATCACTGCCACCACAGCCATTGCCTTTTTGAATTTCTTGAAATATTTGGATTATTGGGGCACGGAAGGTTGATGATTTTGACCCTTCTGCAAATCTCTGGGAGCCAAAATTGTTTCTTTCATGGCATCTTCATGTCTTATCACCTATTGTCTGGCCCAGCCCTCACTGAGTCACCGTGTTTCACTCACCCGCGCGCCCCCTAAAAAATCTTCCCCCACTTGTGCACCCACGTATATTATTGCAAGTATCAGTATCATCTAATATCAGCCAATGGGGGGTTGGGGTGGCAAACTGTCAATTCCAACCATGGAGGATTGGGCGGACTTGCAGCTACCACCGTCCAACTCTGGGGGTCCAGGAGGGAACTTCTCAAGCGTCCCACGACTTGGGCGCTGTGGCGCATGTGCTTGGGCGCGTGTGGTGTCCCTAGACTTTTGTTGGGTTGCGCAAGGGAACCACATGTGGAATTTGGAAGTAAATGTCCCATGTCTCGCCCAACCACCTTTCCCCTCTTTTTCCTCTTTCTCCTCGTTTTCTTTCTCTCTCTCTCTCTCTATCTCTCTTTATGCATCTATAAGCTTCAATAATGTCACACCGAGTACCCATGTCTACAGCTTTCCGACGTACAGATTTCCCATCGTTGCGCCGCTTCGCCCCTTGGAATCCCATTGGTTTATGCGCTCCGCTCGCAATGCCAGGCGGCATCAACCAGCTGCTCCAAACTCAGATGGCCGGATTTTTCCACGTCAATACGATTGAAGATCCGTTCCAGGAATCTGCGTCGCAAAGAACAGGAGCAATTGATGATAGAAATAACGACCAACATGGGTGAGACAGCCCAAAACTGGGAAATTGAGGTTGATGGTGGTAATTGATTACTTTGTTCATTGGGGATAAATTGAAAACTATCCGAATCCAAATATCCTTCTGGATCAGCACGTTTGCTTACATCCAAATGCTTGCCAAATATGGATGTTTCATCGCCCCAAACAGAACATCATGGGTTGTGGCCCGTCATCAAAGATGCTTTGTCCCATACCCCTAATGATCATGTGCAAAACAAATCGCAAACCGGGTGCATGAGCAAAGTAACTAAAGGAACAGCATAGGATGCTACAAACAACTCAGTGCTATGGAGAGTCACCATTTTGGTCAATTGTGGAAACCTTGTTGCACAACAACAAGTGTTCATGCAAATGAAGACACACTGATCGGTGAAACTTTGGTAAGCACGACCAGAAAGTACATCACCACGCAACATTTGTTGTTCAAGGGAATGGTGCCTGCGCCCGGCAACATGGCAAAACATGGTTCACACCCATCAGACACTATCCCAACATCTTATACGGCTGAAAAACCGAACTACGCCCATTCCCAAGCCTCTTGTCTGCTTCCATATCTTGTTCCATCTCTTCCGCCAAGTTTAAAATGTCTCTGTCCCTCGCATCAGCGAAGGTATCAACCACCTCGCGCGAAAGTGAGACGCGAGATTTAGGTACGCAATAATCCTTAATATATGACAGGGGGACGTGGTAAACAAGCAAACTTACAGCATCTTATAGCTACCAGGTCTGCAGCGCGGCAAGACAGGTCTGCAACATGGAAAATGTTTGTTGCCTGAGACCACCTGTTGAAATCAAAACAACAGCCCTTTGGATCTCCCTCCCCTCGTCCAGAGCTGACAAGTTCATTGGTGTGTTGGACCGTGCCCAGCAAGGGCTGAGTAAGATTGTCTATCTGGAGCGCCCAGACAGAGAGAGAGAGAGAGAGAGAAGTAGGCCCCTGTTTGAACATCAGTTCTTCAAACCCCTGGTTTCATATCCGTGAAGCTGAGCCCTCGCATCATGCCCCCATCGTGTTGTTGCAAGGAAGCACTTGGAAGCCATGCCCGTGAAACATCCAAATCAACCGCATTTCTGTTGGTTCCAGACCTCTCAACAGAAGAATCATTTCCAAGATCCACGTGGTCGTCAATCGGCTCTCGTGGTGACTCCCAGATTCATAGCTGGAGCTAGTGAATCAATGGTCCACAGTGGGCCAAGGGTGTCAAGTTTCCGCTATGGACATCTCAACTAGTTGGTGAAAAATTGAAATGTGTGATTCGTGTGATGGCTGAGAGATTGTTCTGTGTTAGGATGCGTGTTGAATGAACTCTTGGGTATACAACATGTTACAACCTTAGTGTCTAGGCCTGAAACCTGTCTTTAACATGACTTAGTACCAAAGATTGGCGCAGATCGGCAGCGCTTTCAGGGCAATTTTGGTGATGCCGATGACCCATTGAGCTATCTTCAGAGATAGATAGTCTATATATATAGTATAAGTTAAACTAGAAATGTATCATTATATAGTGTTGTTAAAACATAAATGAGAACACTACAGGTACAAATTATGCATCATAGTTTTGATCATGTTAATGGGCATACCGACAAGCCCAATTAATACTTCTGCTGGGTTCCCCTTATGAACAATTGCGAGCGTCGGCCAAGGTAGGATGAACGAATGTCTAAAACATCCCGGCGGAAGCGTTACCGGCGTGCGAAAATGATCAAAATTACTACGTCCTCACAGCGAGGAGCCAGTTTTTGCATTCAAAACCTATCAAAAAAAAAGGTCCGTCTACTTTGGGAGTGACAACCCTTCCATCACTTCAGCCTCAAAAAGGGCAACCGCAACTTTTTCTCACATTGAAGATCATAGAGCGTAGCATCAAGATCCTGTGGAAATGCCAATGAAGATCATAGAGCGTAGCATCAAGATCATGTGGAAATGCCAATGACGTTATTATCCCACCCTATCGGATGCGGATGTGTGGAATTGCAAATGAAGATTATAGAGCGTAGCATCAAGTTCATGTGGAAATGCCAATGAAGATCATAGAGCGTAGCATCAAGTTCATGTGGAAATACCAATGAAGATCATAGAGCGTAGCATCAAGATCATGTGGAAATGCCAATGACGTTATTATCCCACCCCACCCCACCCCACCCCACCCCAGGCTACCGGATGTGGATTTGTGCGACGGTAACGAGTCCGTTGGCTAAAACATGCATCCAAACACCCGGAAGTTCAACCTACCAAACCTGCTAGAATGAACCGTTCAAAGCTAGTTAATTAATTCAATTGCTTTTGTTGCGAACCGGTCATCCGGTCATCCCAAACCACAAGTCGCGACAATCACAACCAAGATCAGATCAGAAGCCACTTTTTTCTGCTATTGCCCAATAATAAGCTGCCCAAGAATCACCGGCATCACGGGTTGATGATCAAGTTACGAAGTGCTACGAAGCCGATACCAACTGGGTCCACACAAAGTGAAAAAACTTAGATCCGCTAGTGACTTCACGCATGCAACCCAGTTGGTTAAATATACATTACATCCCTCAAAACTGATTTATAAGCCCATAAATTCATATGAGTTCCAGTTTAACTGGGGTGAATGTCAACTCCAGATCAACAAATCTGCAGTTATTAGGGCTCTGTTAGTAATGCGTCACTATGAAAATAGATATGTTCCCAGGGACTGTAGTCTTCCACCAATGTGGCAGGGTCTATGTCTGGGGAGATCGTAATAAACCAGGTGTTTACCATACGCCAGCACCATCCAAATCCATCAACGCGGTCACAGGGTCGAGAGGCGACTGCCACGATCAAGTTCAATACTCCGAAAACCAAGGTCAGCAAGGAACCAACGAAGATGATGGCCGTGGCAGGATGTTTCCTGAATTGAGGAATGAGTTTTTTTACCATTGTCAAGATGCATGGCAAATTGAAAAGAAAGAATTTTAGAAGAAAGAATCATATAATCCTTAACTACATGCAAAACTATTTCTAAAAATTGTCGATTTCTTCGAAGAACGTTGAAGACAAAATAGCGTTGTCCAACCAAACCTTACGTAATTGTAATATATTGTAATCTAGGGGGGTTCCTAAAATGGGGATCCCCAAGTCACCATCGGTTTCTATGCTAAAATGGTCATCCATGACGACTGGATGATTTGGGGCACCATCAGCTGCTTGCCCCAGGATTTTTTCGATTCTGCAGCTCTGGGTCAACACTGCCTCCATTGATTGCGGATTTCGAAGATTTCCCAGCATCTTGATTAAAGGTACCACTAAGATTGGATGCTTCTGAATCGCTAGCAATGTGTGGTTTGGAGAACCACACATAAATCACCATTTAAATCACCATTGCTCTGAAATCACCTGTCTGGTACCCTGGTACCAATGGTTAGGTTTGTCCAAAAATAAGGCATTGCCACAGATCAGATGGTTCATTAGCAGATCATTAGCATGCACCGAATTTCAAGAATTGGAGACATTTGGAGACTGGGCTCACCTGAAACTTCACCTTAACAAATCACCCCACCGAGTTGCTCAATGACAGGAACTGCGATCAAGCCCCATGAGTCCCCCGCGATGACCGTCTTGAAGAGTAACAAATTCCTCAGAACAAGTTCCTCGAGGTACGTAGGACCGTAGGACTCACACAAAGCAATATGAGTGGTTGTGGTTTCAAGCTATTTACATTAAACATCATGTGTTTGTCAGCGGGGATGATCAACTCGAATATTATTGAACATAAAACACATGTTTGAGAACAACAAACAAATGAGCATGTTTGAGTACATAGGTGGTGATAAAACAAATCATTTGTGAACATCACCAGCAAAAAAACTTGATGCCAGGACGATCAGAATCACAGATTAACATCATTCACTTCCATGAAATTTCCAAGGCAGGGAAAAACCTGGAACGTGCAAGACTGCCATGGAAACCATTGGAAAACAATGTTTAAAGTTTAGGTATGTTTAGTTGGATTTGAAATGTGTTCGTTCAACTTCGTACGAGAAAATCAGCTTGTAGGTATTAACCCCAGCTACCATAGCGGGAAACTAACATGACCATACCCTGAACCACACAACTTTGCAATATGTTTCAGTGCTTCTGTAATTTTTTGTTAAGGCCAAATTGCAATGTTTCTTCATTTTTTCAAGCATGTATCCAGAATAAATCATGTGGCACGAGGCAGTCATTCACCAACCTGAATCAGCACAGGTCAATTGAGATTGTTTGAGGATTCAACCTTCCTCCCCAAAATGGGAGTTCCATTCAACCAATCGAGTGTCACCAGAGGCCTCCATGTGTTATGTATACAGAAATCCACACCTAAAACCACTAAAGAAAAACGATTGGTCCCCGAAAAACCAAACATCGAAAACCACATCGTGTGGTTGGGAAACTCTTGGTGGCTCCTTGGCTCCCCATTGAATGTGGCATCAAAAATACCCCTGGCTCCGAACCGCAACAGCGTCTAGCTCTGTGCAACCCAGCTGCGCATCCATCACAGATTGAGTTGCTCGCAAACATTGCCTTGAGGAAAAAGGGGTCCAATGCCCAATGCGATAAAACAACCAGAAACCCATTGGAATTATGGTGTTTTACTGCTTTACACACCATTGAATTCCACAAAAACCAGACAGATCGATGAAGGTAGAACTAAACCACCACAGCATGGGCGTTTCTGAACTTGGAGGGCTCCAATGTCTTTAATTCTCCCAGTAGAATTGCCTGCTTTTGGTCTAGTCTTCTCTCATGGATACGTGCTGTTTCAGCCACATCAATCCTACACCAATCCCATCCAACCTAGATCCGCAGTAAACATGTGCGATGGGCAGTCATGCTGAAGATAATAGTTGGCTTTTAAACCTAGGAGCGATGATATGCCCTCAACGGTGGTTGAACGACCATCTTTAAATCCTATCTGATACTCATCGGGACAAGTGAAGCATCATTCATACAGCCAACCAACTATGAGAACCAGGAAGATTATGGAAGATTCCCTCAGCGCCTTGAGAAAATCATGAAAAAACACTTGTTCTGTGCAATTTTCTTACAGCTCTGCCAGCTAGATCTTGGAGGTTGCAAAAGCCTGTGACATGCCGAAAACTTCAGGTTCCAACCCCAGCAAAACAGCAGTGCATGAATGACATTAAGAGATGTGGTAAATATGTCCCCTGGGTTATCTTAATATATATATATATAGATGGCTTATAACCCCACTAACCAGTGATATACCAGTGATTAAGTGGGATGATTCTCTAGTCGGATATTCGGCAGCCATCAGCCAAAGCTACTCGCAATCTCCGAAGATTCCTGGATTGTCTTTGTACAAGTCCTGGACCAGACCAGACCGGTGCTCAACAGCAAAGCGACGCAAGGAGCCAACTTGTCTCGGGAAATCACCAATCATATGAGCAGTCAGAAGCTGACCGAAATGTCATTCCATTCTTGGTTGGTTCATACGGATTTCAACGGATTATCACCCAGATAATCCCCAATAATCATATTGGGTAGTACAATCCCCTATCATCAAAAAGCAGCTTCGAATGTTGGTTACCCCACAACTGGATGTTTCACAAATTCGTGGTTCCCAACAGGTTATTGTGACCGATACCTAACATGGTTTTTCAAATCCGGAAGGGCACCTAGTTTTTTGGACCCCTGCAGCATGCACCCTGTTTTGTCTGCTTTTTTCACGCCCTTATGCCTTGCAGAGGTTTCCATGAAATGGATTATAATGGATTGAAATGGGGGCTTATTCTCAACAGAGAATCTCTTGGGTGTCCATCTCTGGGCCCTGGAACCTTGCTGGAACCTTCCTGGAACCCTGCCGGAACCTTGCTGGAACCTGGAACTTTCCTGGAACCTTGTTATTTCTGGAACATTGTTAGAACCTTGCGGGAACCGAAACTGTAAAGTTGACGCTTTACTGTGGATAATACTGATCATACTCTGTTGTTTACAAACTGACGCAGCTCTATTGTGTTTTGTGTTTGCTTTGCATTGCGCTGGTCATTTCGTTTCTGATGAACCAAGACAAGACCCTTAAATGTCTGGGACCTTCCCTGATGCTTGGAACCTTGAACCCTAGAAAGCTGGAACCCCAGAACCTTGGTTGTTTAGAACTCTGGAACCTTGGAACTCTCAAAATCTGCAACCACCGAATCCTGGAAACCTACAACTGTGGAATCTTGGAACCCTGCAAAACCTTGGAACCTTGCAAGCTGGGTTCATGGTTTGGTTGATAGAAGGCTATAGGTTGGTAAATATGGTGGGAGCGAAATCATTTTAGGAAACAAAGGTTACTCTGACGCAGTGCAGGATTTGCTTGCAGGAGCGCTGTGCTCCCCCGAAATGCAATTGTTTCTTATAATTTTTCGTTTTTGTGCAATAAACATGTTTTTCCTATCATATCCTCGAGCTCCCAAGACAGGTCAAGATCTCGGTGCTGACACCTGATTTCCTCAAAGGTATCGATGAAGGGGGTATAGTACACTACTGTCTACTCCCCCGAAAATGCGCGGTCCCTGGTTCGTCAAATTCTGGTGATTTTTGTTATGCACAAGGGATGTGATCCACTACGATGATGTTAACGTGCAATATCGCCTCCGCCTCTTGCAAAACCCTACCAATGTACTTCCTAACATGCTCACACGCTACCTAACCGTGGCATTTTGGGACTCAACCAGTTTCAACCAACCACCACAGCAAACGAAAAACACGGTTGCCAATCAATGAAAACAATAGATGTCAAAAACACATGTTGTGGCACTGGCTGACTAGTTATGGGGTAAACCCAAAACAAATAACGTTCTGACCCCCTCTTTGGCTCTCATGCTCATTCTCTATCTGCTGCTGCTCTCCCTTGCGCCTTTTTATTTCCTGTTTGTTTTTGTTCCTTAGTCTTCTTCCATTAAGATTCCATTTAGGGATTCATTTAAGCTTTTATTTAGGGTTTCTTTACCGTTTCTTTAGCGTTTCATTTAGGGTTTCATTTAAGCGTTTCTTATCAGGATTTCTTATCAGGATTTCCGAACGTTCATGTGGGTTTCTTTAAGGCTTCTTTAGGGTTTCATGTACGGTTTCATTTAAGGTTTCTGTAGGGTGTCGTTTAGGGTTTCATTAATACGATCAAGCATTTCCTGTGCGCTTTTCATTGTTTTGTAGGAACCCCCTTCTTCTACGTGAGCTTTTAAACAATGCATTTGGGTTCGTGGTTTCTATCAAGTTTTTTGGTTCGTTTTTTTTGGCTTTCTTTGCTGGTACCATTTGCCTTGTAATTGCAACAGTTTGGAACTAGAATCACTCATTTTGCATTGTATTTGCTACATTTTGGCATGGTTACTTTGCATTTTGCATGGTATTTGCTACATTTTGGTACTTCAAACGTTCATGTGTGTTTCTTGAGAGTTTCTTTAGCGTTTCATTTAGGGTTTCATACAGGGTTTCATTCAGAGTTTCATTTAGGGTTTCATTTAGGGTTTCATTAGGATTTCATTCAGGGTTTCATGTCGGGTATCTTATCAGGATTTCTTATCAGGATTTCCAAACGTTCATGTGGGTTTCTTTGGGGCTTCTTTAGGGTTTCATTTCGGGTTTCATTTGGGGTTCTTCAGGATTTGGGTTTTGGTTAGGGTTTTTTTCAGTCGTTTACGGTTATTTAGGGTATCATTTAGGGTTTCATTCAAATTTTCAAGGAATTTAATCAATTTCATGGGGGGTCCGGAAGCTAGATCCAGGGGGTTCAAAAAAAACAAGGTGGAGGCTCAAAAAAAACGTGGGGGGTCAAGAAAACAAGGTGGGGGGGTCAAAAAAACAAGGTGGGTGGTCAAAAAAACTAGGTCAGGGGGTCAAAAGAAAACAAGGTGGAGGGTCAAAAAAACATGGGGTCAAAAAACAAGGGTCCCAATCCGGAAAGCCAAGACACATCCGAACTCTTCCATGTCCAATTGCCCCATGTTCCCCACGGGTTTGCTTCTGACCATGATGTAATTGACAAACGACATTCAACTGGCATGTTTCCTGTTTCTGACACAGCGCCATTTTTGGGGCGTGTCTTCTGATTGGCTTGGAATGTCCATCTTCCATGACGTCTAAGAAGTGGAACCCAAAGAGTCGAGAAGGAAAGACATATATTTGGCCATGGCTAAGACCTGTTGCACCCATTGAACTCAAAGTTTGATGCTTTGGTACTAAACGCAGCACATTTTCTATGGGTTGAAACAAGCGCATCGTTTTTGAGCACCCATTGAGCCATCTTCCCAAGTCAGGTGCCCTTCCTGAATGATGGGATGTACCATCTCAACCATCAGCATCGCCCATACCGTCATAATGACGAAGCAGAAGATGAAGGACCAAATCAAAGCCTGGTCAGATCAACGATGAGCTTGACGTGTAAGAATAAAGCGCCCCCCCAAATCCCATGTTTTCGATATTTATCCCCGCCTGTCAGCTGAAGGTTGTTAGATTTCATGTCAGCTGTCCCGCCCGCCTCTCGCTCCTTCTCCCCCGCCAGACCTCAACTGCAAGCTCTTGATCGCAGTGGCCCCCGCCGGAACTCAACTGCAAGCTCTTTATCCCAGTGGTCCCCGCCGGGCCTGAACTGCAAGCTCTTGATCGCAGTGGTCCCTGCCGGACCTCAACTGCAAGCTCTTGATTGCAGCAGTTCTTGCCGGACCCGAACATTATCCTCCGGATCAAAGTGATCCTCGCCGGACCTCAACCACAAAGAATCTCCGAAGATATATCAGATAGAATGCCAGAAAGAATGTCAGAAAATAAATGCCAGAAAGGATGTCGGAATAGGTGCCAGATAGAATGTCAGACAGAATGTCAGAATATATGCCAGAAAGTGAGTCAGAATAGATGCCAGACAGGATGTCAGAATGAATGTCAGAAAATATGCCAGAAAGAATGTCAAATAGAATGTCAGAATAAATATGCTATATACACTTCCAGATGGCATGTCAGAAACTATATCAGAATAGTGTTAAGGTGGGGATCACTCGAAGAAAGTAGTTTGATCATGTTCCCGAATAACATTGTCAGTTTGGGGTCAACATGGGTCAACCCCAATGTAGGACTTACCCAGACATTGCATGAGGAACACTATCCACCGACCAAAGATTGGAAATACATCATCAATATACTGGGAGACTTTGCATGGAAAACATGGTGGATCAGGGGATCTAATCGGGCCCATGAAAAAATACCACGCCTGAAGTATTTATATCTATAAACATATAAAATATCATCATATATCTATGCCTCGACCCCCACATGCAGTAGGAAAAGACTGTGAACTGAAAAGTATTCCACGATTCTGCTACTCACAAAGAAAGTTGACGAAAGTGTTTTCATGCACTCTAGAACTAAACCCTGGGGAGTTGCTTTTTGTGTAGTATGACTGGGGGTCCCTGGAGGACCAAAATTCCATAGCCTACTCGAGTGCAAGTTTTCCAATGTAAACTTGATGCCTAACGACAAAGCCATCCGAATAGCTGCTGTGAAAAGCGCACAAGCGACCCCCTTTGCTTCCTTGTCCCTTGCTCTCTGCCAGTTAAAGTTGTGGCGTGCTCCAAAATGTTGTGGTGCCCGCATGCATGGATCCACATTCGACCCTTCAGCTAGGCCATGGTTTGTCGGACACCTTCGACTTGGGTCAAGATCAAACTCTCGGCCCTTCGAAACTTCAAAGTTTTGCAGGAGGGCCCCTCGGGGAAAAAACACAAAACTTGTGAGAGTTCTCAAGTCCAACGGGCATTATGCTTTCATCCCTGAAGCTTTATCCAAGTCAGGGACGTTCATATGTATACATCATTCGAAATCTATAAATCTGCATTGAAACAGCAAAAACGAGAGTACAAACAGGCATGAACTGACCAAGTTCATGCGGCTGAAGCAGGTTCGAACACCCGTCGTGGATTGGTTCTATCCCAACCTCCCAGATGGATTCATGACACGGTTTTTTCCCTGGCAAAGTCTGTATACTGACTCCCACTTCGATTGTTCGGGTTCCAGTCTCCACTCATCTGTATTCAAAAATAACATGTCACCTGAAGTGGGGACTTTCCAGGGGCTATGCGCCAGCTCTACACGCTGCGATGCATATCTGCCAGCAGGCCTTCATGCAGGTAGACATCATTATCACCAGCCTGGCCGTGCTATTGGGTGCAAGAAATCATGGGAGTTGAAGCAGGAAAACTGGGCGAAAACTTCACTAAAGCGATGGGAAATTGAAAAAGAACTGGGATGCTGCAAATAGTCTGAACACATAGACTATTACTCGATATCACTTAAAACAATCTAAGAACTTAAGAAACAGGCAAACTGACCAAACAGGACGGGAAAACAGGACATAAACCAGCAAGAAGTGGAGTAATTAATTCTTTTGGATGGGAACCCGTGTACCAACACTAGGTTAATAATGGATAATATATGGATATATGGTCAGGCGTTGAAGGTCTGGTCTTTGGTCAACGTCGGATTGTGAAACGTCCCGATCGGATTGTGAAACTCGGAAGACGGATTGTGCAACTTGGATTGTGAAACTTGGAGGTTGGATTGTGAAACTTTCAGGACGGATTGTGAAACTCTTAAGAGAGGTTGTGAAACTGGCATTGTGAAGCTCTGAAGAGAGATTGTGAAACTCTGGGGAGAGGTTGTGACACTGGTATTGCGAAACTCTGAGTTAGTACAGATCAGGAAATCGCGAAGCTCCAAGTTGCACAATCAAAGCCCCAAGTTTCAGAAACCGACCGCCAAGTTTCAAAATTCGATGGTTACAAATGCTTACAACTCTTGAAACTCACTCCCCTGCTGCAGCGGTTTAGCACCTTTTTTCTGTCGGGTACCAAGGGGGTGGGAATTTTGATATCATCTTACCCTTGTGGACACTCCAAGTCAGTTTGAAGTTCCGCCGGGGTGGGAATTTTGATATCATCTTACCCTTGTGGACACTCTGTATCAGTTGGAAGTTCCATGGGGGTGGGAATTTTGATATCATCTTACCCTTGTGGACACTCTGTATCAGTTGGAAGTTCCATGGGGGTGGGAATTTTGATATCATCTTACCCTTGTGGACACTCCAAGTCAGTTTGAAGTTCCATGAGGGTGGGAATTTTGATACCAGTAGTACCGCACATTGCGGTGGCGGAAGTTTCAAAAATAGGAAACCTATAGGAGAGGTTGGTTGCTGTGAATCAGGGATGGCAGGGCGAAGCCACTGATGGACTGAAAGGTGCTTGATCTCTCTCTCTCTCTCTTTTATCATTCTCTGATTATCTACCTACCTACCTACTGATCTATCTGTCTATCTATCTAGTTTTCTCTCTGTCTATCTATCTCCCTATGTATTTATCTAGCTGTCTAGTTTTCTAGCTATTTGTCTATCTATCTATCCATCGATTTATCTATCTATCTATCTACCTATCTATCTATCTAACTATCTATCTATGTATCTATCTATCTATCTAACTATCTATCTATCTATCTATCTATTTATCTATCTATCTCTCTCTCTCTCTATCTCTCTATCTCTCTATCTCTCTATCTCTCTATCTCTCTATCTCTCTATCTCTCTATCTCTCTATCTCTCTATCTCTCTATCTCTCTATCTATTTATCTATCTATCTATCTATCTATCTATCTATCTATCTCACTCTCTCTCTCTCTCTCGCTATCTCTCTGTCTGTCTGTCTGTCTGTCTGTGTGTCTGTCTATCTATCTATCTATCTATCTATCTGCAAGATCAAAAACGAAGAAATTTTGCGAGACTTCCGTAATGTTTGAACATAAGAACGTCCAAAACGCAACAATTCTGCGAGACGTCTTCATTTTTTGAACTTGACAACATCCGAAACGAAGCAATTCTGCGAGACTTCCTCATTTTTCGAAGTGCAAGCCATCAAAAACGAAGAATTCTGCGAGACTTCCTTCAAAAATGGAAAGTTGAGTGCAGAGCTGACAGACTCGTACCAATGCGTTTTGCGATTTTTCCACTCCACCTGCGTAAAGTATTGCGCCTGCCACGAAAAATTGATGCCAGGTCATACGACGTGCCGCACCTGTCACGCAAAATCATCTCAGCAAACCTGAAGATCTGATGCTCCAAATCAGCGCCCTGGCCTCCTAACATCTCTGATGAACATGTCTTTTGTACTGCGCCTGCCACGCGAAATGCATCTTTGAAGATCCTCTTCAAATGTCCCACGCCTGCCAGCGTTTTTGGAAATGCTGCAAAACCCTCGCTTTTTGCTCACTTTTGCTCAGGTGCACAATTCTTTGCGCCTGCCACGCGAAAGCACATCTGAACGTCCAAAAGTGCTCCGTACCCGTCATTTTTTTGCACTTTTGACTTGGAAATATGCTTCGTGCCACAACGGTGTGCACTTTTTCGACATCTGAACTTCCAAAAGTGCTCCGAGCACCATGAGTTTTGTACATTTTGACTTGCAAATGTGCTTCACGCCACAACGGCGTGCACTTTTTCGACATCTCAACTTCCAAAAGTGCTCCGAGCACCATGTGTTTTGTACATTTTGACTTGCAAATGTGCTTCGCGCCACAACGGCGTGCAATTTTTCATCTCTTATCTGGCCAGCTGGCTCCGCACCCGCCGCTTTAGCGAGCCTACTTTTCGACCCTCCGGAGCCACAAATCATTGGAAAAACACAGTGTTTCGCGACTTTCTTACCTTTTCACGCATCTGCATCTTCTTTCTTCTTACTCTTCTTTCTTCTAATCTTTCTCTTCTCTCTGCCTTTTCCCTGCCCTGCTTTTCATCTGCCCATATTGTCGGAAGTTTGACTTCTAAACTTCCTTCAATCATCTTACCCTTGTGGACATTCCAATCAGTTTGAAGTTCCGCCGGGGTGGGAATTTTTATATCATCTTACCGTTGAGGACAGGCGGTGTCACATTTCAAATTCCATGGGGGTGGGAATTTTGATATCATCTTACCCTTGTGGACAATGCAAGTCGGTTTGAAGTTCCACGAGGGTGGGAATTTTGATATCGTCTTACCCTTGTGGACACTCCAAGTCAGTTTGAAGTTCCATGAGGGTGGGAATTTTGATATCGTCTTACCCTTGTGGACATTCCAATCAGTTTGAAGTTCCGCCGGGGTGGGAACTTTGATATCATCTTACCGTTGAGGACAGGCGGTGTCACATTTCAAATTCCATGGGGGTTGGGAATTTTGATATCATCTTACCCTTGTGGACAGTGCAAGTCGGTTTGATGTTCCAGAGGGATGGGGAATTTTGATATCATCTTACCCTTGTGGACAATCCAAGTCAGTTTGAAGTTCCACGGGGTGGGGAGTTTGAATATCGTCTTACCCTTGAGGTCGGAATTGTTTGGAGGCAGTGTAGTTGCAGAGTTTCGCTTTCCGGGGAGTTGCACAAGCAAAGTTGCGCAATCCAAGTCTTTAAGAACCTCGAACCAACCTCCAGGTGGCTTCAGGTCAACCAACCTACAGAGAGATATGTCACTACGGCTATACAGAATGATATGGTACTTTGAATATCTTTGAATAACCTTTCAACATCTTATACTATGCCACCAGGGGGCCTGCCTACATAGATACCTTCTGTTTCGAATGCCCACTTTGCCCTTTCAGTTGGTCAAAGCCTCTTTTCTGATGGCAAAAACAACCAAAATTGAAGCGACCTCCATTTACAGATGACTTTCCCGTGTTCGACATTCCCGTTACTTCTCATATTTAAGTGATGGTTAATGAATATTAATGGGAATGATGATTTCATCGATTTTATTGATGATTATCATGACCAATCATTCCCAAGAATATCCACATATTCAAAAATTATTTCATTGATTTTCCCATTGAACTACTGTGGAAAATCACCATTTTTAGTGGGCAAATCAACTTTAAATCACCATTTTCAATAGGAAACGGTTAACTTGCCAGAGGGTAGTTTCCATATCAACTATAGTGAATAATATCTAAATATAGTTTGTAAATATAGTTAATGTTGATATACTTACGATATTAACTATAGTTACATCACATAGATCCCGCCAACGTGCCATTTACCTACTGTAAAATCCCATTAAAAAAAACATTAAACATCCAGTAGACTGCTGCTTTGCCGAAGGAACTTCTGCAGCTCTCGCAGGGCACGACTCTTTCGCAGCAGCCGCAGCAGCCGCATGACGCGCGCCAGGCGTAGCAGTCGGAGAATGCCAAAGCTGACGGGGACGGAGATGGGGAGCTGAAAAAACATCCCCAAGACATAGCATATAGTAAAAAGGGGACTCTAGTAGTATCTTATTAGTAATCAAAGTAAAAAACGTAATAGTAATAATAGTAGAAGTAATAAAGGTTATAGTAATAGTAATAGTAATAGTAATCAAAGTTGTAGTAATAGTTGTAGTAATAGTTGTAGTAATAGTAATAGTAATATAGTGGGAATATAGTTAATAATAATAGTATTAGTAGCACTAGATTACAATCCCAACAATAGTGGGGGTATAGTAATATAGATAAAAGCAATAGTGATAATAGTAATATTCAATGTTATCCCGAACTATAAATTGTGATATAGAGTATAGTCCCATGGAAACTGGGAATATAATCGGGATAAAGTAGAACACCCAATAATAAACATCACATAACGGGAATAATCATGATTTTCATATGTTTTTTCTTGAACGGGATTGTAAGACTATAGTCCATTCATATAGGATGTTTTGATGGGAATGTAATGGGGAACAGTGTATATATTCCCATAGTTGATTATATATATCGGATGATAATTGATATGGGTCTATGATCAAGAAAAAAAATATGGGATTAATATGGGACTGTGACTATGATGGGAATACCTTAAAATGGGACTAGAATGGGGTTACATGGGTTTACATAGGACTAACAGTTGGATTTTTCGAAGGATTATACAACTGAGTCAATATATATGGGACTATAGATAACTAGGGTTGATAGGGTCTAATGAGGATAGAATTGGATATATTGGGGTTTTCTGATGAGAATATACACTGGGACATGGGTTACAATGGGAATTCTTGGGTCTACACACCAACAATTTATGGGATTACAATAGGAATATTATAATGGCTTGCTGGATCCGTAGATCTAATACCAGTGGTTTTAGGCTGCGATTTGTCATAGGAAATGGGATGATCGAAACAAGAGATTCTTTCTGATGTTGAAGATTGGTCTTACCGAGGTCTTACCGAAAAAGGGATACATACCAAAAACCAATATAAGTGTTCAATTGATTTTTTGGCAATGGATTTGGTGTGGAAACCAGGGGTGCAACGGTTTTGACAATTTTTGACCGATACCCATATGTGGGATAAGAAGGAATAAGACTGGGAATGAAAATGGAATCATAAGATGTAGCCACATCCAACGATGGGATGTGATCTTAAAAATACTGGAGATTCAACCCAGAAAAAATCATGGTTTCACACTGGTTTCATCCATTGTCATTAATCATGTCTTCATAAGCAATGCCACGATTAGATATCGCCACATGTTTTTGCTGTTTATATAATCTACACACACACATATATATATATATATTGACATACTAATTTACGGCACAAGATACAATACTACCCGTCCAAGGTCTACGCAAGGGATGAGATAAATTGAAGAAAAAATGGGACTTCATCAACATTGCTACCACATGCGGCAACCATAGCCATCAACATGGGGAAATTCATCATCAGTCCAATAGATGAGACGAGCTGATTGTAACTTCGGTTTTAGCATTGGGGGATAGTTATTAATTTTATGTGGTTTCAAAAAAATGAATAGAGTATCAACAAGTTGTAACCAGCCAACATTGAAAAAAACAAGAACAGGGGACTTACAAGCAAGCATTTCACCAACAAAGCAAGGAAGATGACGAGATGAGCTGCAAAATCACTAGTCGAAGCGCATTTTTGCGCGAAACTATCTACATCAGAAAGAGTGGGTTCCTGTCATTTTCCCAAAAACCCATTCTGCAAAAAAGTGAAATTTTGCCCACCAAACGGGACGATTCACCAGCCATGAGGATTTGAACCAGAAACATCGCGAACATTCTCCAGCATAGCGCCGTACTTGTTTGGACAAAAATCATTTGGAAATGGTCTGGAAAGTGGAATAAATTTGGAAGTTCTTCTCTGGTTGGTGGTTTCAACCCCGCTGAAAAATATGAAAGTCAATGGGAATTAAAGGACCGGATAACCCCACATGTCAACTTCTTCCAACAAGCAGCAAAAGAAAGGTAAAGATGACATGGGGAAAGACGGAAAGAGAAAGAGATGGTGAAGGATTGGTGCCATACGTGCCACGCCTGCCACGCAAAAGTGGAAATCGATGTCACCAAGTACCACGCCTGCCACGTGAAACGAAGGTGGACGTCTCCAAGTGCCACGCCTGCCACGCCAACAGCCGCGGCGTCCCGGCGTTCCACTCCGGCCCAAGCGCGCCACCGGAGCCAGCCCAGTGCCATACGTGCCACGCCTGCCACGCAAAGTGAGGATCCATGTCACCAAGTGCCCAATGCCATACGTGCCACGCCTGCCACGCAAAAGTGGAAGTCGATGTCACCAAGTACCACGCCTGCCACGTGAAACGAAGGTGAATGTCTCCAAGTGCCACGCCTGCCACGCCAACAGCCGCGGCGTCCCGGCGTTCCACTCCGGCCCAAGCGCGCCACCGGAGCCAGCCCAGTGCCATGCGTGCCACGCCTGCCACGCAAAGTGAGGATCCATGTCACCAAGCCATACGTGCCACGCCTGCCACGCAAAAGTGGAAGTCGATGTCACCAAGTACCACGCCTGCCACGTGAAACGAAGGTGAATGTCTCCAAGTGCCACGCCTGCCACGCCAACAGCCGCGGCGTCCCGGTGTTCCACTCCGGCCCAAGCGCGCCACCGGAGCCAGCCCAGTGCCATACGTGCCACGCCTGCCACGCAAAAGTGGAAGTCGGTGTCACCAAGTACCACGCCTGCCACGCCAACAGCCGCGGCATCCCGGCGTTCCACTCCGGACCAAGTGCGCCACCGGAGCCAGCCCAGTGCCATACGTGCCGTGCCTGCCACGCAAAGTGAGGATCCATGTCACCAAGTGCCACGCCTGCCACGCAAAGTGAAGGTCCATGTCGCCAAGTGCCACACCTGCCACGCAAAGTGAGCGTCGATGTCAAGTTGTGTGTGGACAAAGTGAAGGTGGATGTCACCAAGTGCCACGCCTGCCACACAAAGTGAAGGTGGATGTGACCAAGTGCCACGCCTACCGCGCAAAGACACATGTGTGTGAGTAAGTTCTGTGTGGACAAGTTGTGTGTGAGCAAGTTGTGTGTGAGTAAGTTGTGTGCGGACACGTTGTGTGTGGACAAGTTGTGTGTGGACAAGTTGTGTGTGGACAAGTTGTGTGTGAGTAAGTTGTGTGTGAGTAAGTTGTGTGTGAGTAAGTTGTGTGTGGACAAGTTGTGTGTGAGCAAGTTGTGTGTGTGCGCGTAAGTTGTGTGTGTGCAAGTTGTGTGTGAGTAAGTTGTATGTGATCAAGTTGTGTGTGAGGAAGCAAGTTGTGTGTGAGTAAGTTGTGTGTGAGGAAGTTGTGGGTGGACAAGTTGTGTGTGTGCGCGTAAGTTGTGTGTGTGCAAGTTGTGTGTGAGTAAGTTGTATGTGATCAAGTTGTGTGTGAGGAAGCAGGTTGTGTGTGGACAAGTTGTGTGTGGACAAGTTGTGTGTGAACAAGTTGTGTGTGAGTAAGTTGTGTGTGTGCAAGTTGTGTGTGAGTAAGTTGTATGTGATCAAGTTGCGTGTGAGGAAGTTGCGTGTGAGTAAGTTGTGTGTAGAGTAAGTTGTGTGTGGACAAGTTGTGTGTGTGAGTAAGTTGCGTGGACAAGTTGTGTGTGGACAAGTTGTGTGTGAGCAAGTTGTGTGTGGACAAGTTGTGTGTGAGTAAGTTGCGTGGACAAGTTGTGTGTGGAAAAGTTGTGTGTGAGCAAGTTGTGTGTGGACAAGTTGTGTGTGGACAAGTTGTGTGTGAGCAAGTTGTGTGTGAGTAAGTTGGGTGTGAGCATGAGACTGCGTGGACAAGTTGTGTGTGGACAAGTTGTGTGTGAGCAAGTTGTGTGTGAGCAAGTTGTGTGTGGGCAAGTTTTGTGTGGGCAAGTTGTGTGTGAGTAAGTTGCGTGGACAAGTTGTGTGTGGACAAGTTGTGTGTGAGCAAGTTGTGTGTGGACAAGTTGTGTGTGAGCAAGTTGTGTGTGAGCAAGATGTGTGTGGACAAGTTGTGTGTGAGTAAGTTGGGTGTGAGCAAGAGACGACGGGAGGAGGCGGACGGCGGGATACAGAACCCAAAACAAGAACCCCACACAAAGATGTGGGGAAGGATGACATCACAAATATTATGGAAAACAAAAACTCATGTTTGAAACCACCAATCAGTGATTTATCATGATATATTATGATTAGTTTACCATAGTTTACCAATGTGATTCGTTTGCGGTGCTTTTGTCGAAGCAGATTTTCCGGAGCTTAGCCACCGCGTAGTACCAAGCATGTGTGTGTGTGTGTCGAAAGAAAACACATATCATGTCACACCAACAAACACAAGAGAAAAGTTGGATTTAACATGCTTTAACCGACAAGAATGAACCTTTAACACCAGAGAAATATGTAAAAACATGTAAAATGTAAAACATGAGAAACGCACTGGAAAACACTGTCAAGCTGTTAAAGGACCATCAGCAAAATAAGATATCACCAGCAAACCCTGGAAATTCATAACGGGAACAGCTTGGATTCGACCGGCAAGCATTGTGATAACAAAACGCACGCAAGGGTTTTGTTGCAAAAAGTCTCATCATTTGCTGCATTTCCGTGCCAGTTACACACTTCATTGTAATAGTTACAAGGTGGTCCCCCATAGTGCTATAGTTTGCGAACATATGTGAACATAACTCCAATAACTCCAATAACTCGGGTTTATGGTAGATATACCTAGACTTTTCATGGGGGTTATAAACGAACATTTCCATCAGTGGGGCACCATCTTGAAAAATCCCCGCCTCGCCACGATCGCCTCAGAGGACAAGGCGTCCAAGATCATCTCCACGTAGCCGCAAATGATGACGCCTCGAGGAGCAGCCAGTAATAGCTATGGCGGCTATGGGGATCTTGCTATGGGTCCATGATTCATGTCGCTATGTCAAGATATCGATCTAATGTGATCTAACGTGTTCATTGAGCCTGGATAATTAATCTTAGGTAGCTGCAAAACACATGTATATAACTGTATATATGCGTATGCATATATCTAGTATTATATATATTATAGTGCAGAATTCAAAGCCGGCTACCGTAGTAAGTAGTATAAATGAGTAGGAGTAGCTCTTCCGAAGATACAACGTGGGGTCCATTAGTGGGGAAGTCAATCACCCAGCTTGTCAAAATAAGCCAGAAAGTCTATCAACATGTTGGATCAGCTGGGAAAAAACAACCAAATATTGATGAATAGCAGTGATAAATTTTGGGAGTTCAAGAAACCGGCAAGCCGTAACTATAAATTAATGCTATAATTTAAATATGGTCGATTTGGCATTGAAAGCCTGTTTGACTCACTTCCTGCAAGAGACAAAGAATTCGTCGCAACAGACGGTTGCCAACTGAGCAGTGCTGGACAATTGACTGGTCTACAACCAACAACGACTAACATCTGCGACTCGCTCCATTTCAAATTGTAATCCAAATCCACTTATTTGGGGAATACCTGATGCCCACACCTAAACCAATAGTTTTGAGTTGACACTCTAATGGATGCATCATGGACAAGCTGTGGCAAGATGCACAAATCAATCAAGAAGACGCGGTCATGAAGCACTTGCAAACCTGGCACAAGAAATCCGCTCTAGCTTCGCTCAACACTGGTCGCAGTGTTTTGGTGGCAAATGGTTTCGTACATGTTCGTACATAGTCATACCGACTTCTCGATGTGGGGGAGATCAGACCCACTCTTTTGATCTCTTTCGCATATGATGAATTTCCTTCCATGTCTCAGGTATATTCTCCGTCAACTAGGTATCTCCCTTTCAGATATAAGGGGTTTCTTAAAATGAGGATCCCAAAGCCACTATGGGTTTCAATACTCAATGGTCACCCATGACTTGGATGATTTGGGGGTACCCCCATGACTTAGGAAACCCCCCTGAAGGTCAAAATGGAAATTTCTGCAAGGGATCCCTGGCGGGGTTGCAGCCATTCAGGCGCCACAAGACCAACCACTGAACATTGATGAAAACCCTGAGGACCCCTGCTGGATGGATAGCAGTTTTCTACTGATAAGATCTGATAAGTCATGAGTTTCAAGACGCCAAACCAGGGTAGCTGGCATATACTACGCTTGGATAAGTTTCATACAACTGCTGACTATCAACCCACCAAAGGTGTCACTTGGAATTGGTTCTGCCCTTGGACCCGCCGCAGGGCAAACCCTGTCCGAAGAGCACCAAGGAAGCTTCTAGCGTATACCTGAGCCATGCCAGCTAAGGATGTTCATATTATGTTCATCAACAAAGAATCTAAGGTCTCGGGAGAAATTGTGCGGTTTTCGAGCACGGTATCAAGAATTTATGATAATACGATAGATCCTTTCACGTTACAGATTCCAAGGAGGGTTTTTGGACTTTTGAAGAAACATTCATTTGGGACAATGATCTTGTGTTACGAGGCTAGTTTTGCTGGTCCAGCTACTTGATTTGGTTCTTTGTGCGCAAATATATCTGCGTAAATTAGAATATGTCACTAGCCTGAATTGTTGGGCCATTTGGGGATGATTCCTCTTATTAACTATGATTCCAGGGTTCGGGAGAATAGTGAGGTCGTGATCAAATTTACCCAGATATATGGAACGTCACTATTCTTTGCAAATCTCAGTGCGAGAATCCAACTGGAACCCACCTTCGGTTGAAACATCACCTGTATCATCGCATGATGGAAACATCTTCAAATTAAAGATTAACGACTCAAATTGAAATCCCGAAATATCACGATTATTCTGTTCTATTCTGTTGAAATCGCTGTTTTGTTCTGACATCATGATTACACCTGACCTAGCTGTTGGCGATCATACCATCAGCCGAAATCCAAACGCTGCATCGCCAAGGTGCAACACTAGACACGTAGCGGCGCCCACCTGTCCAATTTCGCAAAAAGTTGAAGGGTTTCTGATCCTAAAAACGGACCAATGCAGTTGGCTGGTTTAGTCACATCATGTTTTGTCAAATCCATACGTTAAGCTTGCAAGGAGGTCCGAGGTCACATCAGGGTCACATCAGTTCATGTTTACAATGCGTTTCATCAATTTTTGGACCCTGTCGGGAAAAGTAAAGCAAATACAACCGGATCAAAATGTTATTGCAGAAGGGCCCGGGGCAGCAAAACCCTGTGACACACCGGGCAAGCAGCAAAGCAGCCGCAAAGAAACAACTACACGCCCAAGCCCAGAAACGCAATGGTAGCAGAACCCAAGCACCAGTATAGGGCATAGTAGCAGTAGCAACGGTAGCAGCAGTAATTAGCACAGGCAGCGTTTGTGCTGGTGGTTGTGGATTGCCGGAATGTTCAACTTATTTTCAAAACGGGTTCCCCCAAACAAGGCTCCAATGAGGTCCGAACGAGGTCCCAACATGGCAAACATGACCAAAGAGACACCGCCCCACAGGCATGAGAAAAGAGCGCCCACCGCAACACCAGCCGCAGCCGCAGAAGTCAACAATGTAGCAGAAGGTCTGGGAGCTGAGTAGCAGCAGTGGAGCAGCAGTCTGGCAGCAAGCCACTTAGCAGCAGTGTAGCACCAGCCCGGCAAGAGTCTGGCAGCAGTCCAGCAACACACAGAGGAGAAGTCTAGTCTAGTAGCAATCTAGCAGCAGTTTAGCAGCAGTCTGGCAGATGTGGTTGCTCAGTGGAGCACAGGGGAAGGGGAGAGAGAGAGAGAGGGAGAGAGAAAGAGAGAAAGAGAAAAAGAAAAAGAAAAAGAAAGAAAAAGAGAAAGAGGAAGAGAAAAAGAAAGGGAGAGAGAGAGAGAGAGGAAAAAAAACACACACAAGCAAAAAAACACAGCGAAGAAAACACACAGCTGCAGAAAGAAGCAAAGCATTGGAATCGATGCGACCCCCTCCAACTGCGTCCCCCAAGATAATACCGACATTTCGATATACTTACCACAATCGATGCGACAAAACCACTTGACTGTACCATGACTTTTTGCTATTACAAGTACTACATTAGCATTAAGAAAAACAACCAAACCCAACATGGCCATTTCGGGGCCGAGACTGCGAAAATATGCGAAAATTCTCTAGCTGTGTGTTGTCAGAGATTTCGTCCTTTTCATTCTTGGAGCACCGAAACCTGGCCAAAAGTAACAGATTTGGCAATTCAATTGCAACTGATTGAATTTTAAAAAATGCGTTAAAATTTTGAAACCTCCCAAGACTCCCAACCCACAAAAGTTTGGTCACTTTCAATCCAAAAAGCACCCTGTTGGCAGGGATACTCAAGTTTTCGAAACCTCGAAACCCAGTTGATGCAGTAGAGCCAATGCTAAAGTGAGCAATGCGCCATTTAGATGGATTTAGCCAGCTGCGGCAAGCTGGACCAGAAAAGGCGGGAAGAAATAAACATAGCCGCAATAGAACCAGCATGTTTAAAAAGGCACACGTTACAGGCCCTAGTTTCGACATTATCTTATTTTGTACAAAACTTAGGCAATGCATACAAGTATTCTAAATGGTTTGACAAATAGTTTGACAATGCATCGACGCTTTTCTTGTGAAGACAACTAGCTATTAGTTTGATACCTATTAGCCTATTAACGTTTTTTGAAAGCTTCTAAGCATCCATCAGAGAAGTTCCCCTCAAAAGGAGAAGCCACTGGCCCATCTTGAGGAGCAGCCTACTGTATGTGCCTTCATTGGCATGGCCAAAAATGCTCTCAGTTTGAAGTGTTTGGGGCCTGGGGTGTTTGACAGGATGCAACGGTTGGCCCTATCAAAGTATACAGGGATTCCTTCCATTGTTCCTGTCTCAGACTAAGTTTCTGCGATGGTTGTGCTGTGTATTCGGTTGAAGCTGGTCACTGCTACGTGCATGTTGGATTGACTTTGCTTTGTTGTTCTATGATTGGGTACTGTATATGGTACGGTATAATCAACCTTGTATACTTCATGTGCACTAACAGGTTGGAACATGGGTTTGAAATGTTCATATGTAAGGAAGTGATCTGCTGACAGCCTTTCCATGGTCACTGTTCGGCCAGTGACGTAGCAATCACTTGATTACAAGAATTGGTAGGGCCATCGGGATCTACCCTCACATCCAATTTCTATTTTATTGGAATCATTTTGGTAGCTCTTCTTGCTAAATCCTAATGCATTGATTCATGCTGAAGAATTGTGGGATAAAACCCGGCAATTAGTCTTGTAAAGCCTTAACTCCTCATATAACCTTTGCAAGTGCAATTGCTTGCATCTCTCAGGATGTTGTGAAGCCTATACTTTAGAATTAATAAAAACCATCCAATCTATAAAAATAAATATTGATAATCAATACACATAAACCTATGCTTTGCAATTTTCCATGGTGATATCATAATGGAAATTTGCTTCAGCAAAGAGACTCACTTTGGTTATCTCATCCCGTAAGCGGTTTTTGCCAAAAACATTTGAAGAGCAATGTAGCATGAAGGATATGGCCCCAACTCCACGCCTATGATATCAGTACACTTTACAGAACTAGAGAGACAAACAAAAACAGGGCGAACAAAAGGAACGGCATAAAAAACACAAGACCATTAACATAAACAAGTCTAACGGTATATAACAGTAAATAACAAATATAGCAGCAGTATATAACAGTAAAAACATGCAAAAACTATGAAAGAACAGCAACAAACCCCGCGGGTTGCGGGTCGAGCCCTCACCTGGTAGATTTCCGGCGGTTTGTTCCCAAGAGCTCTGGCATCAATGTCGCCGCAGTTGCCTCATGTGGGTCAAGGCGATGTGATAACTGGCCCATCAGGAGATCATTGCAACACATGGTCCGTTTGAAAAGGTCAAAGCATGCCAAAACAATATGTACCCCACAAAGAAGGCCAAGAACATCACGAAATCTAGAGCTACACAACCACACCAAATCTACAGATTTTGATCAAAACGCACGCGCCAGAATCCTGGGCAAAGCATTGGAGAGTCAGATCCACCATGCAAATCGAAAACCGATAAATGGGCGACATGAATCATCCCAAAAAGGACTTTGACATACTTTGACATACTATATCCAATTTCATTAAACCCAATTGGTGGTGAACGATGGAAAAACTTTGTCTCCCATCAGCTGTCAGCACCAAAAAAACAACAAAAAAACATTGTCAAGCCTGAAAGTAGCTTGAAACACGAGTATCCTTGAAGCTTTTGTGCAAATTCCTGAGCCTCCCCAGCCTCCCCAGCCTCCCCACAAAAATCAGGTTTCGATAGGTGAAAGAAACGATTTCATCTGTCTGGGGACAACTATCTACGTTTTTCTTAAAACAATTTGGAGCATACGAAACATCCCAGCACTGACAGTTTCCAAGACCAAGTTGCAATAAGCGTCGAATAAAATCACAACTGCCATGGCTTGAGTTGTGAACCTGAGCGGAGAAAGGTGTCCTCCTCCTCCTCCTCCAACAAACATGTTTCAATGACGAACCGCTATTTTCAATAGGTGAACGATGGTGAATGATCTGCAAATGTGGGTTTTCTGTTTGTAAGATTGCCAGTAGGTCGTAGTGGCATGATGTCAGGACTGCCAACCATGGTCTCTGGCATCTGGGGTTGAAAAGTGGTCTGATCCAAATGACACAGGGGAAGTCATTCATGTGAACGGAGAGATTTTTATGATTTTGTTATTTTCAATGGGACACTGAAGGCGAAGTATAGGTGGTTTTTAGTGCCACACTGGTTTTGTGGTTTCCCATTCCTTGTGCTGTTCAGCAAGCAGGCCGAAGGACTTGTTGGAGGTCACACGTTTGGCCCAACTCTTCAATTTGTCCATTCGATGGAAATGAAACTCCGCAGATTCTCCTGGCGGCTGGTGCCCCGGTTTGTGATGAGCCACAGAACTGGGCATGGCGATAGTGAACGTAAACCAACAAATTCAACTGGGGGAGACTACCTAACTACCTTGTGCAGACTTGCGATAACAATTTGTTATCAGTGCTTGCAGAATCACGGCGATGGGGATGTATTTAAATGTTTTGATGGGTAAATGTTGGTCACCAAAATTCATGGTGGTTGGAAGTGAAGTGCAGATGTTTCTTACAGCGATCAACAGCATGAAGTGAAGGTTAAAACCCTTTACAATATGGAGCAAGGCAAATGGCAGACTGCAGTTAGTATTTTTTTTTAGTCGGTTCAACCTGCCAAAAAAGAAAACTGTACCAGAAAGTGCCCGGCACGTGACGGGGCGGAAGTTTCCATAATAGGAGATGACAAAAGGAAATCAATGGCCTGTAGGCACGTTTTTGAAAGGCAGAAACCATGAGCGGTTGAAGTTGTGAGGTGCTTCAACGAATGAGCAAATGGTGGTTGAGATGCCAGCTTAAATGGTTTTTAAAAGACTATGCGCACAACTAAGTGAATGAAACAATGAATCGACGAATCAAGAATCAGTGAATCAACGAACCTATGTAGCAACGAAGCAGTGGCTCTATGAATCAACCAACCTGGATTCAGTCCAACAGCCTGTGAGTCAGTCAGTCAATGAAGCAATGAATCGATGTTTCAGTGAAACAACGAATCAATGAACCGATGATTCAGTGAAAGAATGAACTCATGAATCAATGCATGAATGACTTAGTGGGTCGATGAATCAGTGAATCAATGAAGCAGTGAATGAATAAATGAAGTAAAGTGAGTAGATGAACCAATGAAACGGATCAATGGAGCAATGAAGCGATAAATCAGTGAAACGATGACTCAATGAACGAATGCACGAGTGAACCAGTGAGTTAAGATGAATCAATGAATCGATGACTGAGTGAAACGGTGAGTCAATGACTCAGTGATTCAGTGCAATGAACCAAAGAAGCATTGATGAAGTGAATCAACGAACCGATGGATGATTCTTTGTTGAGCCACTTCTTCACTGAGCGACCTCTTTGCTGAGGCACCTCTTCTCTCAACTACTTATTCTCTGGGCAGCCACTTATCTGGGCTACCTCTGCTCTGACCTACCTCCCAGCTAGCTCATTGTAGCTTCTGCAACTTAATTCTTCTCTTCGCGCAGCTGTTCCACTATTTTCTTGCAAAACTTTTCAATCACGTTGACGCTGAGATTGTTTTTTTCACAGGTCGAATGTTAATATCATTTCGATATTTCACACAGTGTTTCCCACCCAGCCCTTGTAGATTCCAAAAACAAACAGGGGTCAGATTGCAAGAACCACACACATTTTACTGGGTCAGATTCCAGCAAGTCATTTGAATACTTTCCCGAAAGACCCTTCAGTTGAAACAGAAGTCAATATGAAACATTGAAAATGACAATTGTTTGGAAAAGACCTACACTTTCCGAAAAACTTCCCGGCACGTGGAATCTGATCCTGTACACGACGACGTTGCGTGCATTTTGTCTCCAACAGATTGCAGCGCGAGTGCGTTGTTGCCATACCGTCAGAACAGCGTGCACTTTTTCAATATCCCAACTTCCTCACGTGGTCCGAGACCGCCAGTTTTCAACACTTTTTACTTCGGCATGTGCTTCGCGCCACAAGGCCGTGCATTTTTTACCATCCCAACTTCCAAAAATGGTCGGAGACCGTCAACACTTTTGACTTCGAAATGTGCTTAGCGCCACAGCGGCGTGCACTTTTTCACCATCTCTCCAAACGTGGTCCGAGACCGCCAGTTTTGAACACGTTTGACTTCGAAATGAGCTTCGTGCCACGAAGACGCGCACTTTTTCACCATCTCAATTTCCAAAAATGCCTGAGACCGCCAGTGTTTCAAAATTTTGACTTCGAAATGTGCTTCGCGCCACAAGGGCGTGCTCCTTTTCAACATCACAACTTCCAAAAGTGGTCCGAAGTTGGTGTGTTTTGTACATTTTGACTTGGAAACGTGCTTCACGCCACAACGGCGTGCACTTTTTCGACATCTCAACTTCCAAAAGTGCTCCGGACGCGAGGTGCTTTTGCCTTTTTCACTTTGACATGTGCTTCGTGCCTCAGCGACATGCACTTTTTCCACTTCTCAACTGCCAAAAGTGGCAGGACCTTAGGCGTTTTTATCATGTTGACTTCAAAATTTGCTTCGCGCCGCAGCAGCGTGCAATTTTAGATCTCCCATCTGACCAGGTGACCAGATGGCTCCGCACCCGCAGCTTTAGCGAGCTTATTTTTCGACCCTCCGGAGCGACAAAACATTGGAAAAACCATGTTTCGCGACCTTTGTAGTTTTCGCGCGCCTGAATCTTCTTTCCTCTTGCTGCTCCAGCTGTCCTTCAGTCGGAAGTTTGACTTCTAAACTATCTTCGGTCATTCGTCATATCATCAGATTTATATTTAGGTTCGAGACTTGATCAGAGGAAGTTTAGTTAGAAAACTTCCAAGTTACGGACGATGGCCATGGGTTAGCATTCACACCCTCATGTCAACCACATCATCATGTCAACCCCGTCATCAAGTAGTTGGGAAGTGTAACAGTTCGGAAGCAGGGTAATTCATGGGTGAAAACGCTCCTGGCAAGCGGGACTGAAGCTTGATTCAGTTTAAATCAGAACGTAGTGAGATGCATAGATATCTACGTATATATGCATAGATACACAGATAATATATACATCGTACTATAGGTCTTATTGTACGCATCCAACATCACATTATCATAAACGTGAAACAAAAATAAGTTGGTTTCACCATTTGACATCTCCCAACGAAGCCGTCTCACACGAGACCTGCTGCAACGCGGATAAAGTCCCCACTGATTGCTGTACCTTCGACAGCGAGGCCCATTTTTGTGAAATCAAAGTTCAGCAAAAGCAGACAGCAGTCCAGTTACTTTCCCACTTCGCACTTTGGGGAATGGACATAATTGTACCATTGTGGAACTACCACATGAATAAATCACGGATAATTTTTATTTAGAATATAAACCGTTATAATACGATGAAGTCATCATTCCAAATGGATGGAAGAGATTTTCGATTATACCATCGATAGTCCATGATTGCACCATCCATGGTTGTACCATCGTTCCGAATAGTCTAAGTGCTGCTGATATTAGTTGAAGTCCTGCATCTAGGTTGATCTCTAGTGTGAGCCTCCGGTAAACTAACACAGCGATGGGCAATAGCCCATTTGTAGATGATTTACCCATTAAACATGGTCATTGTCCATAGCTATATTAGTTTACCAACGGTAACTCCTGATTCACTATGTCTGCGATTCAAATTGGGGGCTCCGACAGTCCACCATTGCGAGCTGCCACCAGTAGGAAATTTGATCCATCTTGCCATTTCTACCAAATGGAAAATCTATCTATCTATATATATATATATACAAATATATTGTAGATATTAGATAAAATATTTGCCATTATACATATACGTTACCGTTACAATTTTTCCAATTGGCTATCTAATATATATATATATATTGTGCTCACCTCTGTTGACCTACCGTGCGACGTTTCAACAATACATATCAGTGAATATCATGAGATAATGAAAAGGTATCCATTTGTGGATCAATCTCTCTACAAAATCATATCCTCTCCTGTTATTTTAAAAACACCCCCTGGATATTGAGAGTCATCACCTGGAATGTTCTTTAGCTTGGTATGATCCATCTGTTTCCAATAAGGGATGCCCCAATCCATCCTATGGCAAAAGCCATATTGCCAGCTAGCTATGGCCCATCAATGGGAATTCAGGGCACGAAAACGAATGTACTGCAGGCAATGTACCACATGTTTGGAGGGGATCCTATCAATGGCAAGTATTGCTGGCAAACCCAAATAGATGGGTATCCTTCAATATCTCGCTGGTGAAATCTATTTGGCAGTTTCTTGGGGGATTCCCGGTCGTCACCATGGGTTTCAATAATACTAAGTCATGTTCATCCATGACTTGGATGATTTGGGGTACCCCCGTGACGTAGGACACTTCCATGCATTAAGCATAGTGACCAACAATACATAAACATCCATTACATCACATTTAACGATGATCAAAACTCGAATCATATCCATTAAATCACTTTTTTTCTAACATACTAATTCGTGACTAATACCCATTATATTCCATATTTATTAACAGGTATTAACCTTAGATAACCTCATGATAAGCTCCGCACCTGTGGCTGTGTTCCTCTTGCGACTCGTCTTGGGGGACTCGGTCTCGATGCCCCGGCTGGTGTCACCTGGAGATGCGATGTTTGTCATGGGATAGAACTAGTCGTTGATGATGTTCTAAATGAATATTCTATGGAATGTGTACGTATTTTTTGTGTATATATATATATATTTATATTTATATTAGATTTATTGAAATATTATGATATACAGTCAACGATCAATATGATGTGGGTTTGTCGGCAAACGGAGGTTTACACCTCACCGCAGGGGGGGGTTAACCCTCAAAAACATGGACACAAGGGGGTTTAACCCATATCATGGCGATGTGAACTAACATAAATGGGCAGGGGCCAAACTTGAAGGTGCAGGGGACAACAAACAGTTGCCAATTGTTGGTATTCGCCGCACGCGATAACGTTGGGTGCCTGAGTTTCAACCTATCTGAAATTTGCTTGGGTGTGCGCAATAATATTGCAGACACAGCTAGCATTTACAGCACATGGAATATCAAAAGTACAGCGAATAGTGCGATAAACATCTGGTATTTTCCCCCTTTCTGATCCTAATGTTGGTATATAACTGTATATTCCAGCATGTATAGATGTCCATATATAGGGGATGTATATCCATTGTGGCATGAATTCTGATAAATAAAAAAGGTGCAGACGTATTTTATGTATTCTATACACGCACGCACGCATGTACTAGAAAGTAGTCTCAGTCAACCAATCCCTGAACTGGTGGAGGCACTGTTCAGCACCGCGATCCCCCATGGCCTTCTTAATGCCTCCATTTAATCACGCCTAGCCGTACATAAATCCTTCAAAAGTTGCACGTTTAGTGGGATATCCAAAAAAACAACGTACTGCCTTTTAGTCCGACATTCATGACAAACACACAAACATGGGAAACATGTACCTATTTTCACCAACCTTTGAACATAATCAGTTCAAATGTTTGCACCAAGCGCCCACAGTTTACCCATGGCAAATCTTAGATGCCCTCGATAAATGTGGTTCTTTACTGCCTAGTATGTCTATCATTTTAGACCAACAAATGAACACATTGAACTATAACCTATCACTTGGTTTGAAGACATTCTGACGTTTAAATCCTTATCTATTGGTGGTGAAGAAGCAATTCTTGGTTGGCAAAATCTACAGTTCATCGTTTCTGGTTGGCTATATTCCACATATGTCCACATCATTATTGGTATTGCTGGATGGTACACACTGGAGTAGACACCCATTCAACTAGTCGCTTATAGTCAACTACCCAAGATTCTTTAACTTTCCATCGTTTGGTCCAGAAGTTTTCTGAGGAGCCGGGCTGGGAACTGATTCGATAGGGTACGACATTTCGAGGTCGCTGGCTGCACTGAGGCCACTGGCACCAGCTGTCGCCATGGTGACGTTCCGTTGATCTGCAAAGTCTCGTTCTTTATCACAGCAAACATGCGTGTAAGTGAGAATTTGTGCATCATATTCAAAGTGTTTGGTGAATTTATGGAGATATAATTCATACGTGTGTGTGTGTGAATAATATACAAATACTATGGTGAATTAAATGTATGCTAATAATTATCAAACAATATCATCGATATTTCTACATCGAAATGTCATGACATTTATTGTGCATCTAGAGAAGGCACGCATGTGCCTTGCTGGTTCATGTGAGCAGGGCCCAAACCCTCTGTCATCCCCAAGGCTTCGGGTTGGCTGAGAGGGGTTCGCAGTCGATGGATTGTGATATGGGATAACCACTTGGTAGATGGGGTAGACCTATTTGGTACATCAAAATCAATATTTTCAACCAACTTGGTACAAGCACTTGATCTGTTTAGCATTGTTTAGCATCAGTCACTGGGGATCTTGGCCATTGCTCGTGAAACACGTTCTTGCCACCCGTAATCACCAAATACTGGCGCTGTTGTTTTGTTCCGAGTTTAAAGCCAAATACTCGCAGCACTGGGAATTATCACAGAGCACTTTACTTTGCGATTTCCTTTCCCCGGATCATTTCGACTCTGCCATAATTCTGAGCAAACAAAATCATATTTTGTGGCGAGGTTCTTGCAAATCCGAAGCCTTCGTTGATTATGAGGGGTGCTTCCGTTCTGACGATACCCAGCCCGCTAATGAAATCACAAATTTACGTCCAGGGGTTTGCTCGGTTCCCCATCTCCACAGTTTTGCTTTTAAACACGGTGTTCAACATCATTCATTCCTTCCCCACCTGAACACCCCCCAACAAATCATTGTGAACGTAGGGGGTCTAACGGGATTTACATATATACCTTTTTATGACCATTTGGGTGCTTGACATTAATGGAACGGGATGGGATTATTGCATGTGTGTCTGGGTAAGTGATCATATTTTGCTAACCTGGCCATTTGGGCATGATGACCCTTCCTAACAAAGATTCCAGTGAGGTCCCAATGTTGAGGTATCATTCCATGGCACATGGATGTCCCCATTGAGAAAACTTTCCCATTTTGGCAGCCATCCAAGCATCCTATTTAAGTCTGTTTCATATCCTTTGGTAAAGTAACATAGACCATATACCCTGAAAATCAACAATTTTTTGGTGGAAACTAATCTTCTAACCCCTCAGTCATGGCTATATTGATATCCACCCCTTCAAAGAAACAACACGTGATACATGAACAAACCATCAACAACAAACGAAGGGTGAAGGAAACAACACATAAGAAAACCCCACCAAAAATGAAACCATTGAAGAGTCAGTTCCTCAAGGTTTCTGGAACAACAACCCACCCATCGTCCCCCCAAAAAACCATCAGTCCATCCAGATTTCCAGCCGATATGGATTGATGGTTTACTATTGGCATGGTTTGTGTGTGGTTTTTCAGCAAGGTGGGTAAACAGCAATGGATGATGATGGATAAACCATTTTGCTACTTGCTTTAGTAAGATTCATGTGGATCAAAGATTGAGAATCATCCAACAGACATGTGTCTTTTTCTCATCCAAAATTGTCGGCAAGAATTGGGGCCTATTTTGGCGTTTCTCATGCCAAGAATTGGGGCAAAATGTCATTTCAGCTTCCTATGATGGTGACTATTGTTGTGGATTCTACGTGATGTTTTCTGAGTAGTCAACTCACCATTCAAACAGAATTGTAAGAAACAAGAGGAGATATAACGTTTTTCGATTGGGATAATACTGCGGATGGTCGCGAAATCCTGCACCAGTTGGTAGATGGTCTATCCCGCAGTAATCCCATGTACAGTGTTTCGTAGGAATCGCGGCATCCCAACTGCTGATTGGGATTTCGCAACCATCCACTGTTGATATAGTCCACCCATCCGGTCTGACCCACTTAAGGGACCTTTTTGAGACCCAAACAAGGCGATGTCTTGAAACGAATGCGGCGCATCTTTGATGCCACTGTGAGACATGACAAAAAAGGGCTGCCCGGTATGGATTGAAGACAAAGAAATGGAGGTGGATAGCAAAGGTGAAACACTTAGACCTAGACTCAAACATATATATATATATATAATATAGATCTAGATATTATATGCACATAATATGGATATATCACTATATATATATATATATGTATATGAACATAACATATAAATATAAATATATATATAAATACATACAAATATTTATATATTGTGAATAAATGTAGATAGAGATATATATATATGTATGTATAAATGTATATATTTGTGTTTGTGAATTCCGTTATTGAAAGTGATGGCTTTGAGGGTCGTCAAGGCATAGTATGTGGACTTCCATCCGTACTAACCCATCTGAGGCTTAGTGGACAAATGGGACTTGTAATTTGACAATGAAATGGAATAGTTTGTAGAAACAGATACGTTTAGACATTCAAATAGTTAGTTTATTCTTATTCAAGCACAATTATTTCATTGGACCCAAATCAAATATACATGATTTATACATGTATACGTTTGTGTGGACAGTCAAAATCGGGTACCACTAAAAAAAATAGTAGATCATAGTATACTTCCATTATACATGAACATCTGTGGTCCCCTGAGCCTTTAATTTTGATCTCCAGTTTGTAGCTAGCAGACTTCAGCTCCAAACTTCCTCGTTGGACGGTTCCAACTTGTTCCAACTCACCTCAAAAGGAATAATGTTTAGCACAGTATCGGAAAGTGCACGTGTTACCAGTTCACGAACCAGTGTCCACTTCATCCAGTTGGTTGCTAGGTTCTTTTTGCATCGTGTACTCCGTGAACACCGATTCAATCACCTACTTAACCTTATAAATCTCAACATGAACGTAAAAATCAACCGGACATTGCCCGACGTAGAAGAACAGTATCAGGTCGTGGCATCGTTCTGTGCCCTCTGATCCTTTCAAAACGAAGGTCAGATCTCTAAGGCCCTTTAGCACCTTATAAAGCGCTGGGGGCTTTCGTGTGCGACGTTGGCGATCAGAAGCAAGTGAAGAAGGTGAGGCATGTAAAGCAACTACGGACCCCCAAGAAAAAAAACATATATATATATATATATGCTTAGAAAAACCTGAAATTTAGCATTGGGGCTGTGATAGTAGTGCATGAAATCAGCCCCAGACAGTCATGTGGACAATTTCCGCCTGATCCGCTTTTGGAACTGTTGCAGAAAGACTTGTAAAGGCTTGCGCACAGCTGGCACGACTATCAGGGCAATCCCAAGAGATGCCCCTGAAATAATAATAATAATAGTAGTTGGATTTCATTGGCGACTGAACTGCAGTAACTGCGACTGAACCAAGGAACCACGGTTAAGAGAGCCACAAAGGCTGGAGTTTTTGTTGCGAAAAACACGGGCCGTTCCTGAATTACGGAAAACCAAGGCACCCAGCAACCGAGAAACGGTGTTTATCCACAGCCTGAGCGCCTATGAAATTCCAACGTGGTATATAAGATATGGGATATATAAGGTTTTTCAAATTGAATTTGCAGGAAAATCTGCCTTTAGACTCCAGCAGCATGCCAGTCTATCCACACATGTTCAGCGGTAAAGAATTTGAAAGCAGGATCCCTTGTCGCCAGGTGGATGCAATTGCGTCGTAAGGCCGAGTACGGCAACCATATGTTTCTTTGGAAACCGTACCGTCACACCCAGCAAGTAGTGATAATATTGAAGGTACTGGCGCAAAATACTATCAATATTCCATTTTCCAAAGCCTCAAAAGCCATATCCACTTTTGAAGATTACTACATTCCACAGGAAAGCCGGCCCATTCAGCACAAGGCTGGAAGGCAATGGTGAAGTTTGCCCATGCTGGCACTGCAGCTCGATGAATCGATAGTTTGCCGGCTGCGGCCTGACATGGCAAAGATTCAAGATCCAAGATTCGGAGGTGTCCTAGGTCCGTCATGGGGGGTATCCCCAAATCATCCAAGTCATGGATGACCATGACTTAGTATCGAAAACCGTGGTTTACTCGGGTACCCCCAATTTTGAGAAACCCTAAATAAGTTATACATCAAAAGGTTTGATTGTTGTCGCAGGTCAATGCGGTCAACAATTTGCCACCGCAATATCCCACAATCACGTTAGCAACATCGAATCAAATCACGCGGTCTTTGTCCGAGCTGCACAATGACAGCCAACCTCGTTTCCCGGCACCAGCATTGCTTGGCAATCATGGCCAGTGCGCGAATGAGGAATGGCAAAGCAAGGAAAAGTGGCAGCGACACATCCAAGATCAAGACTCGTTGGATGCGTCCTAAAACAGATAGGTCATGCCCCTCATGCTCTGCTAGGCTAATGAAGCCTAGCCCGAAGGGGCATTAATCGAATGCAGACTTAGACACAAGGACTAACCACGTGTCTCTGGTGTGGTCTGTCAAGCCACAACGTTTGTAAACAATTGTGTCTCTTCATTCACCAAGGCCATTTCACTGCTCTCCTTGTTTCCCTTTGAAAGCTGTGCTTTTTCATCATTCCCATCGTTGACATCCGCGGCACCCTCAGGCAATGTCATTGTACAGCAAGCTGCCGCTAGGCAAACACTGGCAAAGAGCGGACAAGATACCTGATTGGTTGCAAACCGATGCGAGGACCATAAGCAACCCACAAAAAGCATCAAAAAGCATTTTTCTACATTGACATGTACGTTTTGTGAGCAATTCTGTATCTGATCAGGCGCAACATATCGGAGGCAACGCGGGGAATTGCGTATGAGTTTTTTACAGGTTTAAGGACAAAGGAAAAAGAAATGCCCGCTGTGTCAGACGTGGCACGGATGTGGGCCATGTTCCACTTAAGGGAGCAATGATTCCACCCACACGTGCTGTAGTCTCACATGTGGTGAAGGCAACCTTCGAAGCACGACCAGCAAAGATCTGGGCCAAAGCCACATAGATAGTCGTGAAGCACACGTCCAAGCACAAGCGCCCGACCACCGCAAATGATAGCACGAAGGGAGTACCGGGCTCCCCTGTGCTGCAAAGCATTAAGCATATGCAAGCTGCGAAGAAGCAAAGCGCCTGGCACTGTGGGTCCCGGATCTTTGGATTTTCCATGAACATTCAAGGCTGATCCCTGTCCCTTTGTACATGCTGACGTGTGGTGGCTTGAAAACTTAGCTAAAGGTTCCTGGGCCAACCTGCGCCCCTCTAGACAGCCGCCTGGACATTGTTCCTTCCGTATTTGTCTGCTGTGAGCGCCAGCAAGTAGCCAAGAATGTCACCACCATGCAAAAGCATGCCTCAACTGTTCTCAAAGGCATGCCAAAGTAAACCAAAGAAACATGCAAAGACGCGCAGAGATCATTGCAAGGCAAATATGTTCATCATCTCAAATCCGAGCAGCAGCTCATGTAAATGTCAGGAGAGAGTTGTCCAGCTGAGTAGGTTAGACCGTAGAAGCCGCAGCCACGAGCGAGAAACGCAACAGCCAGCGCTGCCTCAGATGGCTTCAAGGTGGGCTACAATCTTCCTGCTACTGGCTTTGAAGCATTGAACGTATTGTTCGGACTGAACACCAAGTTGACAAAAATTGCATACCTAGAACGCCAAAGTTGCTTGTTTTTTCAGGCAACTTTCAAAAAACATGCCACTTTTAGAAAGTGGCAAGAATTTCTGCCACTTGCCGAACATGTGCAGCTTTCACTAAAAACTGAAGGAAAACCACAATTTTCACCAGAAACTGCCCCACAAGTGCCATGCGGGTAGTTCCGAGGCTATGTGATAAGAATAGAATGCCTAGCATTAATTTGTTTGGGAAAGTTCGGGCCTGCTCAATTCATTCAGGCTCTGTGAGACGATTCCAACTATCAAAGTAGAAACTCTGAACCCAAACCTAAGTTTCTGCGCAAATCACGCTTTTAGATTTTCAGAGTTTTGAAAAACATGAAAACCTCAAACAGCCCGGGCCAGTGAATGCCAAACTCTGCTCAGAAATCGTGCAATAAATGGTTTCAACCTAACGTGTGCAAGCTTTCATTGATAGCAAGATTGAATACAAAAATCAAGAAAGGATTCAAATCATTGAGAGAGAAAGAGATAATTATACAGTATATAAGCCGTATTGCAGCAAAGTTGCAACAACAATCTAGTCAGTTACTCACCTTGTTTCTTCAGTGCTTGATTTTCCGATCAACGAACCATATTTCAAAATTATTTGCGTAAGCGCAAGGCCCAAGTTTCGCGTACAAAAACTGTATTGGACACTTGTTGGAAAATTCAATCCATAGATTTTGTCTTTGGATCCGCTAACGCCTAGAGGTGTTCAAGAGTTAAACAAAATTTTCACCTGGAAAAAATGAGCACTTGTTTCAACAGCCGTTGTCAAACAGTGCAAACTTTTGGCATGATTGTGCCAGGTGTTAGCCAAACATCAACCAACAGCAATGCACTGATTTGTTTTTCACTCTGTGATCTTGCCCAAGGATTGCCCGCATCATGAAATGTTGAAACATGTTTGAAAACTGTTTTGAGTGGCCGCAAAAAAATGATCCAAACAATACAAGACACCGACAAATTCCAACAAACAGTGTGTCTCCACGATTCTAGGACTGAAGTTTTGTAGCTTATTCATGCTTATCCATGACGACTTACATTTTCATGTCTCTTCGAATGACACAACTCGTAGAATTGTGAGGTACCTAGTTACGGCGTGTTTTTTTTGTCACTAACTGCAGATAAATATGGTCTTGATTGCGCTCTGCGTTCTACGCTTGAATTGCAAACGCATGGAATCAAATACTGCAAGTTTAAAGCGGAAAAACATAAGCAACGCCCGAATGATTTGAACAACATCATTTTTCCAATATGCGCATCTTGTCAAGCCACTTGTGGGTCGAGATTGTCTTGCCCCATCACTGCAATTTGTTGGTTTTACCTACAGTGCAGCAGGGGATCTGGGTCCATCGTCCAAGAAGGAAGTAGCGGCTAAAAATTGCAGAGAAATAGCCCAGGAATCTTTAAGATTTTAAGATATTCGCCTGGGTGAACGTTTTTTTTGCAAAATTCGCAGTGGAAACCAAAAATATCCAAAAATGAAAAGTGAAAAAAAAGTGACAAAGTGGTGTATTTTCGTCAAAAAGTGGTGTATTTTCCGTGTGCTTGTGAAAACGCGAATTTAATAACTTTGCACGCCTTTTTTGCAGCATCGTTGTGTTTTTGTCCTCGCTTCAACATGTGCTTCGCACAGCGTTGCCAAGATGCAAAACGCAGCTCTTAGCCCGAGCAAACATGTGCTTTGTTTGGGCTTCATGTTTCCCATCCCATGATTTGCAAGGTTTGCTTTCGTTCACATGAGCCTGTTTATTTGGATCTTGCGACCCTTAATATATAATGAGCTGTGGCAGCGAAGAAGATTCATGTTTGGTCAACTCTTACCTAAATCCGTGTTTAAGCTGGAAAAACATTTTTTGAAGCACGGCCTATTTACAGACATGCTCACAAGAATTACAACAGAATCTAGAATGATGTTCAAGATGTCGGAAGTTCAGCTTTGCCAAAAAAACCTTGCGTAGCCACTGTCGAATACTTTTTGCCTACCAAAAGAATCGACAGCGCCGCAACAAAACAAGAAAACACCAAGGTTATTTTCGTTTCTTTGGGGCTGGGTCCGTGTGTCCGTCAAACATGCGGCATGCCTTCCAGAGGTGCGTGCGCGAACGCTAATTTACGTGGCATTATATGCCTTCGGACTCCATGGTACAGTATGCACACAGGAGTTCGGCCACACACCAAAACTCTTGTCAGTCAGTTTTGCTGGTATATGTGGATTTTGTTTTGATGAATAAGCCTTCCAAGATCTATCATGATTTTAATCGGAGTTTGTTTGCCTAGAAACCGCTGCATGCCTGGAGCGAGAAAGTCAAGTATCATTGTTAGCCTAGCATGTCCAGCCAGTCTGGAATTGAATATTGCGGAGTCACGGGGTAACTATATGAAGGCTTTAACCTGCTTGGCCAACATGGCCAGTGGTAAGGCAAGGACCCCAACAAAATGGTATTTGATCTGTCGGTCTATGCGTGCCCACTGGGACCTTGCGTTGTAACCGTTGCAGAGCCAAAGGAAACATGACTTTGTCACTGCTGGATCTGGATGCTTGCGGCTTGCGCACGTGTTTTTTCCGTGATTTTTCGAGTATAGAGTGCGCAAGGCCACCATCAACTTATCAACGGGTCAGCCAAGCATAGAGTGTATACAGTAGTTGTACGTGGGTATGACAGCGTGAAAGTGCAAGATACAAACCCGTTTCATCATCTGATCTCAAGGGTATACTTGATCCCCAAACAGGTTTTACACCGTTTTCTTTTGTCCATCAGTTTCACCCGAAGGGTCTTTTGCAAACAGTGGTTTGGTGAAACACCATAAAGTGGATTCCATGAACAGGATTTGGCGTTCTGAAGGCCATGTCGTAAAATCATGATCGTTTTTCATTTATTGAAGAGGCAAATAAACCTCATACATACACAAAGTTACACTACAGCTCAAGGAAGCGCAAACAAATACAATAGTTTGTAAAAAGTGAAAATCAAACAACTTCCACTTTTGGAAACGTTGCGCGCAAAACTGCCACTTTCGTCAGTGCCCCATTTTTTCCTGCAACTTGGCTTTCTAGGTATGTTGTGAGAAGCACTTTCGCAATTTTTCCCAACATTTTAACTAGTCATAAACACGCTGCTACAGCAATCCGCTGCAGCATGCTGCTGCACCACTCTCACTGTCACATCTCATGATGGCTCTTGTGGAACACTCTTTGTACGAAACTCTTGATTCAAAAAAAGCAGCAAAATGTTTAGATTTACTGAATTAAATTTAAATGATTCTCTTCTACGACTTCATCGATCACCATGAGTGATCTTCAACTTTGGCTTCGCCTGCCATTACTACCGTGACTACAGTGTCGCTATAGGAAATTATGAGGTCGTTGGTGGTGACGCAACGGTATGCTATGTCTGCGACTCATGCGACTGACGTGTTTCAAGGCCATCTACGCCTCCTCTGAGTTAAGAAGTTTGAAGCAAAGCAAATCGCTTGCCGGAGCAAGTCCTACAACGTTGTGAATTTGTAGACGGAGTTCGCAACGAAAATTACGTCTTACCAACAAAGCCAGAACACCATGTTTCTGTTCTCTGCAAAGGTCAGGTTTTTACGTTCGCCGCTTTCAACTTCTGCCACTGAAGGTTTCTGAATGTTGCGGAGCTGTTTGCGGACGGCCACCGGGAGCGACTGCACGATCATCCAGCTATCAGAAAAACCAACAGCAAGAGCGAAGATTAGGGGTGCGCTGCACCAAAACAGAGCTTCGAATCTCCAGTCCATCGCCAAAGTGAGTCCGCTGCATGACCAAGCCATCAGCATGGTGACAAGACAGTATGCGATGCTGTTCAGGACAAGCACTTGGTTGCCTTGATCTTTGGGAAGCCGCTCTTGTATGTAGATGCACTGAAGAGCTGTGATGTTCATCAAAAGACCATAGATAAACCTGCGCCAAGTGCAAGGATTTCCCTGCGTTTCGCAATGCTTCATTCATGTGCGTTGGTTGCTTTCAGTTGGGTCAGGCCTCTTTTCCTTTCTTTGATCAGGAGATTCTGGAAAAGGAATGGAAATCGGAATCTGAGTGGGCTCAATGCTACAAAGATTTGGAGGTTTCCCAAAATGGGGGGGTACCCCAAGTCACCATGGTTTTAAGCACTGAATAACACTAAGTCATTTGGATGACCTGCGGTACCCCTATGACTTAGGAAACCTCCACTGACCTAATGATCACGGCCATTGAATGCCTCACCTGATAGCCGTGAAGACAATCAGATTCCCCGCCGTCAAATACGGCACAGTCACAGTTGCCAGGACAACCACCAAGAGACCAATGATGTGCAGCACAAGGAGCTGCTTCTGGTCAAACACTTCCTCGGAGGTGAGCAACATACATTCGGATTCACCTGCCATTAACCTCCCATTATGTGGCGTATGGTGAAGCCGCGAGATTCACAGAGTTCGTTTCCGGGATACTGCAACACATCTGAAGCCTCGGAATCATCGAACCAGAAGGATTTAACACACAAAAATCATTGCAACGCATCACGCAGCCTGAGAGAATACAACGTGGTCACAACATACACGAGCATGAAATCACCTTCCAACGATGGGACATCGTATCATCCGTCTGCAACTTCACAGCATGCACCCAACACAACGCCACCATGACCATGGCAATATGCCGCTGTGGGCCCCACGTCGGTTCCACATCTGTCACAGTATCTGCATGGCTGCTGGGTCATGCAGCACTTGACAGGACTGAAACATCACTTGCCACATGAGGGGATTCATCATGACAAGGCACAGTCAGAACATGCTCAAAGTACTCCAAGCGTTGCATTAACAAAAACAAGACGACAAGATCGAAGGCATCATGACCCAAACCGTCCTCGTCAACAGGACCCGGGCGCAGGGCGTTCTTCACACCATGACACCTTGAAAAACTTTCTCGCAAACCACAAAACCTGTATCATGGGCATGGCAGACACTGCGCAGCTCCACACTGCAGTTGCTGTGATGTTGGGACAGTGTCACAACGACCAACCAGGGCGGACACCGTGCCATCAGCAGTGCGACCTCCATCACAACACAACCTGATCGCTCACAATCATAAACATCAGCATCCTCTAGAACAAAGCCATGACAACGGAGCTTCAACCGAACATGGGTATCCCTTAGCTGCAACATCTATCAGAAAGCCCGACCGCACCATAAGACCCACGACGAAGAACGTGATTCGAGCAACACAGCCCTGGCCTTGGAACGCACATACACAAGCATGTGAGTGCGCAACCCCAAGCTATCATAAGCTATCATAAGTGGAGAACAAAGGGCGCACAGCTATTCTACTAAGCCTCTAGGAATAATCCTCATTCAAGCCTAATAAATCCATATAAGTCCCAATACTGCAGTCTCACCTCTTTTTGCATTGTGGCGGCACGCGGGTGAACTGAGCAGCTTCAGGTCCGAACACACTGGCAGCACTATCGTCGAAGATAACCTATCTATGTATGCATGTTTGCCTGCCTGCCTGCATGCATGCATGCATACACACACACATATATATATAATTATATATATATATGTCAAGGGGACACAAAACATCTGAGAAATAGTAACCTTATGTAACCTCAGAACAGGGTGGGGACAAGGGACACCACACGAAGATGCCACATGACCACATTGCGACACTCTACTGCCGCCTTATCTCCTCTGTGTCTAGCACCGTTCTACGCTTCGAAAATGTACGTGACTGGGAGGATCAAGATTGCTGGTACGAGTACTAAGTACCCTTGGCCGATCAAATATCTTAGCAACCTCAGCAACCTTAGCAACCAACAATCACTTAACTTAAAATGAAAGCCTGTGGATGCATCATGATGCATCCAAACTTCAAGCGCTTTGTCTAAGATCGTGGCACTTGCGAGCCAGCCCACAAAGATGGCCTCAACAGAGACAACAGAAAACGACAAAATGGCAAAATGACAAAAAGTGACAAACAAAGTCAGCTGGAGAATCCACAATCCAAAACAGTCAAGTCACCGTTGTTGCGATTGGAAGAGTGTCTTGGGTTAATCCAGGCAATGCGGGGTCTGCTGCAATCTTGAGATCGAGGAAGACTGGCAAAACATGCCAAGCGGGTAACGCGATGGCGCCAATGAGCCAAGCGCCGATCACATCCCGTTGCACCTGTGGCAGCAACACCACAAACAAAAGGCAGTGTCGCCAATCTGACGTTTAAAATGATATAGTTCCCTCCATCAAGCTTAAAAAAACACATTAGGCTGGCAGGCAACTAATAGAATATAGATCCTGCGGCCCGCAAGCGATCTAAAACAAAAAGTATCAAACAGTTAGGGAATAAAGTCACTTTCAAACCAGAATCAAAGAACAACCATCCTGACCTTCGTCTCATTGACTGTTGGATTTGGCAACACTGCGACGCCGGTGCTGCCACTGTCGTTCTTGAAGACGTTCAGAGGACTGGCAGCACCAATGACATCCTGAGCCACTTGGGTTAACTTCAGGCTTCCAGGACTGCTGTGAGCTCGCGCAATTGTCCTCAAACTGCTGCCAGAATCAAGATCTAAGAGGGTTTGGGAATGACTATATGCTATGATATCCACCCTCATCACAGAAAGTAGCAGAATAAGAGCGGACCCTCACTAGTGACAGTCACCGTCGCCCCGGCCAAAGTAAAAGCTTCCCAACTCGGCAAGTTGCTTAGGCAAACCCGTGTGTCTCTTCCTTCGCTTGCGCTTCTCCAAACCGGCGGCGAAAAAGAACATGCAAAGCACAGCAGAGGTTGCCTCTGTATGCCGATGGTGAATAGGTGCAGGCATATGAGGAGTGAGTTCGGCCAAAGAGCGCAAAGGCTCCAACACTCTTGTGTCAGGCCCTGGTGCCTTCACAATAGCCAAAGCCATGACACTGGGGCGCGGCAACTAGCAATGAAACTGCAAAGAAACTCGATTGTTGTCTGGAAAACAAATCATGGTGAATGTCTGCTAATGAATTTCAAATGTTGAAAATTTGATGTTGCACATGTTTTCCGTTTCAGCTCAAACCTGGCAGAGTTCAAACGAACAACGAAAATTGCGGCATGTCGGTACGGTGCACAAATCTTGTGATGGATGCCAAAAATCAACAACTGGCTACATGGCTACACTCAACCCCTTCGAAACAACAGCTGCGATTCGAGAATGGTTGGGATCTGCGGCAATTTGACCCTGTTTTCTGCTTGACCTTTCAAGGGACAAACGCCCAAACTACAGCCACACCCCAGCAACAGCCATGCAGCTACACTACCCAACTTGAATGTATCCATTTCTGTCTTTCAAGAATCAATTTGGCCTGTGGTTCCACCGTAGAACCGCTGAAAAAAAAATGATGGTGAATTTGCCGACGTTCATTTGGGTTGTGTGGAAATAACATACCATTTTTCCCATCACATTTTTCGTACGAAAGTTGCCATAAATTTGGATTCAAACTCACCATCTTCGGTTTGTGGCACCTCGGCACCGGCTGCACCTGATCGGACCATGACTCTGTATGTGTATACATACATATGTGTGTCAGGATATCAACAAATATATATCCAAATGTCGATATGTATATGCATATATACAAACATATATATATATATATATTAGGATGTATCTCTAACAGTTTTTCTTTAGGCCG